GATGCCGCGACCTGGGGGGGGGAGGGGGGGGGTTCAGAAGGAGGGAAGAGGAGGGAAAGAGGTTTACCGTGAGGGGGCTCAGAAGGAGGGAGGCGTGTGTGTCACGTAGCTCGAGCGTGTGTGCGTTTGTGTGTATTTGTGTGTTTGGGGGCTCGCGAGAAGCAGAGCCTTCATGATGCCGTGACTTTCTGGGAGCACAATGAGGAAGACATTGATTGCGTACCCAGCGTACCTAAGCCGTGCCCACCAAACCTCACCAAAGCTCACTGACCCATGGGTCGCTACGTACGTGTGCCATCGCTACAGCGACCCACCGACCCACGACTGCCGCAGAGCCACTGCCAATGATTTGCAAATGTCCACCACGACTGCCCACCCCGTGACCCGTGGGTCTTACCCGGATCTCCTGCCGCCGCCGCAGCCGCCACGCCCCTCCCCCTGCCGCCCCCGCCTCCGCCCCCGCCGGCCCCTCCCGCCGCTGCGAGGCTGTAGCACATGCGGTCCAGATCCTTGGGCAGCAGCGCCAACACCTGCGTGTAGTGTATTACTAACGTTGTGTGTGTACGACGAAAGTTGTGTGTGTACGACAGGCTATGCATTCTACGAGATGTTGGGTTTCACGTACGGCAGCCCCGCCATGCATGCCCCCCTCCCGCTCCCGGTGACCCACCTACCTGACCCAGATCAAAGGCCAGCGTGTCTTCAGCCAGCAGCTCACCAATGGTGTCGTACCTGCTGGTACGGCATTGTACAACATACGCGGTGTTGTACATTGTGTCGTGTACGGCAGTCGTACACCTTGGGTGCCGGAAGAACCGTGTGCCTCCACCATGATGCCTTACCCCGCGGTGAACCGCACCGATTCTTACATACCCCGTAATATAACCCCACGCAAGACCGTACCACGCCCCACACCTAATTACCGTACACTTCATGTAAACCCTAAATCTCCCTCCAGTGTCGTACTCCTCCCATCTGCCGTACCTCATGTTAAGCGTGTCCACGTCAGCAAGCGGCTGCAACAGACACGACCGCAGCAACCGCTGCCCCGCTCGAGTGCGCATGTGGCGGCCCATCAGCCGGAGCAGCGAGGGAGCGGCGGAGGCGGCGGAAGATGAAGCGCCGCCAGCAGCGGAGGCGGCGGCAGCCGAACGGCCGCCGGAGGCGGAGGAAGACGAGGATTGCACGATCTGAGCGGAGGGCGCAAGGCAGGCGGGGCAAGTGGGTGTGGATGGCATGTTGAAGGTGGAATTGAGAGTGGAATGCCTGCATGGAGGCATGGCAGCCGTATAAGAACGGAAGCGGATGATTGCGGTATCCGTTTGTATGTGTACGAGGCGTTCAAACGTGTACGAGGCATGGACCGAGGGATACAGACCGTACGACAGCCGCCCTCCCTCCAGCCACCTCACCCTCACCCCCACCCGGGGTAAGTAATTTGAAATGCGTGCTTCTTGGATAGTGTCTTCGAATGCGCTCACTGCATGAGTCGGGATATGGGATTGGGACTCGTTGTTTCACTTATAGATTGTTTTACCCCCACCCGCTCCCTCCTTCCCTCCCCCTCCCCCCACCTCCAGCGCCTCCGCCATGCCCCCCTCCAGCCGCATGTGCAGCCCCACGTCGAGAGCCTCCACCCGCACGCAGTGCGACCGCAGCGCTGCAACATGGGGGGCGGCAGCCACACCCACACCCGCTGCTGCTGTTCCCGCTGCTCCTGATGTTGCCGTACCGCCCCGGCCCGCTGCCGCGCTACCTGCGGCGGCTGTCAGGGCGGTTGCAATGGCCACGGGGCCCAGCAGGTGGTGCAGGAGCGCCCCCGCGGCACCTGGGAGGTCAGAGGGTGGGGAGGTAGGGTGGGAGGGAGGTAGGGAGGGAGGTAAGGAGGGAGGTGGAGGGAGGTGGAGGGAGGTGGAGGGAGGGGGAGGGAGGTGGAGGGAGGTGGAGGGAGGTGGAGGGAGGTGGAGGGAGGTGGAGGGAGGTGGAGGGAGGGGGAGGGAAGGGGAGGGAGGGGGAGGGAGGGGGAGGGAGGGGGAGGGAGGGGGAGGGAGGGGGAGGGAGGGGGAGGGAGGGGGAGGGAGGGGGAGGGAGGGGGAGGGAGGGGGAGGGAGGGGGAGGGAGGGGGAGGGAGGGGGAGGGAGGGGGAGGGAGGGGGAGGGAGGGGGAGGGAGGGGGAGGGAGGGGGAGGGAGGGGGAGGGAGGGGGAGGGAGGGGGAGGGAGGGGGAGGGAGGGGGAGGGAGGGGGAGGGAGGGGGAGGGAGGGGGAGGGAGGGGGAGGGAGGGGGGGGGGGAGGGAGGGGGAGGGAGGGGGAGGGAGGGGGAGGGAGGGGGAGGGAGGGGGAGGGAGGGGGAGGGAGGGGGAGGGAGGGGGAGGGAGGGGGAGGGAGGGGGAGGGAGGGGGAGGGAGGGGGAGGGAGGGGGAGGGAGGGGGAGGGAGGGGAGGGAGGGGGAGGGAGGGGGAGGGAGGGGGAGGGAGGGGGAGGGAGGGGGAGGGAGGGGGAGGGAGGGGGAGGGAGGGGGAGGGAGGGGAGGGAGGGGGAGGGAGGGGAGGGAGGGGGAGGGAGGGGAAGGGAGGGGGAGGGAGGGGGAGGGAGGGGGAGGGAGGGGGAGGGAGGGGGAGGGAGGGGGAGGGAGGGGGAGGGAGGGGGAGGGAGGGGGAGGGAGGGGGAGGGAGGGGGAGGGAGGGGGAGGGAGGGGGAGGGAGGGGGAGGGAGGGGGAGGGAGGGGGAGGGAGGGGGAGGGAGGTTGCAGCAGGCATGACACGAAAGCAAGACACCCCCACCACCGCGCCCGGTACCCACCCACCCACCCACCCAGTGCCAGGTACTGCGGCGCTCGGCCCCCCGCTGCCGCCGCCACCGCCGGCTGGCTGTCGTGGGTGGCGAATGCGGCCAGCAGCTGGGCGCCCTGAGCGGGGGGAGAGGGGGAGAGGGGGAATGAGGAGGGGGTTTGGAGGGCGATTAAGAAACCAAGCAGGCAGCCGATCAGGGATGGCGGCCGAGCAGCCCCTGAAGTAAGCGGCCTCTGCTCATGCACTGTTGGCGCTCTCTCTTTCCTTCCTCGCTCCCTGCCTCTTCCCCACCACTTCGTTTCCGACCTTCCGCTCCCCAAAGCCGCACCCAAACCCCCACATGCACCAACCCTCGCATCCAGCCACACACGCACACGCGTGTCATCTTCCGACAAATCACAGTACGTTCCTGCTCGCGGCCAGTTTTCTTAACCTGTGGATTCGCACCTGTGTATCATCGAAGCAGGAGCGCGGGAGCGCGTGCACCGAGTACGACAGCCCCCCTCCGCCGTACTGCATCACCGCGTCATCGTCACCCGCATCACCCCCCTCCTCGTCCGGCGCCCCCGCCTCGCTAGCCATTCCTCCTGCGCCTCTGCCGGCGTTACTGCCGCCGCCTGCCGCACGCTTCCTGCTTCCGTCTGCAGCAGCTGCCCCCCCGCCTGCTGCAACTGCTGCTGTTGCCGGGGTTGCGGCAGCTGCGGCGGCATCTGTTGCAGCAGCAGCAGCAGCAGCAGCTGCAACGGACTGTGTGATGAGGGCCTTGTTCAGGCCGGACTCGTGGAAGGCCTGGATGTGCTTCTCGCGGTGCGTTACCACAACCACCTCGCTTGCGCACATCAACCGCAGCAGCATCTGGGTCACCGCGTAGGACCTGTGTCGTACAGTTGGGAAGGGCGGGCGGGCGTATGGGCGGGCGGGGCGCAAATCAGATTGGCACGGGTCGTACACGCGCCCTACCCACCCACCGCCACCCCTGTATACCTGCTTGCAGCAGCAGCACCGCCACCACTACAGACGACAGACCAGATATCTTGAGGTGGCCACCCCGGATACATGCCGTACACAAACAGCATCCCTTAACCGCCGCCCAAGAACCCAACCGCCAACCAACCAACAACCCGTCGTACTAATAACAAGCAGAGCGCATACACTCATCATGCTCCTCCATTGCATCCACCTGCCGTACACAGCGCACTCGTACCTTCCCGGCTCGATGTACTGCGACAGTCGCAGCGTCAGCGTGGATGGATCCAGAATCGCGAGTCCGACCTCCCTGGCGCGATTCTCGATTACGCTTGCCACCACTCGGGAGGGGTGAATAGCGCCTCCAGCAACAGCTACAACAGCGTTGCTGATGGGGCCGCTGCTGCCTATAACAACACCGCCAGCGAAGCCAGGACCAGCGTTGACACCAACAGCGTTAGGACCAGAAGCTGCCGGGAACGCTGCTGCTGCTGCATTTAAATTTGTTCCGGAGATTTGCTGCTGTGTGCCGCGTTGACTGTTGCTGCTGCTTGCATTTCGTGTTGTGCGTTGTTGTTGCTGCAATAGCTGTTGTTGCAGGGCCTTGTTTCGCGCTAATCCTGTTGCTGTGTGTGCTCCGTGCGCTGTCGCTGTTCCAAGCCGGAGTGGAGAGGGCTGGAGAAGCTGCTGTTCCTCACCTGCTGCGTCGGTTGGAAATCGAGAAAGCAAGGTGGCGAGCGTGGGAGGTCGCCCGGGCTGGGCGCCGCGATTTGCCATATTCTCTTTCTATGCTATAGCTTTGTTGAATAGCACATCGTGCCCAAGCTGGGTATCCTTGACAGAGCTGCTTGCAACGGACAAATGCCAGGAAGCCAGAAAATGTTTTGCGCAAGACTTGTTGCCGCCTGACGTTTTTTCCCGTCGTACACGCATGCACAACAATGTCCCAAAAGAGCTTGCTGCCTGTCAGGGCGCTCATGTGGTAAGAGGTGCGCAAAGCGTTGGCTGTGTTATGGGCGAGACACCGCTTTCGTGCCTGACTCTGGCAGACCCTGGGGTCGGCAACTCGCGCGCGAGGGTTAATACGGGTCTAAAGGCCGAGGTATACTGGAGTAAAGCATAATGGAATTTGTGCTTATCGCTAACATCTTTTGCCTCGCGAGCCTCTTCGCAGGCGGACGGGTAGACAGGGAAGACAGCTGCTATTCGTACTTGTGAGCTTTGCAAAGGCCTTTGGCCTGCAGGCTTATGTTCTGCGCTCAACATCGGCCATCTCCGTTTGCAGACATGATCTGACAATGAACGACCATTCTTAGCTTTCGCAGCCTGTTGTCGCTGGGAATGGATGAAACGGAGAACGAAAGGCAGGTTTTGTTGAGGAGTCCTTTTGACGTACGTGCACTATATTCTCACGTACTACCGGGGCGAGCGCGGCTGCCAGAGGTAAGAGACCACAGTTGGACGGAAGCCATGCTGACCATGGACGTTGGAAAAACTCTAGACGGCCATTTGCATATGGTTGCTTTGTTATTTACAACGTTGGTTAGGAGTAAGATGTAGCAACTGTGTGGTGGTAAGTCTGCGGGAGCTAGCAAGCTGTAAACAAGTGTAGCATGACAACCGTCCGCGGACTGCAGAGATAGCTTGCGCCACGGATTAGGATCTGAATCCTGATAATTGTATATAATTAGGGTTTATTCTGGCCCCTTCATCATCTCTCTGCTCGCAGCAACCGTCGGATGATACCGTTTTCTCAGTTCCTTGCTCACGCCGGCTGCTTCAGCGAAACCTTCTCTATCGGCAAGTGCCTCCCGAGCAGCACCTACCCGAAACAGCCCCAGCGGAGCTTGATGACTCAGCTGGGCGAGCTCAGCATCGCTGTCGCGTGCACGTTCGGCCACTCCGGATCGAACATTCCTCATCTTCATCCTCGTCCTGGAACAACCGGCAGCACCAACAGCAACAGGCGCAATGGCAGGAGGGGCAGCAACAACCACAGCACAGGCAGCAGCAGCAGCAGGCTGAAAGAAGGCGGGTGGCTGGGGATGAAGAAAGGGAGGCCACGCCTGCGATGAGGCGTGCGGCGGCGGCAGGGGGAAACCAGGAAAAGGAGGGACCGCAGGAGGGGGAGCGGGCAATGCAGCAGCAGGAGGAGGGGGGGGAGCGGGAGTGGAAGTACCTGGTTGCTGCCTTGTGTGTGGAGCCGTACGCCTGGCCGGTGAGGAGGACAATGGGGGAGTGGGTGAAGAGGAAGGCACTAGTGCGGGTGGGGGAAAGCGGGGGCTGGGAGGGGGTTTGCGTGGAGCCGTGAAGAGGGGTGGTGGGGAGGCATGCGGGCGTGTGTGCAGGGGGGGGGCCGTGAGGCGGGCCGCATGCAGGGGGAATGAGTCCCCATGACGTTTGGGGCGGTGGCAGGATGCTGCTGTCCGGCTGAGCCCACCCCCGATCCGTGCCACCACCACATCCCTTCCTAAGCAGTCCGATCTTGGTGTCCGATCTTGGTGTCGGATCTTGGTGTTGGGTCCTGGGCGCGTCAGCGTTATCGTTGAATCCGGAACCCCGCGCGCACTGCCTCGCCCCCCACCGCCCCTTTTGCACCCCCAGGGCACCTTCTTTCCCCTCCCGGATTGCGCCTGGCTGCTAGCACTTCCGCCAACCGACCCGCAACCCCCAACGCCGGAGCAACAACCGCCCCAACCGGAGGATCAACCACCGCGCCGCAACCCTCCACCTGCAGACCATTGCCCAGCAGCAGCGTCAGGGGCAGTGGCGGCAGCAACGGCGGGGCGCGAAGGTTCGGGACCCGTGGGTCACGGAGTGGCTGCTGACCGGGGGTTAGCAGCTGCGCCCGCCGGGCCGGCGCATGCGGCGCTGCCGAATGGCGCCGTTGGGGCCGGCGACGGCGTCGTCGGCAGCCGGCGAAGTCGACCCGGCGTTCATGCAGCGACGGTGGCAGAGGCGACGGCGGCAGCGATAGCACGGGGATGGAAGCCGTGGCCTCTGGACCGAAGACCCTTTCGCCGCTTTATTGGTTGGAATGTACGGCGGAGCGGCTGGTACGGCTGTGGAGTAGGCTGGTACGACAATGCACCTGACGCCGGCGGCGGAGGCGGCGGATGCGGAGGCGGTGTGGGGGAGGTATTCTACGGCGGCGGCGGCGGCGAGTGTGGCGGGCGGAGTGAGATGGGGCTGATGGTTTCGGAGAAGGACGAAGTGCCCAACCTCCGGCTGCTCCTCTTATACACGGGTGGGTGCGGCTGGTGTGCTGTGTATGGCACAACTTCATGACGTTTGCCTCGGTAATCCCCACTTACCCCCGCGGCTACCCCCACCCCCACCCCTTCCCCCTATACCCCCAGACCAATGGAGCGACCACGTCTTCGGAACCTTCCCGCTCCATACCCCGGTATGGGCTGCCGTACTCGCACCCGCCGCCACACAGTCGGAGGCCGAGCAGGCGGAGGAGCAGGGCTGGCGGCCGCTGCCGGCGAGGTTGGACGCCGGACCCACGGGTCAGTCGGGGCCCTTGGGTCGGCCGCATGTGGTAATGCAGCCGAGAGGAAGGGCAGCAGCAGGCGCGACGGCTGGGGATGAGGTTGCTGCTGGGGCGGAAGCGGAGGTCATGTGGCCTGTGCAGGTGGGAGGGAGGAGCGATGGGAGGGGAAGGGAGAGGCAAATGTGAGGGCAGAGAAGGGGCGAAGCGTTAGGGAAGGGTGTTACATGGGAAGGTAAGGGCAGGGATGTCCCACCCCTTGGGAAGGAAGGTATCTCCTCGTCCACTCCGTCCCTCAGAATTACGGCGTACCGTACATTGTACTGCAGTTCGGAGATCTGGAGATCTTGGCGAGCCCCTCGACGAGTCACAACCTGCAGCGGCTGCGTGTGCGGCTGTCCCGCTGCGCAGTGGGGCTCACGGAGGTGTGCGACACCTCCAACCCGCTGGCATACCCGGATGTGGAGGCGAAGCAGATCCGGGTGCTCCAGCTGTCACCGCACTCGCGTTCTGGAGGCGACGGCGGCGGCGGTGCTGGTAGCTCGGCAGCGGGTGCCGCTGCTGGAGGTGGCGGGACTGGGGGCACTGAAGCCGGGGACGTTACAGTGGATCTGGAGGTTGGCGGTTGGTCGTTAAAGGAGGTGCTACCGGTACAGAGGCCGCAGACACAGTTGGAACCGGAAGACGGCGGCACGACGGGGGAGGCTGCTGCTGCGGGGAAGGCGGATGACGACCAAAAGCAGCAGCGGCAACGACGGCAGCAGCGGCAGCGGCGGTTCCTTCGGAGGATGCAGCAGCAGCGGCGGCGGCGGTTGCTTTGTGCTCCGGGGGAGGACCTGGATGCGGATGTGATAGCTTCGGGTGCTCCGCGGGTGGTGGAGTGGATGTGGCACGACTCGCTGTCGCCAAAGCCCAGGAACGCCGCCGCCGACACCGCCGACGGTGTCGTCGCCGCCGACGCCGCCGACGGCGACAACATCACGTACGTTCGAAACCTGGATGGGCACTTGATGGGCCTAGGCAGGCCGCTGGAGCGAGAGGCAGTGGACGACCTGTACTGCATGATCTGCGAGGATCAGCACTTGTACGACAATCTTGCCTGCCTCATGGCGCATGTACGAGCATGTCACAGTGAGCTCGATGTCGTACTGTCGTACAACGGACTCCCGCAACCAACCGCTGGTGGCGGTGGCGGCGGCCAGACCGGCTTTCCGGCCCCCTGGGCGGATGAAGAGGAGGGATCCCAGGAGTCGCGCACGCAGCGAGATGGTGACCCAGATCAAGATTACCATCCCATTGCCGTACTTCATGTGTCGAAGGCGCCTGGTGCTGTAGATTGGGGCGCATTGGTGCGGTCCCATGGGGCCGCAGCGGCTGGGGAGGATGGGAGCGAGGAGGAGGAAGAGCTTGACGTGGAGCCTTACGCAAGGCCGAATTGGGCTTTCTTCAGTGGAAAGTGGTGGCGCGGATTGCAGTTGACGTTGCGGGGGCGCTTCAGGGCTTGCCTGCTGGGTGCAGGTGCTGCATGCGGCCCGGGCTCCGTGACAGCGGCAGCGGAGGCGGGACCAAGTACGGCACCGCTGGCGGCGGCGGCGGAGGCAGGGCCCAGCACGACAGCACCCTTGGTGGCGGCGGAGGCGGGTAGGAAGGGAGGCAGCGAGGTGGAGGCGGCCCTACGTCGTCTCCTGGAGGATGCTGCCGTACGACAGCGTACGATATCCGCTGTACGGCAACAGGCTGCCGCCGCCAGGCCACCGCTGGCGGAGCTCGCCTGTGGCGGCGGTGGCTGCGGGCCCCTGACGGAGGAGGCACCGCAGCGGCGGCGGCTAGCTGCGGGTGCGGTGTGGGAGGCGGCGGCGGCTGCAGGCCGGCAGGTCGTGCGGGAGGCCCGCAGGCGCCTGGGTTCGGATGTGGGTGGCCAGGTGGCTGCGGTGGTAAGGGGGGTTCTGGAGGCGGCGTGGAGGGGGCTGCAGGAGGGCGAGAGCGGTGGGGAGGGCGGCTGGGTAGGTGCTGGGGGGTACGAGGAGGAGCAGCAGACGGAGGATGAGGATGAGGAGGAGGAAGTGGAGGAGACGGAGGCTGCCGGGGCAGGGCGGGGGGTCGCCGGAGGACATGAGGCGGGACGTGCGGCCGCTGCTGCCTGCGGGTCGGGGGCGGCCTTGTCTCGCTCAGCAGACGGGACAGCAGCAGAAGGGGCTGCTGCTTCAGCGCCGGCGGTGGCGATAGCGGCTCCTGAGGCAGCCTCCCCCCAGCCGCATGGGGTCGGGGCCGAGGCTGAGGAGGAACCCGGTACGACAGCTGCTGGGGGTGCGACGGCAGCAGCTGCGGCCGCTGAAGCCGCAGCCCAAGCGGCAGCTGCAGCGGAGGCGGAGGTCATGAGAGCAGCCGCAGCGGCAGGGGCTGCGGCGGCAGCAGCACTAGCAGAGGCGTTAGCGGTCGCTACAGCAGCAGCACCGGGGGCTGCAGCGGCAGCAGGTGGCCCCGCGCCCGGTGCCGCTGGCCCCTCCAGCGCTGCTGCTGCTCCGGCTGCACAGCAGCGGCAGCCTGCTCAGCCGCCGCAGCGGCAGGAACAGCAACACCACCGGCAGGCGGGGGGGCCGCAGGACGCAGCGGGTGGCTCTGGAGGCGCCGCTGTGTCCCCGGCAGCTCCGGCGGCAGTTGGGCAGCAGCAGCAGCAGCAGCAACGGCAACAGCCGCAGCAGCCCGCGCCACGGCCGTTTGGGTTCATCTCGCTGGTGGACTCCGAGGATGATGAGGACGATGGCGCAAGGGCTGCGCATGCAGGTCGTGGCGGCGGCGGCGGCGGCCGCAGCACGGGAATTGAGGATGGCGGGTTCATTGGGGACAGCGACAGTGATGTGGAGATTATTGAGGATACGACACCGGGCCGTGGAGGAGGCGGTGCGGGTAGGTCCGAACAAGCTGCGGAAGCCGGGGTCCATGTTGCCAATGTGGCCGCCGACATGGTGCCGGAGGCGGTGGTCCCGGCCGGCAGCAGCAGCAGCAGCAGCAGCAGCGGAGCCGCCGCCGCTGGTGGCGGTGGCGGCGCCGCGGGGCGGGCGGCGACGGCGACGGTGGCCGGAGCTGGGCCCTGGGAGGAGGAGCATGAGCAGCCCGCTGGTGCCCCTGCAGAAGCTGGCAGCGCAGCAGCAGCTGTGGTGGCCCCTGTTTCAGAGCGGGAGCTGGACCCGCTTGTAGCGGCTGATGCTGGTGCTGCAAGTGTTGGTTTTGCACATACAGTAAATACCGGTATCGCTGCTCCTGTACCAGCTGCTGCTGCTGCTGCTGCTACAGCGATCGCAGCTACTGCGGGCACTGCAGCGGAGGCCGCTGGTCCAGTCGTTGCACCCAGTCATCAGCCTGTCCCTCCTTCTAAGCCCCAGAGGGTTCTTGAGCTGCAGGGCGGTGGGGAGCCCCTGGATGCCTCCTCCTCGCGCCGGAGGGCGCCTTGCGGCTGCCCCCGCCGGCCTCGTAAGCCCGCCGCTACTGTGAAGTTTCCATTCCCGCGACGCCGGCGGCATCTCCTGTCGTACGGCAGGTATGACGACGCGTTTGGTATGGGCGGTGCTGCGGCGGGGGCGGCGGCGGCCGCTGCCGCCGCCGCCGGTAGCTTGGACGACATCCTGTTTGGGAGCCCCGCCGCTTCTGCAGCTGCCGCCGCGGCAGCGGCAGCGGCAGCAGCAGCAGCCGGCGGGACTTTCCCCGATGACAGCGGCGGCGTTGAAGGTGGCGGAAGCAACGCAGGGGGTACTGCACGGGCGGGCGGTGATGAGGGGGAAAGCGACCAAGAGGTACAGCAAGCCGACGGTCGGAGAAAGCGCCGCCGATCCGAGCAGGGGCAGCGGCCGGGAGCAGAAGAGGCGTCGGCTCGTCGCCGGTGTACGGCGGGGCCGGTGTACGACATCGCGGCCGCCGCCGCCGTCCTTGCGAGCAGCATAGACGCCGCCGCCGCTGTCCCCAGCACCCTCCAGCTCAAGCAAGGCGGCGCAGCGGGCGGAGGCGCCGTTGCCGGCACTCCTGCTATGTTCATGGCCACCGCCGCCGCCAACGCTTCCAAAATTCACCGTCAGCAGCGCCAACAACGTCTGCAGGGTACGGCCGGACTGCCGCCGCCGCCGCCGAGGGGCTTGACGGCGTCCGGGCGCGGTCAGGTGCAGCGCGCTGTCTGCGGTGGCGGCGCCGCCGCTGCAGGAGGCGGCAGGGGAGGCGGAAGATCATCCGCCGCCGCCGCAGCAGCAGCGGCGGTAGCACATGCAGGCTCCGGGGGTGTTCTGCGGCTCCTTGCCAACAGCCTGCGACCGGTGCGACCGGGGCTGTGCGCGGACTATGCGCCGCCGCGGGTGTTTGTGCACTCGAAGACGCTGCAGCCGATTTGCCCGGTGAGTTGTTGTTGGGCGCTGCTTGGTAACAATGGTAGGGGCGGATCGGTAAGGGCGTAAGAGGTCTAGGAGATGGGCACCAACATAGGAGTTGTACCGCGTTCTTCTCACCATCGTCATCATCATCATTATCATTGTCACTATCATATTTAACATCGTAAATCACTATCATGTTCACCATCATCGGAGCCGTGTCTCCGCTGCCCCTGGGTGCTGTTGCACCACTGCTGCTGCTGCTGCCCCACGGAGCTGTCTAGATGTGCCAGGTAATGTCGTGCCGTGTGTAGTACGGGTGACGTACGACACACGGGTTACTTCCCTGCACCGGCTACGATGTGTGGCTCGCTGCACTGCCTTCCGGCAATCACAGTACGTTCCGACTCGCGGCCAGTTTTCTGAACACCCGCCTCCCTCGCCTCCCTCACTCGACTCCGACTCCAGGAGGAACTGTACCGCATCTTCAAGATTCCAGCTGCGACGACGGGGGCAGCTGGGGCTACTGCTGCGCCTCCTCCTGCGCCTCCTCCCCCGCTCAGCTCATCACCCTCTGCAGCTGCAGGGCAGCCAGGGGAGCCCACCGAGGGGGCCACAGCAGGGCCGCCATCAGGGCCCCCCATGGCGGCAGCGGAGGCACCAGCGGTGAGGGGCGCGCCGCATGCAGCGACGGCGGAGTCGGTTGTGGCGCCTGGTGTGGCGGCCGCGGCGGCAGTATTGCCGTCGGGGCACTGGACTGGAATGGGAGCTGCGGAGGTGGTGTCGGAGTCGGCAGCGGCGGGGCCATCTGAGGCGGGGCCACCTGAGGCGGGGGCGGGAGACCAGCTGATGACGCCGCCAGCGGCTGCGTCGGTGACGGCGGCAGTGCGGGGGCCGGCTGCCGGGCTGGCTGGGGCTGTCACGGATTCGGACGATGAGACGGAGTCGGATGAGGAGTGGGAGGTGGGTGTGTACGGCAGGGCGAGGGGAGGAGTGGGGGATGATGGGAGGCAGGAGCTGGGTAGGGCGCCAAAAAGGGGTTGGGGCGGGGATGGGTGTGAGGAGGTCAGCAAGAAGCGCAGCGCCCGTGAGATGAAACGATACAGGATACGGGGTCTTGCTGGTTGTCGTGCATGGCGCGCAGGAAGAGGGCGGGATGGAAGGTACGCTGCGCGCTGCCCTTATCGCCTCTCAACGGGGCTTCTTCAACACGCCGCCACCCCGAGGCGGGCGTGTGCCCCCTGTTGCACCAGCAGTTGGCTTTCCTTTGCTACGAGTACCTTTGCTACGAGTACCCACCCCCTACCTCATAACCCCTCCTAACACCTCCTAACACCCCCCTAACACCGCTTGCATGCTCCGTACTCCCGGCCCGCCCGCCCCCCCAGCGCGCCCAGCGAGCCAGGCTAGCGGGTGTGGCGGGGGCGCACGCGGACGACTTCGGACTGCCAGCGGCCTCGTCGCTGACACCGAGTGAGTGAGGGGGTCCGCGGTCGGGGGGGGGGGTAAAGAGGAAACAACTAACTGACTGAGGGATAAGGCGTCAACATGGGTTGCAACATGTGAGCCAGCCCGACCCGCCCAGCCCGAAAGAGCGGTCAGGGGGGGGGGGAGGTCAGGGTGATGGGGGCATGGGGGGTTGGGTCCAGTGGTTTGGGGTGATTGCAAACGTGGCAGGTAGGACACGCGGGCCCATTCCCCTCCCCTCCCTGCATGGCCTCCCTCCCAGCCCCTTCCAAGCGGCTGCCTGCAGCTGCCTGCTGCCCTGACTGGTCCCTGCCTCTCCCAACGCATTGGGCTTACACCGTGTGCAGCCTGCAGCCGTATGCACCCCCGCTCCCCTAACCACCTTCCTCCCCCCTCTTCCTCTCCCCATGCGGCTCGCTGCGGCCGTAACACTCACACATCTGCGTTACGTCTGCAGCCACCAATCCCCTCCCCCTCCTTCCCTGCCGCCTCCTATCCCGTTTGTCCTGCCCTCACTTGTGGTTTTTGGTGTACATCTCCCTAACCCTACCCTACCCTACCCTACCCTACTACCATGGTGTTCGACGGTCAGGGTCAGTACTTCATGCGGCCCAGCTTGTCTAGTCTACGCTACTCTGCCCTACCTACCACCCCCCGGGATTTGAGATTGGGACTCCATTGCTGAACTTATGCTGAAACACACCCCCCCTGCCCCCCCCCCATGCACCCAGGCTGCCGCCACTTCATGCTGCTCTGGAACCGCTTCGCGCGACACCACCCGCTCAGCAGCGACTACATAACATCCACCAGGTACGACACAGACGCCTGGCGTTGACGGTGTACGACGGAGTACTTGCATGGTGTACGACGGTGTACGACAGTGCGTGTACGGTGTACGACAGTACATGCGTTGTGTACCCTTACCAGGAGTGCATGAACAGCGTTACAAGGGCCCGACTCTGCGGCGTTGTACATGTCGCACACGTTCCTCTCCATCCCTCGGCTGCACCCCGCTTCCCCTCACCCCGCCGCCCTGCCGCCCTCTTCGTACTCGTGTTGAATGCCAGCCCCCTGGTCTGGGGTGCCCCATCCACCCCAGAAGACCGGATGTTCGCAACGCATGACGACCTGCTGTCGCCCCTCCCTCTCCCTTCCCCTCCCTCTTTGCATGATAGCACAGTGTTTGCTTCCGCTGCTCCTTACCCTCCTCACACTCCACTCAGCGCCGAAACCTCATCTCTTCTTTTAATTGTTGCTCAGTTTTCCGCACATCCTGCCGTACTCCTTCCTCTCCCCCCCATCCTCTGTGACCTCTGCTGCCCCTCTGCCCCATTTCGGACCCAGATGTGAGCAGTTCGTCACAAGTCGTGAGGGCCGCGAGATCGCCGCCTCACCGGACTTTGCGGAGCTGCGCGCCGCCTTCTCGCAGCACCTGGCGGCGCTGTGGCGACATGCGCTGCTGCAGCCCGCCACCCTGGCCGGGTAGGGTGGCGGGGGGGATTAATGAGAAGTGCAGCAGCGGAATGGGGGGGGGAGGTGACGGGGGGTAAACGGTCCTGGGGAAACCAGCAACTATTGATTAAGGCTGGGCACAAACCCACCCCGATTTAAGTCAAACCCACCCTGCTTGGCCCAAGTCCTAGCCCCAAGCTCTGCTCCGTGTTTCTCGCTCACCTTCTTGGTGTACGTAGCGGTAGGGGGCTGGGTGGCTGCGTATGGTTGCATGTTTGTTGTTCCAGCTGATGCAGCAGCTACCAGCCCACATTTCATAGCTATAAGCTGGCAGAGGTTACTTTTGTTAGTCCTCGTCCATCGCCCAAGTGTCGCTTTGGTGTTACCAATCTATGAATCGCTTTAATTGTTCCTCTTTGCAGTTGCCTTGGAAGCCTGGACCGGCTCCGAGCGGAGCATCTGGAGCAGCAGCAGCGGCAGCAGGGCCGATAGTCATGACGGGTGATAACAGTGTCATCGCAGGGTGGCACTTGCATTGACAGCGGCGACGGCGGTCGTGAGAAGGGCAACCCGGGTAGCAGCAGCAATACGGGACGCAGCCTGGTCAGGGTGCCGCAAGGACATCTGAAGTCAGCAGTAGGGAGGGCTTCTTACGTTCTTCTTAGCATCAGCAGATGCAGCGGAGTGAGAGCAGCTGCGGCAGCAGCAGCAGTACCAACAGCAGTCGACGCACCAGCAGTTAGGGAGCTCTGGTTGTAGCATTGCAGTGATGGGAGCAAGAGAGCAGTAGCAGGCCAAGGCACGGATGACAATTCCAAGAAGTGACTTTCACAGGCAGGAGAAGCCGTATGGTAGGGCTTCATACGGCGCGTTTCCTTGCTTAGGCAACAGAGCTACTGTTAGCACGTTTGCCAATGCGGCGTTGGGTGGCTAGCGTTATGCATGTTGCAGGATGTGAGGCTATGATAGGGGCTCTGCGTTTCTTAGAGCGTACACTCTAGGGTGGCCAGGTTGGTTTTGCCAGTCAGATATACGGGTGCGTACATACGGAAACGTACGAGTTCGGGGGGTTTCACAATGAGCCATGCAGAGAATGGGCTGGATAACTGGTGGCCGATCCTCTTGTACATTTACCGGTATCAGGAGCGTGGCCACGAACAGGTCAGGCAATCTTACCCTTGGGCAGACGGGATTGCTCTTCCACCAAGTATTCAAGCCTTACATCTACACCATAATGAAGCGGTACCAATCGTTAAACCAATCTTCACCACCAATCTGCGACACCTGGACATCATACTAGTGGTGGACAGCAACGGCAGAACCTTGTAAGACGCTTTCCCATCCTGTCCAGGCATCATCTCCAACGCATTAAAGCGCCTCAGGGTACCACTTATGAACAAGACGGCAACCCAAGCAGGGGACTCGGCAGCGAAAAAACAACGAGTGTGCCCAAGGAAATGCGCGTTGTATGCTGTCATCGCTCTTGCCCTTCAACTTACTCCCACGCTCGAGAAGCGGGCATGCTACTGCATGGACGGATGGTGGCACGCACAGTGAGGTAAAGCTGCCCGGGATCCACATCTTGGGTGCGAAGCCAACTGAGCTGCATGACATTCCTGACCATAGCTGTCCACTGGTGTGTGGGTTTGGGGCATGGGGCGGGGACACACTATACCGTGACCTCTTTCGCGGACACTACCGTAGTATTATACATTGCTGTAGGTATAATGCTACGGTGTATATGGCGCGCGAAGAGCATGTCAGGTGGCTATCCTGGTTGTTCCCAGGGGCTACGGCAAGGTGCCTCATGACCACCTGCGCCTCAGCGAAGTTGTTTAATGGCTTAAGAGTTAAGCGTGCTTTCTAGCATACGCCATTACAGGCTATCGGGTATCGACATGTTCGTATTGACCGCAACGGGCTAACGGGGCCCAGACTGCGCCCCTGCGATGCATTGCAATATTAATATTCATTCATTCATTACTGATCAACAGAAAGTAATATGCATTTCAAGGAGTAACATGTTCCATTCCAACTACTTAGCCCTGGACGCATGAGGCAGGGGGCCACGAGGTACGGGCAATCGCAAGACGCAATTTGCTGCCATCTCAGGACGTCCAGTTGCTAACTACCTTTTCAAGCCTGGGCCATAAGGGCGTTTTAGAGCGCTTGCGCAAAGTCATGGTAGCCACACTGGGTGCATTGCTTGACCGCATGCATAATTACCGGTATGCCGAGACCAGCAGGGCGACACGGAACAGTGTTGTCCACGACGGACTAATGGGCCGTTTATTAGGAGCTCCTGGGTTGCATAGGTAAGGTAACCACTGCCGGCGCTCAGGGACATCAATGGTTCACATGGCAGGCCTTAAGACGCTAATCGGGTCACAAAGCTTCACGCCTAATATTGGCAATTTAAGTACCTGTTGGGCCTGCTGTTCCGAGACCCAATCCTATTTTGCTTTTCCGTTGGTAAGACGCCAACTATCGGTCCGGTTCGCAGGTTTTGCAGCACTATCGCGTTGTTCCTTGCGGGACAAATCATTTTCCTACTCCTGGCGACATCAGGCGCACTCAAATCGTCTAATGGAATCGGCATTACTGTCGAGGACCTGCTGGCCACCTCAGACCTCCTCCCCCAGGGCATCCTGTACCTGCAGCCGCTGCGGGATGTTTCAAATCCCACGACCTCAGAACTACCCGCATCAAACGTCGTCCTTCAGGGATTGGGAAGCAGCGTGCTGCAGAAGGGTGGTGGCGACGGACCTATCTGGTATCAATATCCACCGCTTGCCCCCCCACCGTATCCCCTGCCACCTGGGAATCCTGTGTCCCCTGGCAGTCTCAGGCCCGACCTGCCACCCCCACCACCTGCGCCACCCCTAGAGCTGTTCACACAGCTGGATTGCTCGGGGCTTCATGGGTACTCCTTGGCAAAAGTCCCTATAATTGGCTTGAAGCCAGGTGAGTGCACTTCTGGGTGTGTTTCTGGAGTAGAAAGTGGAACATCTCGACAGCGTGCATGTAGACGCATGCATGCGTGTGTACGTGTTACGTTCTGGCTTCCAGCAAGGCTGTGTACAACAGCCGGTAAAGTACACGGCCCAGCAGGGCACATGCCTGCTTGCTTACTTGTGGTATGCTGCGTCCCACAAACACTGCTGGGAAAATGCTTCTGAGCTAACTGCTAGCTTTTCCATAGCTTTTCCATGCTTGACTCCTTGTGCAACCAGCCTACTACCCTAGTACTTTCCTGTCTTCGCAGGCCAGCACCTCACGCTGTCGTCCCTGTCAGTCTCCATGGTGGACCTTTCTGAGCCGCTGGGGCCGGCAGCCAATGTACTCATGACTCACCTCTCGCCCTCTGGCCTTGTCCGTGTGCCCAACGGGGCTACACTGACGCTTCTACACGTTACTCTTTTGTTGCCAGTCAATGACATGTTAGCCTACCTATCCAGCCTTGGTCATGCTATTAGTGCATGGCCGTACAGTACGGCAGTGACCATCTCGGAGAATGTTGTGTACATTGGAAACCTCACCACCACAGCCTTGGCATTGGACGGAAGTGACGACCCAGGAACAGCAGGGGGAGTGGTGCATTGGTCGAACGTCACCATAAAATGTCCGAGCCCGAAGTCATTTTGGGACATGGGCACACCAGTCACAGTAAATATTGTGATGAATGCATTGGACCTAACATTCATAAGCTGGGTGGGGCCAGTGTTTGTTGGCACGTTCTTTCTACCATTGGCACCTGACGTGGTGGCACTACCTGTAAGCTGGGAACAGGTAAGACACACTATGCTGATTGGTGTGAAACTTTGCTTTTGTGGGCGGGGAGAGGATGGGAACGTGGGGCAAACGTACCTATTGTTTGCTTTACTGTATCTGTGGACTGGTGCGGCTTTCCGAATGGGAAAGCGAGTGGTGCCAACGGGAGATCACACCTGCCACCCTGCATGGCTAATGCCGTCCACGGTTAGGCGGTATGCATGAGTAAGCATCTATTGATGATTTGTAAGCATTGTCATCGCGCCTTGCATGCACCCAATTCAAAAGCTGGTTGGTATCCTTGACCCATGTACTGGTACCTTAGCCTGTGACCACTCCCTTATCACTGCATTGTGCTATACGGCAATGCATCCATGCTTGCTGCCTGCATTCACGCCATAATGGCTTGCAGGTACTGCTTCTTGAAGGCCAGCCCTTGTGGGTGATGTTGGGGAACCCTCAGCGCACTACAACTCTGGATTTGTCGGGCGTGGAAGGTGCCTGGGTAACCAGTGGCTACGTGTTTTCTGGTGGTTTATTTGCTCCATCAGAGGTGGCGTACTTGTTCGATTTGACGCTCGTCAACTTGCCGTACACAGTGCAACCGAAAGTTGCCAGCAGCCTCCTGGCGCTTAGTTTGCAGAGCTTTCACATCGACAGGTGAGGACACTAGGTGAGGGCTAGTAGCTAGCGTGTAGCTGGCATGACAAACGGTTGGCGTAGTGAAGTGATGTCCAGGCTACCGGACATCAAGTTGGAGGATGGGGGCTAGACCGGGCCAAATAACAGGTGGATGTTGTGTGCACCTGTCCTTCAACTATTCCGACTGTCTATTTGCTTGCCTATCCTATCTTAACGGCCGTACTTGTACAGGATTTTATCTGGTTTGGGCCCTGCCCAGCTGGTTCTCAAGCGCTGTACGATTGTCGTACCGGACCAGGAGGTTGCCTTCCTGGAGCGAGCAGTGCTGCTGGGGACTATGGAGGCCATATCGGCGCTGTTCACTGTATTTGATGTGCAGGTATGCCAGCATGGACATGGTGTGGTCGAGTGAGTGCATCAACACAGTAATGCGACGGGATGAGATTGATCACGGTTCAGATTGCGTGACAATATTCTTGTGCTACATAACTAAACGCTGCCTGTACCTTTAACTCACCCTATGCTGTTGTCACAGCAACAGCGCTCGGCCGGTGTGGGCATACCTGTAGATCACTGCGGTGACGGCTAACTGGCTGTCTCCTTTACTCATGACGGCTGTCCTTTCCCAATCTTTGTTTCCTCGCCTTCGACCACCACTGCAGCTCCCAGTAGCGGGCGTGTTAACCACAAACTCAACAGGTGGAGGTCAGCTGCTGGTGACCGGGCTCAGGATCGGGAACCAGGTGGGGCTGCCCCGGACGTTTCGGACTTGTATCAGTTGGTCTTCGGCTTGTTGAGGCCTTACCGTTGTCACTTGTGTTTCATCATTAGGGTGCGGAGTGTTAAAAATAAAAAGGCAACCGCTCATACAACGGCTCGGGGCTTCTGAGTGCTACCTGTTCGTCTTTGCCTATGGTGCCCCATTGCATGCATGCCTGGTGGTCTACTACCTTACTGAGGTACCCATGCGTGCGTGTACCTGAAACCCCTTCATATAGAAACTTCATATACACCGCCATCGTAGCATCTGGGGTGCTCTCCTTCGAGCCCGGTCACTCCCCACTGCACTGCAACGCATCACACACGGCCGTGCCCCTCTGCTGGCCTTTGCCTGTTCGCTGCACGCATCCCATTGCACAGTCGTCTTGCTCCTAGACAACGCTACAGTCGTCTCTTAGACAACGCTACTTCTCAGTGCGGTTCAGCTGACCGCTGCAGCCACAGCTCAGCGCCTGCTCGACCACTCACGCCGGTTGTGTTGTTCTTGTTTTACGCATTTGCATTCATGTTGTGTTGTGCTTCTGTTCGTCCTGTCTCGCATGCCATCCTGTTTTGCCGTACTTTTTGCACTTAGATATAGGTTCATTTTGTCTCTAACACCCCCTTTCCTCGCTCTGGTTCATGTTTCTGCGCATGGCATTACTCGCATTACTGCGGCTGCTGGTCCTGGTGCTGACTACGGCGTCTTTGCTCGCAGGTACGCAATGCGCGTTTGCACGCACGCATGCACAGAATTGTGGTGTCTCGTCTGCGTGACCAGAGCGGGGGCTCCCGGCGTCGAGTCGGTCAGCGGGCTAGGTACTCGGTAGTAATTAGCTTTTTACGACACCATCAGCATCACCGACATGCGTCGTCAACCCACCACTCTTCTTACATCCAGCACCAGCTATTTCAGCAGTTATTGTGTTATGGTTCAGGTTTGGTTACCTCTGTTTTACCTCTGTTTTGCTTGTACTTGCGGTTCACATGCGAACCTATCCCAACTGCTTGCTCTTGGTTCCGATCAACTATACACCGCCATCGTGTTGTCTCATGCTCCCAACCACTATGTCCTCCCTAACGCCAACACTCCCTGCTGCCCAGGTCTCCCTGGTCAACTGCACCCTGCTCTCCGCCAGCCGCTACTCGGCACTACCAGGTGCCCAGCCGCTGCTGCCTTCCTCGCTTGTGTGGCCACCGGAGGTGCTGCATGGAGATGTGCAGGTGGCAGCACAGTGGGTAAGTGCTGACCTGCGCACGCCATGCAGACTTTGTGTTCATCACGCGGGTATCTTCCCTTGAGGAAATAAACTCCACCTTCCTTCAGCTTTTGTTCACGATATTCTCTACCACCTGGCGCAAATGTTTGCTGCAGGGGCCCCTGGGGGTTGCCTTTGCTCAGGGTATCCAGGACGCACTGTCCAACCTCGACTCAACATGTGGCCCACTACCGGCAGGCAGATCCCCAATCACCGCCATTACCAGGTACGTGGTGTGTTGCTTATTGATGCAGCGTGAACCTGGGTAACGAACCCGCGCCTGCTGGTGCTTGTCCTGAAGGGTTGTGTTTATCTGTGTTCTAGATGCCAGTCAGGCAAAAGCGAATGCGTTTGACATATACCCGCAGAATCCCAGGTTGGATTGTTTGCATGCTCAGTTATCCCTCCTCTCCGGTGGCTATAGGTGTGACGATCAGAGCATTCCGGCACTGGCTTTTGCTGCTACGGACGAGGCCGACACCATCCGTGTCTCCAGCGGTGGACTACAGGCGTCTGCCAGCGAGTGCATCGTGGGGGGATATCCACTGGCACGTGGCCGTACCTTTGTTGACCTCAAGGTAAGTTGTTTTGCGTGTGGGGATTTTATAATTGCAGTCATACCAGCGCTTTCTACGGCTGTCAACCTCCCTGTGGTGGTGGTATGCCGCACATGGCTTTCATATGCTGCTGTGGAAAGCCCCAGTCACTTGATGCTACCAGCTGCATGTGTCTGGGGCTAGCAATACTAGTACGTTTTATGTAGTCGATGTAAATAATGCATGTGGTCTATGCACTATATTCCGTCATGCCCTACTTCCATCCTTTCCTCGCACCCCAGGGCACCATCGGCCGTGTTGAGCTGCAGCGGCCCATCACGCTCCGGAACCTGGTGCTGTACAACCTGGCTCCGGGCGGCATGTACCCGCTGCTGGGGTCTGGGGGCAGCAGTGATGGCAGCGGCGGCAACGGCCAACAGGAAATGCCCTCAGAACCCGCGGCCCCTCCATTGTACCCTGTGGTGCCCGGTGCCTATGGCAGCAGCGACGGCATGTACCCACCGCTGGGGTCTGGTGGGTATGTGGGCTGCGGCAGCAGTTACAGCTATATCGCCAATGTCGTTGGCTCCCAGCAGGCATCAGCTCCAGTCCAAGCAACTCCTCAGCTGGAGGGCGCAGATGCCGCTTGGACCAACAGCTCCCTGCCGCTGTGGTTCTTCCGGATGGCTAGGGAGCCCGCCGGTGTCACCTCTGACACGCAGCAGCCGCAGCAGCAGCCACTGCTGGTGCTAGAAAACGTGACCCTTGTAATTCCGGAGGTCGAGTGGCGAGCAGTAGCTGCTTTGCTAATGCAATCTTTCCCTGCGGTTGAGGCACAACAACAACGGAGAAACTTGCAAGAGCACGGCTGGGAAGCGCCACATGAGCAGCTGCAGCAGCCAGACTTGACACGCCGGTCTGGGAAGAAGGGGGAGCAGCAGCAAGGCAGTATGCTGCCAGGTGCACATGCAGTAGGAAAACAGGAGAGCAAGGAGGTTGTGTCAGACTCGGATGCAGGTGACACTGCAGTTATGCAGCGACAAGCAATCCGCAGGCTGCTGCAACTTTCGCCAGGTAGGCAGTACGGTAGCGCTGGGCTGGTTTTCTTTGTGCTGGGGAAGACTCCTACTACGTCCCCACTACTATGCGGGTTTAGTACTTACTGAACCGGTGTATTACGGCCGCGTTGCACACATTGCTTAGCTCTGTTGAAGGCAGTGATCCGATGTGCTTCGAGAACTTGATTCCTTCCCCCGCTCTGTGTGTGCAGTTCCAAATGTCTGCTCTTAATCATTCCATCATCATGGCATTGCTTGACTTGCAGCTTTCCCGTAGTAAGCGATGCCACGCTGTTGGTTTCTTACCGACCTGCCTTCAGGATCGCTGGCTTCACCACTGTCTGGAAGTTCGCTACTTCGGGGTATAGCGGATTCGCCACTTTCAGAGCCTCCATTAACACCCATGCCTATGTCACCACCCGCACCACCGTTGTCACCACCAACATACCTGGTAGCACCGCCGCCCCCATCACTTCCTGTCCTGGCTTCTCCACCGTCACCTCCTTATGAAGTCACTGCTGGACTGGCACTGTTGGAGTTTGCCGCCGCATCACAGGTGGGCAGACCCACGGGTCAATGGGTCTCTGTCCATTCAGAGCCATGCCAGTGGTAGTAGATGGATAGAGCCTTATGCAGTCCATAAAACCCGATCCACACACTTCGAATGTTATTGGATTCGACCCTACATGTCGAACCTCATGCTTTCATACCCTCATGTTGTGCCTGCTAGGTTCTGTCGTACAACTACGACGCTGGCGAGCTGGTCCTGGCGGTTGCACGGCACTACGGTTGGGTTGGCACCAACGTGACACTGACGTACAAGTTGCCAGCGGACGCTCCGAGCAGTGCGAGCCTTCTGTCGTATCCGCCACTTGTCCTGTCGTACCAGGATCTTGCAGGTAAGGCAAACGCTAGCATGTCTTGCAGCACAACATCATGGGGGGGGGGGTAAAACGTCTTTGCCGAACCCCATGCTAAGAAGTACAAAAAAGGGATGCCGGACGCACCCACCCATTGTCGTACCATTTTAGCTGTACGGCAACGCTGTAAACTTTGCAAAATTGCCCCAGAAAGCACCATTCAACCCCACGATAAAAATCTAAATCATTTTCTCGATGGGCACTACCATTTGGCAACACGTCAGAGTCGCTCGCCACACTGGGGGAGGCCCCAGGCAGGCTGCCAGGTTTAATGCTCTCTTGTCAACGGCCTACGCATCTCGCTTTGTAACTATAGATGCATTGTTGTATTGCCGAAGTGCACGGTTGCTTGTAGCTCGTACGGAGAGTGTACACGCGTACAGACTGTAACTGTAACTGCATGGGGTCATTTTGCGGCGAACCTACCCCCCTGACTACATCATAAACATTTGGAAGTGCACATGGAGCAGCAGCGCCGACTTTACCATACTGACTCTGGCAGCATTGCTGCACGTCCTTGGTTCTGTTCACACATTACCGTGCTGGGAACGGTATTGTGGGGCTGTGCTCGCTCGGGCCCCGTCTTACGTGGTAATATGTTCCGCGTGCCTTCTGCTATTCCCGTCCCGCCTTCCTTTATCCAATCTGGCCACCGCCGAAAACGTTAAAGAAACAGAGCCACACACCTTTCTTCCCCCATAATTCAGTGGCGAATGGAGCCATGGAGGACCATGACATGCCGCCCTTGTCGGGATCTGGCTCTCCCTCTCCGGCCCCCCAACAACAGCCGGACCATGGTGTCAGCCCTACTGATGTCAAGTACGGCGGCGGGCTTCCTCCTGCCGTATTGCCCCAGGCATCACCACCGTTCCCTGCGGGTATACCAACCCTGCCGCTTCCTAGTGGCGCCAGCCACCCTTCCTGGGTGGTGCCGGTTGCCAGCTCCCTAGCCGCCGCTTGCAGCATCGTTTTCCTTGGAGCAGCAGCACTTCTGGTTGCCAAGCGACGGCGACGTATGGCGGCCGGTGCCCATTCCGCCACTCATGCTGCCGCCTCTGCGGTCAAACTGGAACTCCACGGCAAGTGGCGGCCTGACTTTGGAGGTAGCAGCCCGACCTCATGTACCAGCCAGGGATGCAAAAAGCAAGCGAAAGAAGCAGGAGGCTTGAGTGAGGAAAGCAGGGCCAGCATGGGCATCAGTGCTGGTGAAGGAGGTCAGGACAGCCAGGGGGCTAGTGAGACTGTAACATGCACGATGGCGCTGGCCACAGTGACGATTAACCTGTCGAGCCCCACGGGCCTTACTTCAGAGGTTGGGGCCACGCTGGAAGGTGGCCGGAGCGGCTCCAAGCTTTCACAAGGAATTGCTGGGGTTATTCCCTCCATGAGCACAGCTGGCATGGAGTGTGTTCCAGTAACGAATAGCCTAAGCCTCTTTGAGGTGGGAGATCCAGGGAGGGTTCGTGGTGGAAGGAATTATGCGCCAAGCAGTGTTGCCGTCATCTTTCGACACTAAATGCTTTTTTCTCTCATGTCAAGCTATGCTGGTCCATGTTACCTACTGGTCCCTGTGGTCGTTAGGATTCTTAGCTGGGAAGCGTACCTTTAGCTCGTTCTGGCTTGTTGTGTGTGCCCTTGACAGGCCAACCGCCAGGTCATTAGGAGTGTCTTGAAAGCAGCGGGACCTGCTCCAGGAGCCGATGTTGTGGACCGGCCCCAGCAGCAAGAGGGAAGACTACATGGACGGCAGCACCAACGGGTTGAAGGAGCCCATGGAGGCAGTGCTGTCGGACTTTATGGCCCAGCGCAGATATTGGAGGCACGGACAGGCGAGGGACGGCTAGTAAACTACATAAGCAGTAATGCTCGTCTTGAAGAACTCATGGTAAGTCTGTTCAAGGCCAGGTGAGCCGTGCAGAGACGTAGGCACGCACTGCTGCCATGAGCATCCGGCCTGAAATTGGCCTGCTAGGCAGTACGTTCTTGAGGCCCCAAACCCGACACATCTGACCTGCCGTGAGCACCTATGTTTGGCTCTTCTCACAGGCGTACTACATTGGTCTGGAAGGCCGTGCTGGGTGGCACTTGACTGCATACCAGCCATCTCTGAAAGAACAGCAGCCATGGAAGGGTGCTTTACTTAAGGGTAGCACCACGGACGAATACGAGTCCCAGCCGTTGGGCCCAGCAGGCGCGCCGAGGACTGCTGTGGTGGTGTACGGCAAGCAGCTGGGCACCCATCGAAGCATGCAAGACACCATCAATGCCATCGAGGTGTGGTTGTGTAAAAAAACACGGGAGGCCAGCTGTGGTTAATGCTGTCAGGATGGCGGGATAGTTAAAATGGGTTTGGGTTGACCTAGTCCATCTGTCTGCATTATTGAGTATTGTGTTTGTGTTTGGGCTAGCAGGAAAGCAAGTATAGCACCCAAGTTGCACTATGTGGGAAGAACGGTGGGAAGTCCTGCAGTGATGCTGATACTGGGGCAGCTGTGCGATTTTCTTGTTAAATGTTTATCATTACATGCATAGTACGCTTGTGCACCCATACTGAGTTCAGGCCGAGTTTGCAATTCCCAGACGTCATGTACCCTCCTGAGGGTGTTTTTATTCAAACGATCTGGTGACACCTACCATGCAACGCCAAAGCCCATTTCGCCACCACTCACCCCAGGCGGAGTTGCGAGACCCAGATCTACACGTTCATTCTTTGTTGGGCATCGGAGCCTATGGCTTGGTGTACGGCGGCACATGGCGGGGCCTGCCAGTGGCGATCAAGGTGTTGGTCGTGTCGGAGGGGCCCATGGGTCAGGAGAGCCATGCCAGGCACCGGGCAGTGATGGAGGCGGCCATTTCCATGAGCCTGACACACCCCAACATCGTGGGTAAGTACAAGGGCCGTTAAAGGGCCGTTGTCCTGCACTACGGACAAACGGAAGCTAGCCGGTAGCAACCTACGAAAACAATTATCCTTTTTTGTCTTTATTTGAGCAATAACCGTCACTCCGTTTCATGATCATCATGAAGGACTTCAGAGCATTGATGACAGTATAGAAAGCAGTTCTCCTGCCCTGCCGCAATGTGGAACCACATGTGTAAGCCTGCAATCCATGCCTGTTAGTAAGCCATCTGTAATTCCTTCTGCAAATCCACAGCTACGTATGCGTATGACATAAAGGCGCTGGTGTTTGAGCCGCGTAAGCCCGGAGCTGCAGACCTGCAAGCGACGAGCGTGGCTGGAGTGGGGGCGGTGGCTGGAGACTCGCATGGAGACTTAAGCATCTCTGCGGGCTCCTATAAGGAGGGAGTGGCGGCCGTGGACAGCTACAAGCTGTACATAGTGCAGGAGCTATGCAATGCGGGCACTCTGCGCCAAGCACTTGGTAGGAATGGTTGGACTGGGAGCAGCGGATTGTGTGGTTCAGAGGTGGAAGCCTACGATAGTATCATCCTATTCTGCGTTCCTGACATGCGTTTCCCACCTTACTTTATGTACCGTATTCCCATATGAACCCCGTCCAGATCACGGTGTGGCTGGCAGCGTCCGTGCTTGTGGTCTGCTCCGAGTACTTGCACTGCGGCTGGCTTTGGACGTGGCGCAGGGCATGCGGCATATACACGGCTGCCGTATTGTGCATGGAGACCTGAAGTCGGGTAAGTATCACGGAGGTATTACGGTGGGCAGGGTAAACCATGCGCCTTGGCTTGCTGAAACGGTAATTAGGGATTCGATCTGGTTCGATTAACCAGAGACACATTTATGGGCCCGTTATTAGTCTTCTTTAGGCATCATGCTTCTGCAACATTGTCCTTGATGTATTGCTTTAACGGACCCCCTACTGTGGGCACCCCTCCTCTTCACCCTCAGATAATGTGCTGCTGGCACACGGCCCACGAGCTGCTTCCTTGAACGACGGCAAGGAGACGCTGGACCACGGACCACAAGCCACACCTGGTGGTGAGACACAGCGAGACACAGCCGTGCAGCCCGGGGCAGTCCAGCAACCGCCACAGCTGGGCCTCGCAGTGGCCACAGCTGCAGAGACATGTGTGAGCGAGCTTGCAACCCCAGAAGAGGGCAAAGGCGAGCTAGCAGGGAACACAACCGCCCTTGCAGGTGCGTTGGCAAAGCTGCAGCTGACGGCCAAGGTGGCAGATTTCGGGCTCAGCCTGCCGCTGCCCGAGGGAGCCACGCACGCCTCGCAGCGCTTCCAGGGAACTCCTGCCTACATGGCGCCGGAGGTGAGTGGCCCATCTTGTGCCGGCGTTCCTGCAAGAAGCATTTGTGCTCAAAGGGATAAACATGAGTATAGGCCCCTGGGTTGCTGCTGTGCGCACCGTATCCTTTGTTTGCCGATGGGGCCTTATGGGTGTTTAGCTGGAGACCCATGGGCCGCTGCTGCACCGTTTTCGTCCGTTGGTTAGTTGACTTAGCTATCGGATGTCGCCAAATGCTAATATACCTCCCCAGGTGGCGCTTGTTGGCCACATGTCCCCTCGTGCGGACGTTTGGTCGTTTGGGCTGCTGCTGCTGGAGCTCTACTACGGCTGCACAGTTGCTGACATGGTGTCTGTGCAGGGGGAAGGCGGACACGAATCAGGGGCAGCAGAAGAGAGCAGTGACATGGGCTTTGATAAAAACCAGGTCCAGGCCCTTGTCCCAATCCTCATCAAGGTAGGTGAAATACTTACAACGGATGTTGTTGTAGACCAGCATTGCCATACATATCTTTACGCATTTTGTCGCCTTCACAGCCGGGCTGCGTTTACGGGACAAAGGCTTCCTCCTTTATACGATTCATCTTGCTTACCCTCAGGACATGGTGGCAGCAGCACATGTGCCGTATGCAAAACTGGTGACAGCGTGCCTGGCGTCCGACCCACGGGTCCGTCCAGATTTTGGGGGAATCATTCAGCGCTTGGAGCAGGTGTTGGACGCAGTTGAGCCGTGCGTGTAGTAATCCGGGCATAACTTGTGGTTTTGGCGTGATAAGAGAAAGAACATATCCGTTTGCTAGTGAATAGTGGTACATTCGTTTCATTCGCATAGGCGCATAGGCACGAGTGAGCACATTTCATCATGTTTCCTATAATCAGCATCACCTTGTCCTCACCTCATCCCATGTTTGCATCGCAGCAGTGTTTACGTCCAGTAGATAGTGTTTACGTCCAGTGTCGGCTCATGTGGCTCTACTGCTTTGGTTACATGCTCTAATGTGGACAGGGAAGCTGTTGACTGCACATGCATGCGGCATGTCATGCATTGCAAAAATGCTTCAAGGTTTTCGCATGTAAGGGATCGTTTCACGACGTCTCTCATTGCATTCAAGGGATGCCGAAGTATGTCGGCTTTGACTGCAAGCTGATCATACGTATCTGACGATGAATCTTGTGGATAATACCGTGAAACCGGCGGCACGGTCATGCATGTGCAAATTCCGGAAAGGGTTGATTGCATTCCATACACACGCGCATCAGCATGTATGATTCCATCTTGATTGCTTTCATGTTTTGGGTAGCGTAGGTCGAGGAGAATGACACATCTATTGGCCACTGCAACAATAAGGGTTTCAATAAGGGTTGTCCGTAGGTCCGCAAAGAACTGAACTTGCAGGCATCATGTGCATGCATGCGCGGGGTGCTGACGGGTGAACATCGAATAATTGTGCTGCTGTCAAAGCACCTTTACCTCTTGAACGAAGGCGTTTCCGCGATTATTAAACGGGTTTTGCGTGGAGGTTCCCTCGGTGGGGGTATCGGTATGCCTTTTTTGGTTTCGGGTTGAAATGGTGCTTTGTCACTTCTATGACTTGGACTCTACATTTCTGGCCTGAACCAGTTATCATTTACAATCATGTATGGCTGCACTCCTGTAACAAAGAGGATACAAAAACTCTGGCAAGAAGCCTTAGGCTGTCTTAGGGCATACTATACAATTGCGGACGGAGGCACAAGGAAGCTAGCCAGCAGCAGAGAGGCGGGGGGAAATAAGTATTATAAGTATTAGAAGTGAAACAACGAGTCCCAATCCCATTTCCCGACTCATGCACTGAGCGCATTCGGAGGCACTATCCTAGGAGCACGCAACTAAAAATACTTACCAAATATATGATTACCGTAAACCAGAGAGGGGGGGGCGGATCCAGGACAGCAGGCAGGACTGGGTGGCAACGTGGGTTAAGGAGTCGACGGACAGAATTCTTCACCCAGATCCAAAACAAGCAAGTGAGCCGTTCCATGGATGCATGCCGGCCTGCAATGATTATACACGCATGCCCCTAAACAAAGCACGATGTAAACGCAATGACATGATGATAGACTGATTCTAGCGGGCTAGACACAGAAATAACAGAACATTTGGAACGTATGTGTTGTATGTTTTCAGGGCAGTAAGCCTACCCTAGCTGTTATCAACGCACGTTTGTTACCGGTACCTGCTAGGCACTTGGATTGGGTCTCGAAGGCATGCATGCATGCCAGACTACTTCATGCATGCACCTACACCATCTGCTCCCGGCAAGCTAGGGCCTGTCGCTGGCTTCACAGTAGACTGGATTGGCCGGGCGGGCACGCCTTCATGCAAAGTAAGCCGGCCTAAAATTGACGGAGGGTGGCAACTGTTTCATGGTCTCGTGTCCGGAATGTTGAACTGGAAACTCAAGGACCTAACCCGAATGAAAATGAAAATCGCTTTTTGACGACAATACCGTACATGAAGTCAGTGAATGATTGAAATTGTATTGTTGAATGTTGTGTTTGTATGGTTATGGTGGCATAGTGTAATCCACATAATATTTTTGCAATGCAAGTGGGCACGCGGATGGTTTCCTCGGTCTTATGGCAGACACCAGTATTCCGACACAATAGGAAGCGGACAGTAGCTGAGACCATCGTCAGACGTACATTCTAACAGGGCGTCGACCGCCCTACCCCAATAGCCACAATAGCCGAATGGCGATGCCCTGCGTGGGAAGCTTCTGGAAAGGGGTTGAAGCGCAATGTCTTTGTAGTGGTCTTGTTAACCTGCGTGATAAGAAATATGTAAGATAGAGAAAGGAATTACTTACTTGACATGACACTTACTTGACTTAGCTAAGCTGAGCTACAGAAGGAAGGTGTCATATGTATTTCAGCATTAGTTGAAGCATGGTACTAATATGGCTAAGTCCCAGGGCTACCGTTATTCACAGCCTTGCTGTTCCTGTGTAGACAAAATTAGGCACTTTAAGAGCTAAGCATGCTGTCGATGCCTTTGTCAAACCAGTCCGTTCGTGCCACAATACGAAGGCGCAGTGAGAAGGAGTTTTTGATGTAGATGGCATCGCGGCGGATACTGACGACCTTGCCGGGCTTGGGAAGTGGCTTGTTGGAGGCGTTGCAGGCCTTGACGGTCGAAGGCTGCATGAATACCTCCATCGTTTGGGTACCGGTGACAAGGCGGCCGGAACACACGCAGTTTGCTTCGCCAGCAAAGTTTGGCCCTCCTTGTCAGCGACATCCTTTCCTGAAAGCAACACCGCCGGCCTCATGGCCTTGATGTGTAAGGCTTTTCCAAATCTCTACAACTTTGGAGGAGAGAAATTTGCAGACTTCGACCACACAAACCATACATCCGCTCGCAGTTCGTCCATAGTACTGCACTTATTCCCCTTTGTCGTGCTTGTCGTGGTCTCGTACGCAATAGTGGTCTCGTACGCAATAGTCGTCTGTGTATCTATCTCGTGTATCGTATCTGTATCTCTCTGTGTATCTGTATCTGTGTATCTGAAAAGCATTGAGTAGGTACATGCTTACGTTTGAAACAAACACCGACTGCCGCTGCCATATTGCGACCTAGTTGCTTACCAAGTAGCAGCCCTACAGTTCCGTACTTCAAAATTTATCAACGGTTCTTCGGCACTAAAAACAACGCTTGACTACCACAAGTTTTCGCTTCGGCCATCCGTTTGTGGAGATAAGTAAAGCGGACGCCCCAATGTCAACTGCGCCAAACATCTCTCTTTACCTGGTTCAAAACGTACAAACATCCTAATGCAATCATGATTAGGTAAGGGCCAAACGGGATGTTTTTCTGGGAGAGCAAACGTTGTGTTTCCTGGTCAGGGTCTGTGTGCACGGTCTCCATTGAACAAGTTGCAATACTATAATATAGATATGCACTTGGGGCTTGAAGACACACATCAGCAAGTTGCGGCTCACCGTACATGCATTTGCGTCTCTTGCGGGGTGATGCCGACCCTTGTGTACACGTAAACCAATTGCATGCCAATCTATATTCTGACACAGCACATGACGATGGCACAAATTTACGCAGGATTTTGCTGCTGCTAACGGGTTGGGCGGTATTGACCCTGATGCCAGCAACCGCTGTAAGACTTCCACTAGGGAGTGGAGTGACAGTTTACGACTTGCTGGCGACTTCAGGTGTCCTTCCCCAGGGTGTTCTATCCTTACAGCCGCAACCAAATGCCGCGTCTCCCACAACCACATACTTACCATCCACAACCCTTACACTGCAAGGGTGGGGTAGCCACTTGCCTGGAAACCAGATAAGCGGGGCCTACAATCAACCCGGCTTCACCATTGGAAGTCAACACCCAGCAGGCCCTCCCATTTCTCCCCCTTCGATCCCTTCCACGGCTCCCAGCTCTCCCACTTCTCCTAGCTCTCCCACTCCCCCAAATCCTCCCAGCTTTCCCAACTTCCCTCCCACTGACCCTGACAAACCCTTTACAATTTTGGACTGCTCGGGACTGGTTGACTTTTCTGTGTCGAAGGTCTCGGTAATCAGCTTAAAGCCAGGTATGTGTGAGGACGTTGCCATTTTGAAGAACGCTGTCCTTTCGTTTCAATCCCACGGTGTCTTGCGCTAGGAGCATTTTTAATACATCATGCATGGCTAGCTGATGATAAATATCTGGTGTACCTAACGAATTGCTGTGCCACTTCCGCACTCCTCCTGACAATAGTTCAATGGAAACAGCCTGCTCTGAACACGAATGGCATGCGTGTAACCGCTTTCCTGGCCATGGGTTCCCCACCCATGTAGGTCAACACCTCAAGTTGTCGTCACTGTCAGTGCTACTGATAGACCTCGTAGAGCCCCTGGGCCCAGCAGCCAGCATGGTCATTGATCACCTCACACCTTCAGGCCTCGTCCAAGTACCCAAAGGAGCCATCCTGACCCTCCAAAACGTGACACTGGTATTGTCACCTTACTCTATGCGGACTTACTTGGAAATCCTCAGCTGTAAAGTGAGTGCCTGGCCCTACAGCACAGCAGTCACAATCTTGTACAACGAGATACATATCGAGAGCCTAACTACATGGTCGCTGGCATCAGATGGAGGCCGCGACAATGTCAACACAGCAGGCGGCGAGGTGCAGTGGCTGGGTGTCACTTTGAGGGGCGCGGATGCAAAGCCATTTATTAATCCCTTGGGAGCAACGGCTGTGACAGAAGCCTGGCAGCTGGGTTACAAGTTGCAAACTGACTTGGTGGGCGTCATTGGCATACCCGGGTCACTGTTCCTGTCGCTTGCAGCCGACATCGTGATTCCCCGTGATGGCAGCTGGGAGCAGGTAAAATCAGAGAAACCTCAAAATGTAGGGGCCCTTGGGCCCAAGCTGGGGCCGTTGCGGTAGCTGGAGGCTGGTATACCCTGTTATAATCACTGTGCCGCATGCATCCCTACCCCATTCCCATGCGGTTTGGGGTCTGCATTCCTATCCCTGTAAACTGTTTTTACCATTGCACTTGAAACCGTTCCACTTGGCGTGCAGCAATGCTGTTGCTTCTTGCTGCTCTTTCTTCCCTGCCCTTTGCATTGCACAGGCCTTCTTAGTCGACGGGCGTCCCTGGGTGCTGTTGGGAGATCCCGAGCGGAGCACGACCCTGGATTTATCAGGCTTGGAAGGCGCCTGGTACACTGCTTCTTATCAAAACAATTGGGCGAGCAACCTAACTGCTGAAAATACTTTAATGCACATCCACGGCTTGACACTCATCAACTTGCCGCACACACAACAGCCAAGGGCTCCAAGCAGCCTTCTGGCCATTAGCCTACAGAGCTTCGGGATCTACAGGTGGGTTAACGCAGCAGTAAAACACGCACAGAGCGAGGGCGAATGTTGGCGGTATGTATGGACTAGACTTGTGCCATACTTGTGCCTTGTATAATTGACATCATTTGGCCTACCTATCTGAAGCTGTGAACCGATAAAGGAAGTTTACGCGCTGAAGCGCTTGCGCCAACGGGTCATGCATGGGTTGTTTTTGCAGGGGCTCAACAGGTGGCTACGATTCTCCCCAGCTGGTCCTCAAGCGCTGTACAATTGTCGTACCGGACCAGGAGGTTGCCTTCCTGGAGCGAGCAGTGCTGCTGGGGAGGAATAATGGGACTATGCCTGCTGTGGGGGACCCTTCTAAGCTGTTCGCCGTCTTCGATGTGCAGGTGAGCCGTGCTAGCTGGAGCCGTGCACTTATGTCACAAGCTGGAAAAGGGTGCTTAGGTTGGCCGGGGCTTTTGCTGGTTTGGGAGCCCAGCCGATCAAGGCTAGGTGCAAGGCTTTTCATCATGAATGATCCATTCTCGATCCCTCCGATTCCTTCTCGATCCCCTCACTCGTGTTAATGATCAACATATAGGTGCCAGCACGTAGGTCCTCCAGGACCGCTAGGTCCTCCTGGCATTGCCGAAGCTAGTTTCTATGCCCCCTTCCCCTTCCTGTCAAGGACACACATTAAGGTGTCGTCTTCCCCTGACCTCCATATGGGGAGGGGCTAGGGAACTCACCTTTCACATCGGCGACAATTGACCCCTCCAATACCACCAACGCACCATGGCACCATACTACTGACAGGTCCCATCCGATGACATGTCAGCCAGCTCACCCAGCAGCACGGGTGGGAAGCTGCTGGTCACCAGGCTCAGGATTGGGAACCAGGTGGGACACCGTTTTACATAAAGCTTACTGCAATAACATTGGTTCTTCTCATGCCTTGTAAAATCGTGCATGACGTTTACAATCGGGGTAACTATTGAACTGATATGTAATGTTGGGGTGCACATGCGCTTGAGGCAAACCATGATGGGGTAACAGCTCTAGCGGGTAGGTAACGCCTTCGATGAAGGTTCCATCCTGCATGTCCCCTTGCAGGTCTCTCTGATCAACTGCACCCTGCTGTCTGCCAGTCGATACACAGCTTTGCCTGACAGCCGGCCTCTGCTGCCTTCAGAACGTGTGTGGCCGCCAGAGGTCTTACACGGGAATGTGGACACAGCAGCGCAATGGGTGAGCACTGAACGGGCGGTCATATGTATATAGGCATGTGGCGTGAAGCATTAATGTTGTGCTCCTTCCCGACTTCCCAAGCACATGTGATTCCTCCCAGTGATCATCGCGCAAAAATAAACAATTGTTTGGGAAAATGAGCATTAATGCGCAAAAAATGCTAGGTTCGGGGCCTGCGTGTGAAGGAAAAATTACCTGGCCTCTCGTGCCACCCCCAAAACAACGGGTTTCGCACATTTTACCAATCCCCCGGGTTTCCCCTCGTCCAAGCCCACCCGTTGCGTTAAAGCTTTTGCTTCCACCGCTGTGCTTTTGGTTGTTCATCACTTAATCCCGAGATGCGTGAAATGGAAAATATTTGCTCAGACCCCTGTGCGTTACAAATCTATAATATCTTAACTTCTTTCTGCACGGTGACCAGGCACAGGTGCGGGGTATTCAACCACGTACGCATACGGGCAGTCCATCCAGAACCTTCCATCATCCACGCTAACAGTGGCGGAATCTGCCTGCCTGTTTGCTCAATCCACTATTTCTTGCAGGGTCCGCTTGGAACTGCCTTTGCTCAGGGTCTCCAGGACGCGCTGGCCAACCTAAACTCAACATGCGGGCCACTGCCGGGGAAGGCCCCACTTATGTTTACTACAATGTACGTTATGTAACAGTTAGCCGGGGGTTGAAAAATGTACAATACGTGGGATGGTCTACTCAGTACTTCGTGGTAGTGTTACAATCCTTGCGCTTTCATGCCATGGCGTCCTTTTGCATCCTTTGACAGTATCGGCATAATAGTAGGAAAGCTGTAAACGCATGCATGGGCAATTATGGCTAAACGCGCGCCCTTCATCCTTACGTCCTGCTGGCCTAGCCTAGCAGTCTTAACACTCACACTCAATCAACTGGAACCCGCTGCAGCCGTAATGACGGAAGCATTCCTTCCCTGGCTGCCACCACGGCATTTGAGGAAGCCAAAAGAATCCACATCTCAAGTGGTGGACGCCTGGCCTCTGCCAGCGAATGCATTGTGGGAGGTTTCCCGCAGCAGCTAGGTGGCGATCGCACCTTTGTCAATATGAAGGTACATACGTGGGCTATCACGTAGGGGTGAACTGCATGTATGTGCAAAACTGAACATACAGCGCGCTCTTAGGATCAAGTTGGCGCTTAGGTGTTTGTCTACAGCATCTTGTGTGTTTTGGGCTCTTGTCTCTGTGTTTTACTTTTGTTTTTTGCTTGCGACAATCCACGTCCGCTGCCCCCATTCCTCGCACTCCAGGGCGCCATCGGCCGTGTTGAGCTGCAGCGCCCCATCACGCTCCGGAACCTGGTGCTGTACAACCTGGCTCCGGGCGGCATGTACCCGCTGGTGTCTAATGGTAATTTAGGCTATGGCAGCAGTTACGGCTATAGCTTCGGTATAGTTGGTCGCCAGCAGGCATCAGCTCCAGCCCAAGCGGCTCCTCAGCTGGAGGGCGCAGATGCCGCTTGGACCAACAGCTCCCTGCCGCTGTGGTTCTTCCGGATGGCTAGGGAGCCCGCCGGTGTCACCTCTGACACGCAGCAGCAGCCACTGCTGGTGCTTGAAAACGTGACACTTGTGATTCCGGAGGTCGAGTGGCGAGCAATGGTAGCTGCCGTACTACTGGTTCTGCGAGCTGCTGCTACCCCTCCGCCGCCTTCAGGGGTCCTGGCTGCTGCATCGGAGGGACAGCAGCCGGCCCTGGTGCAAGCACTAGACCGGGAGGTATTAGATACGACAACTTCGCTATCGTCACAACAGCAGCTGGAGGAACAGCCAGACCAGAGGTACTTGCTGGGGACCAAGAAGACCGTGGAGATGCAGCGACCGGGAAGGCCACTGTTAAGGGGCAACGCTGCTGCGGCATTTGGAAAGGGAGGAAGCCAGGCAGGCGTGGATACTCACAAGAAGGCTGCCCGCCGTGCGCTGCAATTCCTGGGTAAGCTGTATAAGCTCTGCCGTGGGCTCTGGTTCTGAAGCTTCAACATAGGCGAACTTAAGTACATAGGGACCGAAGCTCTAAAGATGCCCAGAAAGGCCTGTGGGGAGGTCTCTCTTTGGAACTCTTATGATGTAGCCTGTATGGTATTGGGCGGGGTTAGATGCGCGGCCCAGCTTAGTACTTGGTTACGATGGTGGCCTCCTGGTGAATGGCTGGAAACCGCATTCACTGTAGCTTTCAGGAGTCCTTGCTCGTGCGCTTAATGGTAGTACAGCCATTCTTGGCCGTTTCTTACAAAGAGCAACCCTTTCTGTTTGCAGGATTCGATTTCGGATTTGGCCTGCCTTGGTCCAACCCACCACCGCCGCCGGCCCAGGCGTTTGTTCCTCAACCACCTAAATCAGAGGCATCAGGCCCTGCAGCGGCATCGGGCCCTGCAAACACGATAGCAACCGTTGTGCAGCCACCGGCATCTGCCAAGCCACCACCAGCAGGGTATCACGTAATTTATTTCCCCAAAGCACCCCCATCACCTCCGAAACCTCCGCCAGTGCCTCCATCACGGCAGCTCCCAAGGCCTCCACCACTGCTTCCATCTCCGTCACCCATGCCCCCGCTGCCTCCAGCACCGCCGCCTTCAACACCTTCTGAATCTACAACTCGTGCAGCACTGCTGGAGTTTGCCAGCTCGTCACAGGTGAGCGTACATGCAGGTCGCGGTAAATCGCTCCATAGAAGAACTGCTCATATGTAAACTGGCTCACCGTGGTCTTGACATCGGCGGTTTCGTTGTAAGTCCCATACCTTTTGAGGTTCCGTACAGTGCGTCCGGGACTCGACTAGATAGCAGGGGAATTCCCGGGGGGCATTGAGCTGAGATTGGTTCTGCTAGGAATAATTCCCTTTGAACGCTAATAAAGCAACTAGATGCGTACAGTAACCGTGCAACATGCGAAAATTGGGGCTCCAACATTGCTAGTCCTCTGCTGCTAGAATGATGAACCGTGTGCAGCATGTAAGCCTTCACAAACTCCAACACGTTTGTGGGACACCATTTCCCCCTTGTGCTTTGCCTGCTAGGTTCTGTCGTACAACTACGATGCTGGCGAGCTGGTCCTGGCGGTTGCACGGCACTACGGTTGGGTTGGCACCAACGTAACACTGACGTACAAGTTGCCAGCGGACGCTCCGAGCAGTGCGAGTTTTCTGTCGTACCCGCCTCTTGTCCTGCCGTACCAGGATCTCGCAGGTACGCTTATCTTGGGCCATGTTGTTAGGAGAATAGTCAAAACGCCGTAAATAAATGAATGACCGTTACAGCAATGAGTGGACTGCCTTGAAGCCGTGCTTTCATCCACGATTGTCCAGTTGTGGCGTGCAGTGCAAGCATTTGTACTGGCCGCTTGTCCCTGCACTACTACAACGCCGCTAAGCTGTATTTACACTTTCTGCCAACTCAAAACTACCTTCCTCTGTCTTACACCTTAACCTCGCATCGGCGGTGTGACACTCATGGACCATTAGGCATGGACATCAACATCACGGTGGAGCAGCCTGGCGTTGCCGGGCCACCCTCCATCGCGCCCACCATCCAGCCAGTACATGGCAGCAGTCCTGGTGACTCAAATGATGGTGATAGCAGTGTACCGACAGCGGCCGATGGCATATTGCCCGTCTGGCAGTACCCCTCTTCAGTAGTTGCGCCTTCCCAGCAATACAGCAGCCACGCACCTTCTCCCTACTATCCTCACGTCGATGGCACACCACCCGCTACCCCGTCCGTACCGCCTAGCAACAGCAGTAGCAGCGTCTCAAGGCCAGCATGGGTGCCACCAGTTGCGGGATGCCTATCCGCGTTTGGCGCCGTCCTCATGCTTCCACTGCTGTTGTTGGCAGCGTACATGACGTGCAAGATGCGTCGGTGTGCTGCCGCTGCGGTGACAGCCCCTGTCAAGGAAGGCTGCCCATCGGCAGCTAATGATGCTGCTGACGCTGTTTCCTCAATGTTTGCTACATGCGCCGCTTCCACCTCCTCCGCGTTGCCTGCTGTTAAAACCTTTGATGACGCTGAAGGCAAAGCACAGCAGCTAGCTGTTGGTTCGGGTGTAAGTGGCAGCACTTCAGGTGCATTTGGGAACAACAGTGGCATTCCGCATGATGACAGGGGTGGCGCAGGGGGCTCAAGTGGGACGGGTGGGGAAAGCAGAGCAGGTATAGGCGTCGAAGATAGGAGGTACGACAGAACAGCAGGCGGAGGCCCCGAGATGACATCAACGTCTACAGCAGCGCAAGCAGCACCCTGGAACGGAGGAAGCCCTGTGGAAAAGCGCAAGACCTCAAGTGCTGCAGTGGGCAATGTCGAGGCACTGGGAGGCGCAATATGTTTTCTGGAGGTAAAGATTCGGCTAAAAATTTTCTATTCTATTGTTGCCCGCTCGACACTAGTGCCCTAATTCGGGTATGTTGGCTTGAGGCTGAGCCAGCGTGCCCCTTGCATAATCTTGCCATGCCTCGCGAACCAGCAAGCGCTATCTGCGAGGTGCGACCACGTCACCCGTGTTCCTTCTGGCAGGCAAACCGTCTGGCCGTTCATCGTGTACTGAAGGCGGCTTTGATGGAAACCACAGCTCTTGGGAAGGATCCGCAGCAACAGGAAGTACGCGGTTCACAGAGGCAGCAACCAGGCCAGAAAGCCATTAATACGTTTAATGGCAAATGTGGTGCATCTAGCCTGGAAGGGAAAGAAGAGGACAGTGGCACCTGCGGCTTATTGCAGGGAGTGGAGGCCCTGCCAGACCTCCGTGACGAGGCATCATCTTTGGCCTGCAGTGCTGATGCCCTTAAGGAGATGCTGGTAAGCCTCTGCAATATCGCGGGAGCCGTGGGTACTGCTGGGTGCAGCAGCATGTATGCGGCCTGTGGAACGTATGTACCGGCACCATGGTACATGCTTGTGTTGATTGAAACCCGTGCCTTCAACTTGCTTGCTTTGCATGCAGACATACTACAGATCGCAACAAGACAAGGCCGAGCATAGCCCTGGAGAGGACCAGCCGCAGCACCAGCAGCGGGAACAAGGGGACGTTGAGTTGGGCTGCAGTGCCCCTCAGGTGCCATCTGAGGCCCACATGTCGCAAGCGGTTCCCATCCAGCAGGATGGAGAGCGGAAACAGCAGCCGGGACCTCTCCCGACACTGCGAGATGCAATAGCTGCTATTAGGGTGGGTAACTAGGGTTGTTGCATTAAACAACAGGGTGGCTACTGGATATTAGCTTTGCTTGTAGGTATTAAGTAATAAGAGCGGTATGGCGCTAGCTTCACCCTCTCAAGGGGATAGCTGGGTGTGGGTTTGGGTGTGCAGCTGCGGTAACGGGACTCAAACAGTGTTGCAGGCCAGGCATGGGCGCTCACCAGTACCGCACGCATAGCTGCCCCCTCGGCCCAATCCAAACCAAGATCTCGTCTGACATAAGATCCGCCCCCGTGTATGTGTGCACCTCCCAGGCGGAGTTGCGGGACCCACAGTTCCGAGTGCACTCCGTGTTGAGTCGTGGCACCACGAGTGTGGTGTTCCGCGGCGCATGGAAGGACCTGCCAGTGGCAATAAAGACGCTGGTGGTGCTTGGCGGAACCCTGGGTCAGGAGGGTCTCCAAAAGCATCGGGCGGTGCTGGAAGCGGCCATTTCCGTGAGCCTGGCACACCCCAACATCGTGGGTGAGTCGGCGCTGGAAGGGCAGGCAGTTAAGATCCTCAACCGTCTTTCTGGACAATCCACCCAGACACCTTAGGGTTCCTGTCGCCTGAATGCAACCACTACGAAAACCTAACACCCCCATCCTTTGGCTGCCATGCGCCCGCAGCGACCTACGTCTACGATATGAAGCCCCTGGTGGGTAAGCCGCCTCAACGCGACCAGCAGGACTTGTCAGCAGCAAGGAACACGACGCCAGGGCTGGGGGCAGCTGCGAATCCGGATGGCTGCCCTTCCGTTGCCGTTTCCCCCCTACCTGGCAACCAGGAGGAGGGGGTCGTAGATGCGTACAAGCTGTACATCGTGCAGGAGTTCTGCAACGCTGGCACGCTGCGCCAAGCACTTGGTAGGATGGGTGGAAACCTTACCTCCAGCGACTAAGCGTGTGCATGCTTCACCGTAATGGATGGAAGCACGCACATTCGGTCTGGGAGCCTTATCCCGCAACCGCTTGGACATCTTCTTGGCGCCCCTGTCCGAAGGCCTTCTGTTAAGGTGTCTCCGCACACGCAATCCCCCTCTCCTTCCCAGATGACGGTGTTGCTGGCAGCGTCCGTGCTGGTGGGCTGCTCCGAGTACTTGCACTGCGGCTGGCTTTGGACGTGGCACAGGGCATGCGGCATATACACGGCTGCCGTATTGTGCATGGAGACCTGAAGTCGGGTGAGCAATTGTAGCATACTCCGTTGCTTGTGGTCATCGAGTAATGTCAGACAGGTTACGGGCCGGCTTCTTGTCCCCCCTGTTGCCCTCTCTATTCGGCCAAAACCCTAAAACCTAACCTTAAAAAAGCGAGGGAGTAGAGGGGAGAGGCGACATAAGCAGTTTGGGAAAGTGCCGGGCCGGTTGCTACATATTTAAGGCCGGATTGTTGTTTGGTTCATCTTGGCCAGGAACGCCGCGACTGACTAAATACCATTTCAATTATTTGCTACAGGAAAGCAACTACACCACCTGCTTCTACCTGCCGATATGGCCTGCTTGGCCTGTTTGGCAGGTCACCCGTCCCTGTCCTCGTCCGGTCTGCTGTGTTTATTTTGTTACAGTTTCTTCCTCTTCTTTCGGGGTCGCCTCGCAGGCGGTTTGTCTGCCAGGGGTTTGGCATCCGTTATTGCTACGCATCCTTTCCTTTCCTGCCTTACACCGCTGGTATACTTGCTGCGGGCCCCCTCGTTCTGTGCTCCCGCCTCCCGCCTCCCAGACAATGTGCTGCTGGTAAGTGGGCCTCGAGCAACATCCATCGACGGCTCCACAGCACTGGAAACTGCTTCAGGGGCCGGACTTGAGAATGCGGGGGCGGCAAAGCTGCAGCTGACGGCCAAGGTGGCGGATTTCGGGCTCAGCCTGCCGCTGCCCGAGGGAGCCACGCACGCCTCGCAGCGCTTCCAGGGAACTCCTGCCTACATGGCGCCGGAGGTGAGTGGCGGGTTGGTCGGATTGGGCAGCGTGCATGCGTTTGACATGGCCAGGGTAGGTTTCTTCCCTTGAGTACCTGGATGACCCTGGGCGGACGTGCAGCTGGCCCACGTCCTTTCCTTGATGCATCTGTTAGCAGGCAGCACGGGCAACTGAGCCTTGCTTTGTATGCTGCTGCTTACCGTGTAAAAGGCAGAATTCCTCGCTCTTTTTTTGTAGGTGATGTTGGGCGGCCACCTGTCCCCTCGTGCGGACGTTTGGTCGTTCGGGCTGCTGCTGTTGGAGCTCTACTACGGCTGCACAGTTGCTGATATGTTGGTGATCAGCACTAGTGGCGAAGCTGCTGAGGCACCAGGGCAGAGCAATGCGCTGGATGAGCTTCGACCCTTCCTCCCTTTCTTATTCCAGGTAAGAAAGGGGCGCAGGCTCTACCACGGATGCACAAGTGTTACCTGAAGACGCTCCCAGGGTCTGGCGACGTAGTTACCCTTCCGTATCGTAGCTGACATGTCAAGGTGTTTGACGTCATGCATGCAACCTGGTTTGTTTCCCATCTTCTACCACGAACAGCAGTACATACTCGTAACCTCCCATCTCCTACCTGTGCCGGACCACCAACCCTCAGGACATGGTGACAGCAGGACATGTGCCGTTCGCAGAGCTGGTTACCGCGTGCCTGGCGTCTGACCCACGGGTCCGTCCGGGGTTCGGGGACATTGTTGTGAAAATGGAATGGCTACTAAACGCAGTTGAATCATAGCGGGTGAGCCCCGGAAAAGCTAACGGGTGAGCAGGAAAGCAGCCTCGGCGTTTTCTGGTCGACTGCTAATGAACGGATTTGAGACATCTCTTGCACATGCACTCATAGAATGCGTGATGGTCATGTGTAATTCTAGTGCGGCGTATGAGATTGTTGGTCCGCCTTCCATTGCGTAGCGAAACGTATTACGAACCGCTGATGCTGTATGTTGACATGCGTGCTTATCTGTGTTGCCTGTGTTCTTTGTGACCTAAACACTACTGCCGGCAATTTTGATTTCCACTGCTGTTCAAGGCCCTTCTGCAGCCTGCGACATACATACTGTCCACTAATTTGTACTGCTGCAGATGGAGATTAACTTGAATTAATGTTGAACAGAACTCTGATGGGCTTTAGGAGCGACAAGTGCGTACTTGCCCATATTATTGGCCGTAGGTATTGCTGCAGGTTGCAGTGTGGCATACATGCAGTTTGTTGACCTGTCTGTGATGTGCAGGTTATGTGTGTTTTCGATAATGCAACCCGCTGAACTACCCCATTGGGTGCCCGTCAATCCTTGGGTTACTGATTTACCGGGTATTCCAGTAGTCTCTTCGTCCTCCGACGTGCGGAGCAGCTTTTATGCAACTGAGTGGTAACTAAGCGTGTAAAATTTGAACCACATAACTAACACTTGATATTAGTTGTTGTAGATGATGCGTGCGCTGCTTCTTGGCCCAGGCTTTTTGTGTCTTGCACACTGGTACATCAATGCCACACTACGGAATGTTGTAATTGCTGTGATTACAGCTCATAGCGCTTATGGCGGTTATCGTACCAGTTATGTTAATTTGTGCTGTGGATTTTACTGCTGGACCTCATGAGCTGGTAGTTAAGTTCGGCAAGTACGTCATGGGCTGAGGGTCTTAAGCCATTCCATCAATCAGAGGAACCACGCCGTTTATTTCAAATGCATACCCGGATTTTGCCTGAGGCCCATTCCACGAATGCAAACTGTGGTACTCGTAAAAAGGTCCAGGGACAAAGGTCATTGCAACCCTTGTCACGCACTGCTTCTTTTTCTGGGGTGTGCAAACCTGGTAATGGCCACAAGGAGGTTGTAACTGAATGGAAGAAGACCATCCGTTTTACACGGCTTTTGTAATGGGTTTCCTGTAGCGAAATTCCTACCCAATCTACATGGAAGAGCTCCGTACAGAGGTGCACCAGCTGCCCGTACCTCTCTGGCCTGATGGCTGGCAAGAAACATCGTAGGAGGGGCCTTTTGCCTTAGGGGGCCCTTTCACCATAACATTTAGTGTGCTAGGAGAAGAATGCCGCTAGGTAGGCTAGGATGCCATGGCTGGCAGCAGGAGTGATTGCGCAGAAGGACACACCACACCTGCCATTGGCCATGCCTGTTTACGTTGAGGATTTCCCACTGTGCATATTCCGGGCTGGTAAAAGGGAGGCAAACGTTGGTGCCTTATTCTCCTACCCAGTGTATCTATGTGGGAAATATGAGGCGAGTTAGCTAGGGTGTCGCGCCCCATTACCGGCATGTGCGTTCTACCGGCATGCCTGGTTGCGGTTGTAGTGATCGTTGGTCGAAGTAGGCATGTGGTTTTGGGTATGTTACTAGGTGTGGTGCTAGCGCCTTAGTCTTGGGTGTTGCCGGTTCCTGGTAGTTGTGACACTTGCGAGTACGGCGTATCTGGCATCTTTGCCGTACAGTCGCCGCTCTTCTTAGGTCGCGCAGCCCCCACACTCGGGGCTGCGCACGTCTCGCAATCAATGCAAGCATGTAACGACAGTGATTGATCGTCACTTGTCGTGGCCCTTCCAGTGGGTCACCGGCTTGCATGCACATAGCTGCGTTGCCATATTTCATTCCTGCGCTATCCGACAGCCAATAACAATAGCCCGAGATGCCCGTAGTAGTTTGCAGGAGTGGTTACATCTCAGTCCCTCACAGGCCGGGTCAGCTTGTGGCCCAGCCGCCTTGCAGTCGGACCCCAGCCTTAGCCGCAAGGACAGCTGGGAGGCGCTATCTGGACCACGCAAGGGTCTAGGTGTGCCCCTTCCCGTTGCAGTCGGGAAGCTATCGGGGACCAGTGCGGACCCCAGTGACACTACTTGTGCAAGACGGTGTATGGGCGCGACAAGGGTTCAAAGTTTACCCCAATGTACATATTTCTTTTGTTACCCTGATCCCTTTGTTTGTGTATTCCGCGTTCCGACTTAGCAGTCCCAATCCAAGCAGTAGAACGAGACGGTTACAAGGGGGCCCGGAGCTCCTGGAAGCCGTATAAGAGCAGTAGGGTAATTACGGTATACCGTAAGTACGACGAGGAGGCTGCTCAATGGCCTCAAATCTTCTTTGTCTTACCATACAGCATCCAACCTTTTCACGTTATATTATGATGTTGTAGTTACGGTTACTGTTTATTGGGGCCAACCAAACGATTGACGAATGGCTACAAACATCGACGCAAGAAGAGTTTACTTGCTACTCTTGAAATGGTAGTTCCGAATAAATTACGTTTATACTACTCCAGACACACCGCCAACACGAAGTAATGACAGTCGTTTGGGCAGCCAAATGGCAAACCACAAAGGGGTTTACGAAAGCCTCCATTAGCGGTGATGGCATACGCACTGCCATAATGGCAGCTTCGAACAAGCTATGATGATGCTATTATGTTCAGGTAAGTGTTGGGCCTGCGAACTCTTTTCCTTGGCTATTGGCTAAGAGTTTTCTGAGCCGGAGTTACAGACCATATACAGGCTTGGTGTAGGAGGAACGTCGTATTTTTCTCGGTCGTTTTAGGCAGCGTGCTTGCTTCGCCTTGTCGTAACCGCGCAGTTTCAGCAGTCGCCCCTTCTTTTCCTGCTTCTTATTAAATTGCTATAAGCAGGTACTTTAGCAGCATCGTGCTGTTTTTTGCGAGTTTGGCGCTATGGACCCTGGTACCAGCAACCGACTCCCTTCCAATTACGACGGGAACCGGAGTGACAGTTCAGGACCTCCTGGCGACTTCAGACCTCCTTCCTCAGGGCATTCTATACTTACAGCCTGAACCGGGTGCTGCGACGCCCACAGCCACGAACCTACCAACAACAGTCCTTACCCTGCAAGGATGCGGTGGCAAGTTGCCAGAAAGTTGGTCAGCTGGGCCCGACCAACCCGGTCTCTTCTTTGCCGTCCAACCAAATGCACTCTTTCCGTCCGAAGACCCAAATCCAGCCTTATCGTCAAGCTTTATGAGTGCTCCCGACGCTTCCAACACTCCCAGTGTACCCAGCCCTCCCGGTGCCCCCGACGCGCCTTACACGCTGCTGGACTGCTCGGGGCTGAACGACTTTTCGGTGTCAAAGGTTCCAGTGATTGACCTAAAGCCAGGTGTGTGTATGTATGTGCAGTCGGAAGGCTTTTTGGCTCGTTAGGATGCTTACGGAAAGGCAACAGTAATCTGTAGCCATGAAGGGCTGACACGTATGGGTCACGGGGTAGCATACCTTGATACCTGAATTGTCCGTTTGTGCAGTTTCGGCACAAGCGCCATGCCCTATCTGATTGTGCACCCCATCTTACATGCAGGTCAGCACCTCACGCTGTCGTCCTTAGCAATATCACTGGTAGACCTGTCAGAGCCGCTGGGCCCAGCAGCCAGCATTGCCGTCACCCGCCTCTCACCCTCTGGCCTCGTCAGCGTGCCCAAAGGGGCTACATTGATACTCCAAGACGTGACACTGGTGTTGTCACAGTCTGATATGCGGTTTTATTTGAGCAGCTTCGCCTACAAAGCAAGCGCTTGGCCCTACAGCATGGCAGTCAACATCTCACACAGCGTGATGACGATTGATAGGTTGACCACCGTAGCTCTGGCAATAGACGGCAGCGAGGACCCCGACACTGCAGGCGGCGAAGTGCAGTGGCTGAGGGTCACGCTGAGGGGTGCGTATGGTCATCAGATCGACTCCCCCGTGGCTGCAACAGTCATTACAGACGCCTGGCAACTACGGCAGTCAGCGCTTGAAGGGACGGTGGGCATAGTGGATGGTGGAACAGAGTTCCTGTCGCTTGCAGTTGACATCTTAATTCCCAGCTTTGGTTGGGAGCAGGTGCGGATGGCTCGGATGTGGGGGATGCTTCGGCACCTGCAGTCTTCGCTTGTTGCATGACGGATGGCTTCACTCGTCTACACAGGTCCCTCTGGATGATGGGACGCTGCGGGTCCTGCTGGGGAATCCCGCCCAGAGAACAACCCTGGATTTCTCAGGCATGGAAGGCGCCTGGCACTCGGACAGCTACGTAAACAGCTACTGTGGCTCTGGTGTTTGTACACTGGCAGTGCTTTCCGATTTGACGCTCATTGGTTTGCCGTACACTGTACGACCAACAACGCTGAGCAGCCTCCTGGCGCTTAGCATGCAAGGCTTTGGGATCAACAGGTAAGCTGTGGCACCAACCGAACGGTTAGGGCAGAGGTGTGCAAGACAAAACGGAGCCTAAGAGGAACTTGTTGGGTGTTAGCAGGCGCTAGCTAGGAAGTATATTTGGTCAGGTCAGAAATACTATTAGGTCAATCTACTTTAGGCGCAGAAGAGCTATGTCTTATGTCGGTCAACCACGTCCGAACGTTTGCGTACCTTTCTGCGTGCAGAACTCTGCCGGATTCAGGTCCTCCCCAGCTGGTCCTCAAGCGCTGTACAATTGTCGTACCGGATCAGGAGGTTGCCTTCCTGGAGCGAGCAGTGCTGCTGGGGAGCAATAATGAGACCACTGGACCTTCCCCGAAGGATCTGTCATCTTTGTTCACCATATTCGACGTGCAGGTACAATGGAAGCAAGCTGGAAGCGTTGGTTGGAAGAGCGGGGCACGGCCAGGCTTTACGGCCTTACGAGCAACTCGATGCAGTCAGCGGTTTCTATGCAATCCTAATCTTCCATGCGCGCACCCAGTCCATGCATGCGGTTCTGGGTTCCCGGCCATACAGAGCGGCCAGGTTCTCTATCCTGGCTTTCCTATTAGTTATTGCCCCTTTCCCCGCCTTTTGTCACAACGCGTACTGCTATGGTTGTAGGTTGAGGTCCCATCGAATGCGTCTGGAGCCTACCCGGGGGGCCAGCTGCTGGTGACCCGGCTCCGGATCGGGAACCAGGTGGGGCGGCCGCGGCAGCCGGACAACGTACAGGGATCAGGGCTTGCGATAGCAACATGGGCTCATCTCAAATCTGTGTCTGCTTGGCAACTGTCAATAGGGGCGTAATGCCACTGGGCTCATCCTGCACCTGAGAATCCAATCTGTCTGCTGTTGGTGTAACCAAAGCTGCATCCAGAATTGCATCTCCAGTTACCTGCTTCCCACGTTGTGCAGCCACGCATTCACTTCGGATTGGCTTACTTTGATGCTGCATGACAGCCAGCTGTTGCTCACATCCAACCATAAGCTGGAGCATGTTACCGGAAGCTTACAGCCCTTGCCATGAAAGGCTTTCAAATGGCCAACCCTACGGCAACCTTACTTTGCAGGTTTCCCTGAATAACTGCACCCTTCTATCTGTCAGCCGCTACTCAGCTTTGCCGGACGTCCGGCCGCTGCAGTACACCTCAGAGTATATGCCGTTTCTGTGGCTGCCTGAGGCGCTGCATTGGGATGTGAACGTGGCAGCGCAATGGGTAAGTAGGGAAGTGCTTCATCGGGCAGTTGTCGGCTTGCCATGCCCAGCCCAGCCGTGCTTGCAGTAAGGCAGTTATGCATGCGCAACTACGTGGATACTTATTTAGCCAGTCAAGTTGCAAGTACAGGGCCCACCCTCCTGCCTAAAGCTGTGGTACCCGCTGCTATGTTGCAGGGCCCGCTAGGGATTACCCTCGCTCAGGGTTTGCAGGATGCTCTGGTCAACCTCAACTCAACATGCGGGCCACTCCCAGAGAAATCTCCAGTCACAATCATTACGGAGTACGTTCTACTGTCTTGAGGCGCCGTTGTTACCTTGTTAGGCTGGTGGTTAGGCCCCTACTGCATAACGTGTCGTCACCGTGCTTGCCCTTAGACCCGTCACGTCCTTCCCTAGAACCCGACGTGTTCAACTGCCTTAGCCTGGCGATTTGACGTTTTTTATCCACCCCATGGCCCGCAAACCTGCCGGTATGGGAAACCCGCCTGCTGGCAACCCGGCCTAGGCGCCTTTCATGCATGCGCCATCCACGGCTAGCTACCAGAATCCTCAATTCTGCTTTTCCGGAAAACTTTTGGTGCCCCTATATATTAAAAGTCTCCATCCTCTAAATGGCTACAGGCTAGACGACCAAAGCGTCCCATCACTGGCGCCTCTGGATGTGGGGGGTGATAGCACAGTTCAGATCTCATGTGGCCGACTGCAAGCTTCAGCTGATGCGTGTGTTGTGGGTGGCTATCCACAGGAAATAAGGAGGAATCGCACCTTTGTCAACCTCAAGGTACTGTTACGTCTATGTTGCTGCACCTGCATGGTTCAGGACGAATCCATCAAGTCTATCGTGACCACATCATAGGAGCACGTCGCTGGCTTTAAGTAGGAAACGACCAGACGGCTCGTGTGGGTCTCTTACGCTGCAACCTTGACATTGACGTCGTATCTTTTGTGTGCAATGTCCCTTGTGATCCTTGACAATAGGGCGCCATCGGCCGTGTTGAGCTGCAGCGGCCCATCACGCTCCGGAACCTGGTGCTGTACAACCTGGCTCCGGGCGGCATGTACCCGCTGGGGGCAAGCTGCAGCGGGGGTAGTAGCAGCATAGACGGTAACGACAGCAACAGCAGTGGTGGCAGCAATGACAGCGGTGACGGCAGCAGCAGCGGTAGCAATGACTATACTAGCATCATTTTTAGTGCTGGTGTCAGCAGTGATAGCAGCAGCAATGCAAGCAGTGATGGCACCAGCAGCAGCGCCAACAGTGGCGGTGACAGCAGCGTCAGCGGTGACAGCAGCGTCAGCGGTGACAGCAGCGTCAGCGGTGACAGCAGCGTCAGCGTTGACAGTAGCAGTGATGATTCAGATGGCAATGGCAGCAGTAATGGCAGTACTGATAGCAGCAGTGGAAGCAGTCAGCAAGGATTGCCACTAGAGGACCTAGGAGCGGCTCCTCAGCTGGCGGGCGCAGATGCCGCTTGGACCAACAGCTCCCTGCCGCTGTGGTTCTTCCGGATGGCTAGGGAGCCCGCCGGCGCCACCTCTGACACGCAACAGCAGCAGCCACTGCTGGTGCTTGAAAACGTTACCCTTGTCATACCGGAGGTCGAGTGGCGAGCAATTGTGGCTGCCGTACTGATTCTGCGACCTGTTCCCTCTTCGGTTGTATCCGAGGACCAACCCGAGGCCCCACCTGGGGGGCTATACGGGGGCCTTCCCCCTGAGCAGCCTGGGGGGCTATACGGGGGCCTTCCCCCTGAGCAGCCTGGGGGGCTATACGGGGGCATTCCCCCTGAGCAGCCTGGGGTGCCGTATGGGGGCCAGTACGGGGGGCTCTTGGGAGACCTACCTGCTGGGGTGCTGTACGGCGGCCTGCCGTCGGTCAAACCAGGTGTACAGACTCCAGAGCTGACACGGCGGCAGCTGAGGCAAAACCAGCAGCAGCAGCCGTTAGTGGAGTCACCACCACCGGCAGCCGAGGCGCCTGCTCCTCTACCATCTAACTTGGCCTTGGACCAGACACCAGATGCCGGAGTAGTGGCGACAACACTGAGACGGCTATCCGCCTCAACCCTTCCGCCCATATACTTTTCGTTCCCACCTTCAGCACCACCATTGCAGTCCCCACCGGAGCAGGCCTCCATGCAGTCACCTGTACCACCCCTGCCGTCATCACCACTAGTCACGCCACCTCTGCCACCGCCACCGCAGTGGCAGCCATCAGCTTATACGAATGCCACGCGTGCAGCACTGTTGGCCTTTGCCGCTGCGTCACAGGTAAGCAGACCCATGGGTCAGGTAGCACTCACAATTACTGCGACATGACAGGTGGGAACAGCAGGGAAGTGGTGCTCGCGCTTGCTTGGTTCTATTGCGGCAGACGCTTGGCGAGTCCATTTCGTCAACTATTCCCTCGGACGGGGTTCATTAAGATGCCTTCCATCACAATCTTGGTCGTCCTAAACGAATACAACTAAGTAACCGCTCACTGCCGGGGCTACACCAACCTAGAACCCTTCAACGCATACTGTGATCATCACGTCCCACATCACCCTTAACGCCCGAGAGATGCTCTCTCCTGGTGCCCTTTTCCCCAGTTGGACTCGTACAACTACGTGGATGGCGAGCTGGTCCTGAGAGCTACAAGGCACTACGGCTGGGTTGGAATCAACATAACGATTACGTACAAATTGCCCACTGATGACGCTCCGAGCAGTGCATGTCTGTTGAAATACCCGACATTCGTACTGCCGTACCAGGACCTTGCAGGTACGAATGTTCCACGCCCCGTACTTAAGCAGCGCATGCCATCGTGTCCTTGCCAAAAGCACTAGATGGGTATTGCGAGCCTACACTCCCCACTGGTAGTTATAAAGGCTAATGAGAATTCTTATTGGATGCACCGCCCTGTATTTCCTTTGCGGTTGCTGTGCGTCCTTCTCTGCTAACCCAAGCACCGTGCCCGTCCCCTTGCCTTGTCCTGATGCGACCCTCCCACCTAAATTCAAGGCATGGACATCGCCGTCTATCAGCCAGTCATGATGCCATTTGCGCCATTTTGGCCGGGTGATGGTGGAATACCTGACCCCCAAGGCAACGGGATCAACGGGCCGCCACCTCCCGCGTACCCGGTGGCAGACGATCCTCTTCCCGTGTACGAGGTTTTTGCACCCCCTCCCTATTATGCTGCCTACTCCCCTCCACGCTATCCGCCCAGCTACACATATCGAGACCCACTTCCTCCTCCGCTTCAACTACAGTCAAGACTACCACCAAACGCACCACCTCAGCTTCCGCAACCACCACCTGCCACACCCTCCAGCGGCAGCAGCAACTCCAGGCCTGCCTGGCTGGTGCCGGTCGTAAGCTCGCTAGCGGCCTTAGGCACCGCTCTCCTACTTTCTCTCTTCTTGGCAGCTGTGCTGCTATTCGGCAAAAGGCGCAAGCGTGCTGCTTCCGCTGCTGCTTTTTCTCCTGCCAAGCTCCTAGCAGCAGCCAGAAGGCGCAGAAGAAGACCTGCGGCGGGGTCTTCTGCTGCTCCCTCCATCTCTATCGTTTGTACCTCAGACCCTTTAGTACCGGGCGACGACGGCAGGGAGGCGGCGATGGTCAACGGAAACACACCGTCGGTACGTGTCTTTGCCTCTACTGGTGATGCGAGTCCGTGCAACAATGGCAGCCGTGGCGACCATGGCAACACTGCGCATGGCTCGGGCAGGGCAAGCAGGGAGGACAATGCTGTCGCTGGTCAAGCCGACTGGAGGGCCGGCGAGACACCTACATCCGCAATGGTGGTAGTAACAAAATCCGCAATTGCGGCAATAGCAGCAGCAACTGGGCATACGCGGAATTTGTTGGAGAGCCGGAAGCCTGAAAGCGCCCAAGCATCAGGAGGCGCCTTGAGTCTCCTGGAGGTGCGTTTCTGGATCTGGGCCACACTTAGCCAAGATCACCATGACATGTTGGTCGCGTAATCGTGCCTTGCATGGCTGTTTGTGTGTGGTTTCGTTCATAGTGCTGTCTGATTGCGATGACCAGCTCAATGACAGGTTTGGATTGGTGCTCTCAGCATCCCCAGGATAGGATCCCAGCAGTGTAGGCCTTGCCTGCCCGACAGATGCCTAGGGTACATGCTGCTGTCCATTTAATGGCTACCGAGACCATTGTCATTTACGTCCCCTAACAGGCCAACCGTTTGGCAGTCAGTCGGGTGCTGATGGCGGCAACGGCGGAAATAGCAGCCGCTGAGCAGCAACATTCGCACTTGAGGGGAGGGGCTCAGCAGCGGCAACAGCCAGTGCACAGCGCCGAGAAACTTGGTACTGTCGACGGTGCGTGCCGTCTGAAAGGCGAATGGATGGATCACGGCACAGGTGGCTTGCAGAAGTTACGAGCTCCGTCAGGAGTCTCCGGTCGTGATGAGGCATCGCTGTTGGGCTGCATGAACAGTGATGCTTGCCTCAAAGAATTGCTGGTAAGTCTACAAAGGATAACCTACCCCAACTGCCCATAAAAGCAACTGACAACAAAGAGATGTTTTTTAATTTTGTCAAAGGGGGCTAGAGTATTGCTGGCAAGGTTTCAATTGGTGGTGTAAAAGCCGGGGGCCCAGGATCCTCACCCGGCCATGCCCAAACAGCGTCTTATGGTGCATTTGGCGCATGTCGACTGGAGCTGGAAAAGCGCCTTTTTTGCCAAATATGGGGCCGCGATGGGTTAGAAAATGCTTCCGTGTCGTCAATTGGGGCTGGAAACTTAGCTCAATAAGACATGCCAACTAAGTCATGGGCAACGTACCGTAGTTTTGCGGTCGCAGAACCGGTATAGCCTGTGAATGAAAGCACTACGAAGTCCTTTGTACTTGGCATGTCAAACAACTTACGGCTTCTCTCTTGAACACCGCAGACGTACTATACCGCGATACACAGCACTGCCGATCATGGCACTGCTGGAGAAGTGGGTTTGCAGCAGCAACAGCTGCCGGTATGGCAACAGCTGCGCTCGGAGCAGCAGCACGGACGAAGCCCCCTGAGATGCAGTTACGAGGAGGTGCAGTCCGAGACCTGTCTTGCCCAAACCTTGGCAGAGCCAAGAGGTGATGACAACCCTGCTGAGCAGCCGGGCCCGCTACCGACGGTACAAGATGCGATAGCTTCCATCCGGGTGAGTGGTGTAAAGAGCTCCCTAAGTTAACGATGGGTAATGTTACAGCATGTGACTGCATTAGGCTTGCTTAGCGTGCACCTCCTTTCAGCACTAATGCAAAACACGGGTGGTACGGCAGGGGCATGTGTAACCGTGAAAAAGGATCAAGCTTTCCCTCGTCCGCTTTCCTTTCCGGTTTGGGATGACTGTAACGGTCATTCATTCAAGCCATGGCCTGCATGGTATATGCATGCCACTTTTTGCCCCTGTTGGAAGGAATTCACGATCAAAATACTGATACTTTGGAAAGAAACTTGACGTTTTTTCTTACCTCGCGCGCCGCAGGCAGAGCTGCGTGATCCCCAGTTCCAGGTGCACTCCCTGTTGGGGCGAGGGACCAACAGTGCGGTGTACCGCGGCGCATGGAGGGGGCTGCCAGTGGCAATAAAGACCCTCGTGGTGTCTGACAGCACGCAAGGCCAGGAGGGCCGCTCAAAGCTCCAAGCAGTGTTCGAGGCAGCGATTTCCTTGAGTCTGGCACACCCTAACGTCGTAGGTAAGAAGTTGGGCTATTACAAGAAGCGGGCGGTACTTCCTTACATCTCGCCCAGTGCCCTTGCTACGGCAGCCTATCAGAACAACTTATGGAAAAGCTGTGTGGGGAACCTACGGGGCATTCCATAAGTCAGAGTTAAAGGCGCCAAGCTTTGCTTCCCAACTGCAGCCCTTTCTCTCACATCTCTTGCCTTCCTTTTCCTTGGGCCCTACAGCGACGTATACCTACGACATGAAACCACTAGTGGGCAAACCATGGCAACCGGCGGCGAACTTGCTGGCAGGAAGCACTATGGCAGGGGCCGTGACGGCTGAGGCTCCTGGGGTCCGTCCGACCGTCCACCTCTCGGGGTCTAACAGCCAGGACAACGGAGCAGCAGATGCGTACAAGCTGTACATCGTGCAGGAGTTCTGCAATGCGGGCACGCTGCGCCAAGCACTTGGTAGGTCTGGGGGCGGTGGCTATGGCGGTGTCATCTATCGGTACTCGTGCTGTCGCTTAGGATGGCACTCAGCACGATGAGAGAGCTAGGGCCAACATGGATGGTTACAATGGTTAGTCGGTTGCCAATTTCCCCAAGAACGGTTGAAAGTCGGTGTTCATGACCACACCTTTCACCCCACCTCCTTTCCAGATCACGGTGTGGCTGGCAGCGTCCGTGCTGGTGGGCTGCTCCGGGTGCTTGCACTGCGGCTGGCTTTGGACGTGGCACAGGGCATGCGGCATATACACGGCTGCCGCATTGTGCATGGAGACCTGAAGCCAGGTAAGCGTGGGCAGGTTGGCGGTTTCTGCAAGGCTGGTCTGACTGCACCAAATGCTTTACTAGGAATGCCAAACAAACTAGGGCACTCCATAGTGTTATCTGAATATAGTTTCAATTAGGATGTTCTAGTTCTTACAATATATTGTTAAAGGACAACCGTACACATAGCTTATCAAGTTAAGCCATCGTCCTGCCAAGGCTGCCATTTCCCTTGCCCACACCCTGCCGATCCCACACCTTTTTGGGTACTCGATTTGTTTGCCCCCAGACAATGTGCTGCTAGTACATGGGCCTCGAGCTGTAGATTTGGCAGCAGGGCCCAGGTCAGCACAAGAACTGGCGCAGCTGCATCATGGTGAGGTGGATGCGGACGTTGCGGAATCAGGGGTAGCTGCAGTGTCGGGCGCAGCTGCAGTGTCGGGCGCAGCTGCAGTGTCGGGCGCAGCTGCAGTGTCGGGCGCAGCTGCAGTGTCGGGTGCAGCTGCAGTGTCGGGTGCAGCTGCAGTGTCGGGTGCAGCTGCAGTGTCGGGTGCAGCTGCAGTGTCGGGCGCAGCTGCAGTGTCGGGCGCAGCTGCAGTGTCGGGCGCAGCTGCAGTGTCGGGCGCAGCTGCAGTGTCGGGTGCAGCTGCAGTGTCGGGCGCAGCTGCAGTGTCGGGCGCAGCTGCAGTGTCGGGTGTGGCGGACATGCTTGAGGCCCTGGAGTTCGATGTTGCTGCCGCGGCGGGGAGTGGGGCAATTGCCGAACTTCAGCTGACGGCCAAGGTGGCGGATTTTGGGCTCAGCCTGCCGCTGCCCGAGGGAGCCACGCACGCCTCGCAGCGCTTCCAGGGAACTCCCGCCTACATGGCGCCGGAGGTGAGCAGGAAGCCGCTTAAGGACAAGGCTTACTTGCTATGTCTGCAAAACGTCCCACACATAAACGCGGGACGATTTCCCAGAATCCATTTTGGACTACTAAGGCTATGTGATTTGGGAGATCTGGGTAACATGGGGCTCCTGTATGCTGCCAGAAACGTATGTATGCCCTGTTGTTCTCTCTCCCCAGGTGGCGGCCGGCGGCCACCTGTCCCCTCGTGCGGACGTTTGGTCGTTCGGGCTGCTGCTGTTGGAGCTCTACTACGGCTGCACAGTTGCTGATATGGCTGCCCTGCAGCAGTGCAGTGGCGGAGATTCAAATGGCGGATCATCAGGACACAGCAATGCCCCAATTGAGCTCCGTTCTTACTTCCCAGTCCTGATTGAGGTAAGCAGTTGCCTGGAAGCATGCCAGGCGCTGGTTGTTGGCCGCAATGACTTATTAACGGTACATGAGTTGACCCCTTTCCATGTCCCGAAAGCAACCCCTAGCATTCTGCTCATCACTGCACCCCGCCCCGTGCTCGTAATGTTTCTGGCTCAACTGCCATGAACGCCAAACATATTTCCACCCTCGACCACAACCCTCCTCCCACGGCCCCAACAGGACATGGAGGCATCCGCACAAGTGCTGTACGCATCGCTGGTCGCGGCATGCCTGGCGTCCGACTCAGCGGTCCGACCGAATTTTGGGGACATTGTCGTGCAGTTGGGAAAAGTACTAGATGAAATGGATACCTGAAGAGAAAGTGAAGAGGTGCTGGAAGCCGAAAACTGGGATGATTGTCTGGACGGTAACGGATGCCGCAACATCGGACGAGCTCAAGAAACTTGCGAGACTGCATCCTGCTATCACAGTATTCATCGTCGATATCCATACTGCAGCACGCATTCGGAGGGGGGCTCTACTGCAAGGACTGTGCATGGTGGGATAGAGCCATGGCAGTGGTTGTATACATGCATGCTACTGCTCGCCATTAGCTTAGTCATATCAATTTGAGGAATAGACACCTAACTAGCTTTCTGCGCGTAGTTTGGCCATGCGAGGCGCTTCAACAGACGTTCTTGTTCAACGAACGTGAACCAACACACTACTACACCGGAATTTGTGGGGGGTGTCCAAGAAGCTTGCAGGTCATTGCTGCATGCTGACACATGCTCCCTACAGTTAATGTAGGATGTTTTCACACATACGCTGAAGACTGCTTTTAAGTGTGCTGGTGGTACGAGGTGCGCTGTTGCATTTCATAGTTACTGCGTGTGTCCATGGTCTTGGTTGGCTACTGTTTCGCTTTGGACGGTGCCGCGCATGAATGGGCAAGTAAACTGCTATCTTGTCTGTTTGGGGAGGTAAGAGCCCCTGCTCGGTCATTCCGTGACGATGCGCCTTCATTGCTTAGCTACCTCTTACTGTTTAAGGATTGATCATTTGTTCCCAAACCGGAAGGATTGTATCTAGCCGGGGACTGATCGACACTGTTGATGAGTGCTACGTGCATGTGTGTCGTTTAATTGTCTGGGCTGAGACGGTTTCGGTGTTATGCAAGCCTTACGTGCGGGGAGGTATAAGGAGAGTTCTGGTTGGGTCAATTTTCGTTGATGGCGTTGTGCGGGACCTTCTGGTACAGTCTAGCTGTGGCCCACATACCTTTTGACATTGAAGCTGTCCCCCGTTTCCTTGGCCGTGCCATTTAATGTCATCTCGTCCACAGTTTTGCACACGTTCTTACACCATACAACCCATCATGTAACCATGTTCCACGTGTTATACAGTGTACCACCACATGCCTGTACAGGCCATACGTTGAATATAAAATACTGAGCGGGGGTGACGCAAGCCAAGTTAGGACTCACTGCTGACAACCTTCACTTCACAAATTCACGTACGGTGGTAATTTGGTAACAACCACACTCACACTTCACAAGAAGTGCAAAACAGATGGCATCTGTATTCCTTAACAGGGCGCGCCCCCCTAGGATTGCTGCATGCGGCTTTAGCTCTACCTTTCGTCGTGAACAGAGCCTTACCAAGTTACCATACGTGCGAAGATGCAATCCATACAGTTTCCGACTACCTAGCAAGCCAGGCAGTACCAGCAACGGCAGCCAGATACTAAGCGAAAACACAACATGATGCTCAACACAGCAGCTGTCATGACCCAAGGAGCGCTATGTACCCCACGAAAAGCAATCACGCACTTCTGTGACCCAAGGTCCATTACTTGTTAACATGGATAAGGTGAAGCCCGAATAAACCAGCCTGGTCCTGGTGACAGCATTTCTAGGTACCGGTAATTTGTCCCAGCCTCCGACAAACAGCAACACCATTGGCAGGAATGCTATACCAGATGTTACCATAAAAGCGAAGATGCATTGCAATGCAAAGTACGTGTGTGACGTGCCATCTGCTCTGCCATCTTATGCTACATCAGGAAAAAAATGTATCGACACCTGCTGCTGCCCGTCACGAGGAGCAGTCAACAGCAGCTCAATGCAGTATGCCCTCAACCCCCAACACGTCCCAACCACATGTGTCGAAACAACAGCCCTTGGCCAGACTGCTGACCAGACCGCGGCAACAGTAGACTGCTACCTTAGGCTAGCTACCTTGGCCGCGCATGGAAGACCCGCACGTCTGTCACCAACCACCTACACAGAGCAGCCCAAAAGGGGCGGCATGTGCGGGGTTCTGACCCGGACAAACTCCGTTTCTTGCAGTGTCCTTGGGCCCCCTGGCTCGTACGGACACAGTGCACACACGAGCAGACTATAGCTGTAACAAAAGCTGCGAACAAACCCAGCTCGCAGCAGCCAGGACCAGAACCCAGATATAGCGTTGAAAGAAGCATGGAGGGCTCTGAACCTTTAACTCCATCCACGGTAACCCCCTAGCCACTTGCCCATCCATCCAGACTAGCACGCCGCGACATATGCAACACAGTTCAGAATTGTGCAGGATTGCCCTCACGGCGCCACTCAGCATATGTAATCGTTTGCTTTCCCGTGTCTGCCCTCCCCCGATCGTGTTGAACCGAGAACCGAGGATAACCGAGAACCCGGGTTCTCGGTTTCTCATGGGCTGCGTCTTAGGCCTCCGCAACCAGACACCACTTCCAGCACCTCCGCTACCGGGTGTAAATAAAACGTAGGGTCTGCTCTGCTGCTCATGCAATCCCATGCGTAGCAAAGCACGCAGCTGCTGTGATACCGACGTTGCCACAAGCCTGCCTCGTAGGGCCCACATTGCCAGCACAGCTGCCGTCGTGATGACGCATCCATACAACGGTGTAACATTCCCTTCTGACCGCAACACTTTGGTTGGCTCCCAACGCAGCGGGAGCTAGCTAACACACACAACAATAACCCGGAAGGCATCCGTTGCCTGTCCGGAGCTGCTGGTCCCTGCCAGGCGGCGCCCGTGTCCATGACAGCAGTGCAGTGAGCAGCCCCACCTCTGCCTGCTTGGGGGTCTGGAGGGACCTGTTGCGCTGTTCGCGCAGAGCGGAACTGCTCCGTGGGATGGCTGGTGTGATGAAATCTGTCGCCTGCTGGCAATCAATGGTTTCCAAGAAAGAGCTTGCTTCACCAGCTTGCTAACAACGCCTCCCAGGCCTTTTCAGACGGACCTCATTTCCCAGACGGTGAGGACTGTTGCTGCTGCTGCTGTTGCTGCTGCTGCTGTTGTTGTTGCTGCTGCTGCTGTTGCTGCTGCTGTTGCATAAGCAGCTGGTCGAGGGACAGCAGCATGACGTTCTGGTTATGCAGGAGCAGCACTGCAAGCAGAAGCGGGAAACAGCGCAGGCAGGAGGTCGTACGTTGGGTTCAACAGGAGGAGAGGCACTGTAACGGGGAACACATCCAACGCTGGCGGAGGAAGGATCGGAAATACCACTCCAGCAAACAGCAGGAGCGCGCACCTACTACCGTACCTGTACCTGATCACCGCGCAGCAGGAAATCTAGGGATTAATTATTATTTACGGATTACCTATTTTAACGCGCAGCGCTGTAAGTAATTATTCTTTTGTAACGGGCAGGGGTCTGAGCAATTAATTTCCACTTCGCCCAGCCTTTAAAGTAGTACTGTAATAGCCTAAAGCTTGTACTAGAAAGACCGGAAAAGCAGAGCAATGAACGTAAAGCTACGGCTTAAATCGAATCAGGGAGGAGGTGCAGGTATGGATGGGCCAGGAAAAGAGCGAAACCCGGAATTTCGAGACAGCACGCACTGCCGGCCACGCCATGGGCAATTCTTTAGTTAACGCGCAGTCCTTTGGGGAATTATTTTTTTATAAACGCGCAGGCCCCGGACCAATTATTTATTTTTGCGCGTTAATGCACATTGTTCCAAATTATTATTTATTTTTGCGCGATGATCACTGTTAGGTACGGTACCAAACACCCGCCCCAGTCCAGGCTCCGCTCCCTCCTACCTTGTCAACCACACCAGCTTCTAACCATAGTCCTGTCCCCTATTAATCCTCTCCCACCTCACCTCGTCCCTGCCCCACCTCACCCCTTTCCAGCCCGCTTTAGCTCGCCCCTGCCCCACACAACCGCTTCCCCGCCCCACCTCACCTCGTCCCTGCCCCATTTCCTCCCCTCCCCGCCCCAGCGCCACACCCTCCCCCCTCCCCACCCCACCTGGAGCTGCCTGGCCGGCGGATGCGGTCTGCTGCAGCAGCTGCTGCGCCATCCGGCTCTGCAGGTCCTGCGGGTGGTGAGCAACGATTGAAGAGGGGGCAGCCGGGCAGGGGAGAGGGAGGAGGTGGGAAGCGGAATGGGGCAGGATGCGGAACGATGGAGCAGAGGAGCGGCAGGAATACAGGTGCGAAGCGCATGAAAGGTCTGCGAGGGATGCGGGAGGTGCGGGAGGTGTTGGCAAGGTTGGGATGGCCGCTGGCAGTTGCCACCCCGGGACAGGGGGACAGATAGATAGCCAACATATGAGGGGCAGGTGGGGGAAAGCAACGGGTCGCGGGGGCTGCACTAGAGAAGCATGGTAGGACTGGGAGAAAGCAAGCCGCAGACTCCCCAGGGGCCGGGACGCACAGAGCTGCGAACACCACAGAACCGGCCCACTCACCGCGTTTCCTCCAAACGGCCCAGCCTCCGCCACGCCTCCCATGCCCACACCAGCACCCCCGCCTCCTCCTCCTCCTCCCGCTGCTGCCGCCGCCTGCTGCAGCAACTGCGACGTTAGGCTGCCCACTGGGCCCCCGCCAAGCACTCCCCCACCCCCCCCTGCTCCTGAGGCATGCAATCCCTGTATGCCGCTCAACGCCGCCGCCAACCCGCCCGCTGCCGCTCCTCCAGGCCCCATGCCAACCACACCACCTGCCCCGCCTCCACCTCCTCCTCCTCCTCCAGCAGCCGCGCTCTTCGACAGCGCGGAGGCCAGCTGCGCCAGCTGCAGCTGCTGCAACACGTTGTTGCCTGCAAGGCCCCCCATGCCGCCCATGCCACCGCCATTCGAGGCATCACCACCGCCACCCAGGGCACCCAGCAGGCCTCCGCCTCCGCCGCCAGGGCCCCCAGGGCCGGTGCTGCCAGCAGCAGCAGCAGCACCGCCGCCGGCTCCAGGGCCGCCGCCACTGCCGCTGGAGGTGGCGCGGCCGCCGCCAGCGGCCGCTGCTGACAGCAGTGAGAGCGCGCTTGCGGTGTTGGGTGAGGAAGCGGCCGCCTGGAGGCTTCCCTGCAACTGCATGGGTGGGGCGGGGAGCGCATAGGGGGGGGAGGAGGAGGGGGAGAAGGAGAAGGAGGAGGCAGATGAGGAAGAGGGCGACGGGATGACATTGAAAACAAACAGAACCCCAGGTCCCCACCACCTTTGGAATAGCACATGTCTTTAGTCGGGTGTGTGCGCGGCCATGACTTCCGGGTCCCGTCCTCCCATTACTTGTCTATACCTGCCTAGCCATGTCCCGTGCTTACAGCTGATGGCACATGGTAACAACCCCCACCCACCCCCCAACCGCTCCCTCCCTCACCAGTTCCCCACTCATGAGCGCCGCAGCAGCAGCGGCCAGGTCCATCCCAGCCGGCAGCAACCCCCCTCCTGCTCCTCCCATCAGCCCGCCACCCCCAACCCCAACCCCGCCCCCCGCAGCAGCTGCCAGGCCCCCCAGCTGCTGCTGCAGCTGCAGCGGCGCCAGTGCGTGCGGGTGGTGGTGCGGCGGCCCCAGCCCCTGCGGATGGGGCGGCCCCAGCAGCCCGGCAGGCAGCTGCGGCGGGGCGCCCCCCATGCCCATGTGTGGCGGGGGCAGCACCCCCGGGGGTGGGGGCGGCGGCGCCACCAAGCCCATCAGCCCGCCCGCGATGCCCATGCCGGGCGGGGGCGGACCCATGCCGCCCACCCCCACAACGCCCAGCTGCCCCGCCAACTGCCCCGCCAGTTGCCCCGCCGCGGAGGCGCCCGAGGAGGCGGCCACCAGCAGCTGCACCTGGTTGACGTACTGCTGCACGGCGGGGTCGGAGGAGAGGTCGGGCGCACCCAGCTGGCGCAGCATGCCGTTGTCACCCTGGTGGGGTGGGGCGGGGCGGGGAGGAGGAGAGGGGTGGAGAGCGAGGAGTGGGGGGGGGGTTCCAAGGACTTCGGATCGCGGACGGGGTAAGGGATGAGGCAGGAAGGGCAACGCAGCTGCGGAGGTGGTGATCATGACAACGGCTGGCTTCCTAACTGGCCACTCCCACCCTCCGCTCTCACTGCCCTGCCCTAACGCCGCCCAGCCCACCTCCACCAGCACCCACCCCTGCCGCTCCGCTAGGCTTATGACCGCTCCCGACCGCGCCTGACCCCGCCAGCGCCCCCCCCAACCCGCTCCCTCCCACCGCCCTCACCCACCAGCGCCGCTCTGCTAGGCAACGCCAGGCCGCCCATGCCCACTCCCAGGCCGCCCGCAGCCAGCGCCCCTCCCAACGCCCCCCCCAGCCCGCCGCCCAGCCCGCCCATGCCGTGCCCCGCTGCCGCCGCCGCGCGCACCAGCCGCCCCGCCATGCCGTCAGGCCCCTCCTCCGAGCCCGCCGCCCGCTCGTCGGTGCGCTGCTTGCGGCGGCGCAGGTTGCGGTCCTCGCTGCGCGCCTTGCAGCTCCTGGGCGGGGTGGGACCCACCGGGCAGCAGCGGGAAGAAGGGGCTGTCAGCATACCCCGGTATGTACACAAATGTCCACGTGCGACAAGGCCAAAGGACGGCGGAGAAGGGGCGGAGGCAGGGGTTGCGGTGCTCGATGTGTGTGTGCACCTTCTTGCAGCTGCTGCTGTGAGCAGGGACCTAACACCGGGCAGCTAGAGGGAGCAGAGGGACCCCACCCCGGGCACCCAGCACTCCCCCCACACCACCACCCCCAGCGCCCCCACCTGCGACTGCCCGTGAAGTTGTCCAGCGGCTGGAACTTGTTGCACTGCTGGCAGAACCGGAAGCGCTCGCCGCCCAGCGACACCCACTCCGCCTTGAAGTGCGGCTCGCACACCGAGTAGCGCCGCAGGTAGAGCTTGGCGTCACTCAGGTCCTGGCCGCAACCTGGGAGGGCGCGGAGGGGAGGGGCAGGGAGGTGTAGGGGCGCGCGGATGCCTCTGACAGGAGTGGAACGTTTGGCGGTGTGCCGAATTGCATGAGAAGGGTCGTAGGTAGAGCGCCTGGGACGTTGCTGGGGTCCCAGCTACAATGTTAAGGGAGGAGGAGGCATGGGAGAGGGGGTGGCGAGTGGGTAGGGCTCGGCGTCGTTTGGGCTCCCCCTCCCGACCCGCACTGCTGCTGACTGCTGCTGCGACTGCCGCAGCACAACCGCTTGCCGTACGGCTGCTGCTACCCCATCAGCGGCACCTCTAGACGCCTCCCGCACACAAGGGCCCAGATGAACCGCTCGCCTCGCCCCCAGTCATGTCACAGTGCTGCTCCAAGGTCTTGCCCCCCACCCAGGCATGCCACGGCTCCCGGGAGGTTCATCCCGCTTGTTAGGTAGCGCCCTCCGCCACTTACCGTCCACCTGAGGGGCAGGAAATGGGGAAACACACGGTCTTGAGCAGGCGCTTAAGGGGTGTAAAGGCATGTAAGGCGCTACGAATGAGCTGCAAGTGGTCAGGATTCCCGCACTCGCCTGGCATCGCGCAGTATCATTCGGCTTGCGTACTCTTCTGGGCTTGCGTGTTTGGTGTTGACCGTCCGCATGCTGCCCAAAGCCATCCTGGTCCTGGTCCTGTTCCTGATCTGACGGCGACGCCTGCAACGCCATCATCTGTGTATGGCTCATCCCATGCTGGTCTGGAATGCCAGCGACTGCTGCGGCAGCTGCCACCGCTGCGGCAGCCGTCGCGTAGGCATCCGCTTCGGCATGAGCGTTATCTACACGCGTAAACGGGGCGTACACAATATGCAGAGCAGTAAGGGTATTTGTGAGCGGATTGCTCCCGTGCAAGTAAGCTTGCCACTGTCAACGGCACCGACATCCCAGGAACAGCGAGCGTTGGGTGTATGTCTAGGAGAAAGGGACAAAATCAGGAGCAAGACAATCCTAGTTGCATGTTTCGGTGTTACCTTCGTCCATCCCTCGTGCTATGGAACGAGACGCACGGTCTGGACGACCTCGTCACACGCTCGTCCCGCGTCGGAGCCAAATTGATAGCCTTTCAACCAACTCCAGTGTCAAGCTAAAAGTTAATGTCCTTCAACATAGTAATACGTGCAAAGGCGAGCCAAAGAGGCAGGCCTAGACCTCGCTGAGCCGAACCCTGGACTGCACAATATGACACTCTCGAGGCCTAAGATGATGGTTAAAAACCACAAGTGTGAGAATGTTGTTACAAGGTTGGGTCAAGTCTCCTTCGAACGTGGTAGAGCAGAGAAGCGCTGACTTCCGTTTGGACGATATACTCCTTGAACCGCAAGTCGAGGCTTATTGTCTGTTTTTTATGACTGTAATAGAAGGTAAACGCTTGGGTATGGAAAAGCAGCTGCAGTGCCCGAGGGATTTGCCGGCGGTCACAATGACGATGAGGACTAATGCATGCAAATGAAGGGTTCTTCGTGTTACTGCATGACAATCAAAAGGGGTGATCCTATACCAAACACACTCGTTTAAAGTATTGTACAATATTTACGCAAGACGGCAGTTGCTCAGAGCCTACAACAGATGTCGACCGCGGTCTTTCGTGCCGGCAGCCGGTGCTGCCGGACAGCTGCTCAACCATGGCTTGCAGCTCATAGCCATGGTCTTCGTGGACTACGCTCTCAGTCGTTGATGCCTGCGCCGCTCGTGCATTTCCTCAACAAGGCTCCCCGCAGCGAGGCATTCAGAGGCACTAGGCTCTTCCAGCAGCAACAGACTCGCAGCATCGCGACAAAGTCTGGCTCCAATTTGTCGGCGGAGGTGGCAAAAGATGAGCGCGTTCCCGTGACGGTGAGCACATCGGCATCTTCTCAAGAGGCCTTCGCGAAGCCATGCACTATGCACAGCGTTGGCAGTCCTGTTTTCCTGCTACTCCCCATCTATTGTAAGGGCGTCCATGGTGCATCCTAACAACGAAGACCTGCGAAACCTTCTTCACTGCCACCCTAGCCCCATTGGTGACGCTGACTCATATTAGCGTCCGCCACAGGCTCAGATACCGCCCCTGACATCGGTTTGGGGCCAATGCCAATAAACACATAGAGCGCAAAACTCACGCACATTTGAAAAGGCATCTTTGAGCTCCTCCTCGCTACCACAAGTTGCTCTCGGTCCTGGTTTGTCCCGTGGGTCACTTGGGGGGCACGTGTACCCATTCCCTCCCTCTCCGTCCCCATGTCAGGTCTTGGCAAAACTACACCTGCTCCCTTTCGTTTCCGTCCCACCCTCCAGCTTCTGCCCATCCCCCTTAACCCCGTCCCTCCAAAGGGCCCACCAACCCCTTCTTGTCCTCCTTCCACCCCTGCCTCGGCCCTCCCAGCTCACATCCCTTGTCCTGTGGCACCCTGCCGCCATCCCCACTGCCCCCTGTGCCATGCCCTCACTCGTGGTTTGGTGTCCCTGCCTCCCCCCCCTGCCTCCCACCCTTCCCCCCTGCCTCCACCTCCGCCTCCGCGCTCCCTCCAGGTGATCACCGGCTTCCTGGGCAGCGGCAAGACCACACTGCTGAACCACATCCTCACCAGCCCGCAGCACGGCAAACGCATCGCGGTCATTGAGAACGAGGTGTGGGGTGGAGCCGCAGTAGTGGGGGGGCCGGCAGTCAGACCAGCACGCAGCCGCGGGGGGAAAAATTAAATAAGTGAAACAACGAGTCCCAATCCCATATCCCGACTCATGCAGTGAGCGCGGGGGGGGGGGTGCCGGCAGTCAGACCAGCCGTGTGCTGTTGGAACCTTTTGGTCGGGGTTTAGGAATTCTGTCAAGGTGCTCTGTACCCGCCTCCCTTCCACCTGCCTTCTCCCTCTTCCCCTCCTTGCTTCACCCTCAACCCCCCCTCAACCCCAGCCTCCCCCTCCACACATTGGAATTTCCTATTCCCCCTCCTACCTGGCCCCCCCCCCAGTTTGGTGAGATCGACATCGACAGCTCCCTGGTGGTGAACCAGGTGGCGCTGGTGGAGGGCGGCAGCGACACCGTCACCACGCTGGCGAATGGTGTGGGAGGGGGGGGGGAGGAGGGAGGGTAGGGTGGCCAGGGAGGAGGGAAAGTTATAAATAAGTGCAAAAGGGGTGGAAGCAGCTGCTGCTGCTGCTGGCATCCCGCAATCTGACCTTCCGCGCCCTGCTTTTTGTTCCTTCCCCTGCTGCTCTTCCTTCTATTCGTCTTTCACTCTTCCCTGTGGTCTCCACTCGCCAGTACTCTCACGCCACCCTTGAGGTGTCCGTCGCTATGTCCTACCCGCACCCCCTCCATCCTTAACCTACTCGCCCTCAATCCTCTCCCCCCCCCCAGGCTGCCTGTGCTGTACGGTTCGTGGGGACCTCATCAAGGCCCTAAACAACCTGGTGAGGGGAGGGGGGGAAGAGGAGGGCAGCAACAGGAGGAGTCGTGTAATGCCCCCGCGGCTCCTCCTGTAAAATGGACTCGTGTAACTAACTGAAAACGTCAGCAAAGTAGCCCCGCCCTTGCTGACGTGTCGCTGTCCTCTGGAGAATGTATCTTGCCGTACTGCCCCCCCAACTGCTGCCCCCTGCAGTACAACCGCCGCAAGGAGATCGACCACATCATCATTGAGACCACCGGTAGGGCCGCTGTGGGGGGATGGTGATGCTGATGGTGACGTGGGGAGATGACGTGAGGAGGGAAGAAGTTGGCACCTCAATGTGCTCCGTTGAGCTCCTGCATGAAGTCCGAAGCCGACTTCGCAGACCCCATGCAAGCAAGGAGTTGGAAGGGGGAGGGACGCATGGGCCCTACGGCCGCTCGGCCACCTCACCATTTCCCCCCCCCCCCCCGCCCCCCCCCCCCCCAGGTCTGGCCAACCCCGCCCCCATCATCACCTCCTTCTACGCCGACCCCGACCTGCCTTCCCGCGTCAAGCTGGACGGAGTGGTGACGGTGGTGGACGCCAAGCACGTCACGTGAGTGCCGCACAGCGTCTTGCTTCTTGGGTGGGATTAGATAAACTGAGCCGCGGAATGGACAGGTTGTCCTCCTTGAGAGGGAGGAGGAGGCGAAGAAGAAGCCATGTTTAAATTGCAAAATGACAAGCTGTTGCAAGCTATTGAATGGTCCTCCCGCTTCCCCCGCCACTTTGAAGCCTCGTCATGCAGCTCGTTCGTTTCCTTTTGTTGACCCTTCCCCCCCTCCCCCTCCCATTTCCTCTCTGGCTCACATGTTGCAACCCATGTTGACGCCTTATCCCTCAGTCAGTTAGTTGTTTCCTCTCCCCCCCACACCTCCCCTCCCCCCCCAGCCGCCACCTGGACGCCAAGGCCGCCGACCCGGAGGCGGTGAGCGAGGCGGTGGAGCAGGTGGCGTACGCGGACCGCATCATCCTCAACAAGGCAGATCTGGTGAGAGAGGGGGGGAGGGGTGGAGGGGTGGGAGGGGGGGAGGGGTGGGGGGCAACATGCGACTGATGGTGGGGGCGGTGGGCCAGTGGAAGAGTGCGTCTCCCTTGTCAAACATTACCTCCTTTCCTCTTCACCCCTTCCCTCTTCACCCCACGGACTCCCTTGCTTTACCCTACACTGTTGATTCACTGGCCTGGCCGCCCTTTGACACCCCGTCTCCCCCCCCACTCCCCCCACTCCCTCTTCCCCCACCCCCTCCCCCCCTTCAGGTCACCCCCGCCGAGCTGTCGGAGCTGCGCACCCGACTGCGGACAGTGAACGCGCTGGCGCCGCTGCAGACCGCCACCAGGAGCAATGTGGGGGCGAGCGGGCTGGGGGGGTGGGGGGTGGGGAGGAGGTGGGTGTCGCTACTGCCTGCCTCCTGCGTGCTAGCGCCTCTACCGCAGCGACTGCGGGTGGGGAGGTGGAGAGTAGGGGTTGTCCCCCCATGCCCACATGCATGCATGCATGCGGATACCGGTACCCACACCCTGATGGCCCGAACTTGAATGCCTGCCTATCTTCGTGCCTCGCTGCCACCCTGTCCCCCCCCCTCCTGCCCGCCCGCCTGCCCCGCAGGTGGATGTGGACTATGTGTTGGGGGTGGGCGGGTATGACCTGGCTAACGTGGAGAAGGAGGTGGGGGCAGTGGGGGCGGGGGGGAGGGGCGGTGAGGGGATGAGTAGGGAGGGGGGTGAGGGAGCTGGAAAGGGTGGGTGGCGTTGGTGGAGGGGGGATGGCTGGGCGGGAGGCACTGGGCGCTGCCGATGCTGGTGGGATGTGGGTGGTTTTGGAAGGAGGGTGGGGGTGTGGACTCCAAGAGGAGCCCAGCGCGACAAAGGGGTGGACGTTGGCGGGGGGGTGGGGGGTGCTAGGGGCTGGTTGCGCGCCTCGCCCCTTGGAAGGCGGCCGGAATGGCGGGAGGAGAACCATCAGCCAGCGGGCAGCACCCTCGCACCCCTAGTGCCCCCACACCTTCCAAGTGCTTCCTCCCCCTCCTGTCCCCCCCTCCCCCCCCCCTGCAGTTGGACCTCACCCTCGCCAGCAGCCACCACCACCACGACCACCACCACCACGACCACCACCACCACCATGACCACCAATGCAGCGGCGCCGGCTGCTCCCATGACAGTCACAAACACCACCACGATCACCATGATCACGATCACAGCCAGTGCCCACAATGCAGCCACGAGCACCATGACCATGACCATGACCATGAACATCACGACCACCACCACCACGACTGCGCCGGAGCCGGCTGCACGCATGAAAGCCACTCCCACGCCCAGCAGGTGCAGGTGCAGGTGCAGGCGCCCCGTCATGACGACCGGGTGTCGTCCGTGAGCCTGCAGTTCGAGGGGGAGATGGACCTGGACAAGGTAGGCGGACATGGGGGAGGGTCGTGGGGGGAAAGGGTGGGGTCGAGGAGGGGTGAATGTGTGTTAAGATAACTGGCCGCGAGGCGAAACGTACTGTGATAGCCGAAAGATGAAGTGAAGACGTGTGTATGCGTGTGGAGAATTGGTGCGCCGGTTCGGGGACGAAGAGGCAGAAGGGGAGGGGCGGGAGTGTCAGGGGCTACCTCAGCGCTACCTTGGAAGATCTCCTCCTCTGCCCACCACCCTCCCCCCACCAGCGGGGCGGGATGGGCCGGCTACACCATGTTTGCACCCACCCGTGTTGATCCCCCCCTCTTGTCACACAGCTGGCCCGTTCCCCCCCTCCCTACCCCGCCTCCCCTCCCTCTCCTCCCCCCCCAGGTCAACTGGGCTCTGGGGTTCCTGCTTGAGAGCCGCGCGGAGGACCTGTACCGCATGAAGGGCATCCTGGCCATTGCGGGCTCGGAGTACCGCTTCGTGTACCAGGTGGGTCGGGGGGGCGGGTGGGCGGGCGGGTGCGGGAGAGGCGGGGTGAAAGTAAGGAAGAGGCGGGGGCGCATTAACTTGGGGAAGCATGCGGTGAAAGGGGCGAGGGGTCGATAAGAAAGCATGCTTGAAGTGCAGCTTCACGCTTGTTTTCCCCTTTAGCCTCCATAAACACATGAAGCCGCACCCTTTGTGGTTAGGACCCCCTTTACATGACCTCCGCCTCCTGACCCCCCTCCCCCACCCCCACCGCCCTCCGCAGGCCGTGCACCAGGTGTTCGAGGGGGTGCCCGACCGGCAGTGGCAGCCCGGCGAGCCGCGGCTGTGCAAGATGGTGTTCATCGGCAAGTACCTGCAGCGGGAGGACTTTGAGGACGCGTTCAAGGGGTGTCTGGTGGGCGCGAAGGAGGAGGCGGGGGTGGGGGCGGCGTAGCGGGGGAGGGGGGGTCGAGGTTATGAGGCACACTGGAGGCCCTGCGGAGGGGCGGGGGGGGGGGCGGAGGTGTGAAGAGGGAATTTGGGTGGCAGGGAGGGCAGGTGGAGAGAGGAGGGGGCGCTGGGGAGGAGGCGGAGGAGGAGGGGCGGGTTGTGTGACTAAGCCAGGAGGGCTTTGCCTATGTGCAAGTTTTCGGGTGTTGAGGAGGTGGTGGGATGGTCAGCGAGAGGATGGATGATGAGTGAGAGGGTGGGTTAGCTAGAATGTTAGCTAGGTCGTGGAAGCGGACGAGGTGGGCCAGGAACGGCAACAGGAGGGACGGGACTCACCAGGACACAGGGCTCACTGCGGTGACGGCGGCAGCAGCTGGAGGGGTGCCGTACTGGGGGCGGCTGGGAAAGTACATGCGTGTCAGGCAGTGCACGTTTGCATAGCTACAGGATGTTGGCGTCTGGGGCCTCAGCACGCGGCGTACGTGGTGGGGTCGATGTAAGCAAAGGGGAGACAGTTAAGTGTCAACAGAAGGCCATATCAATTGCTTGTCCTTTATGTACCGTAATATGCTTCAGTTCAGCTACTGCTTACTGCTGCCTGTTGGTTTGGTGGTTGGTGGGCCGATATTGCCGTACACACACAACCATTATCATTCGTTCATACCTCCGTCAACACAATGTCGGGACACAGCCGCCGCAGCGTCACCGACAGCCGCAACCCACGAGGCAACATGAGCCTCACCGACCCATGGGTCCCAACCGCCGCCTGCTGCCGCTGCTTGCACCCAGCATCATCTGCACTGCTCGCATCCCGGTCATTCCCACGACCGGCGCCGTCGCCACTAGCACCCCTAGCAGCACCGTGGTTCTGTCCCTCATCGGCCTGTCCCTGTACCCCCTCGGAACAAGGCCCTGCACCAGCAGAACCGCCCTCACCCCCTCTTTGGTCGTGACCCATTGGTCGACCCTCAGCTCTCCGCTGCCCTGGACTCCGCTCCGCAGGCTGGCACGTAGACCTTTGATCACAAGGACCGTCGCCGCCAAGCCCCGGACGGCCTTGCTGACCCATGGGTCGGCAGCACGGCGGCGGTCCCATGCCTACGACCACCTCCTCCTCGTGCACCGATCGGATGCCGTGCGTCCAGCCGTACCGCGCTTCCCCCGACATAGCCAGCAGGTCCCCACCGCGCAGCAATACACACACGTGGTCGGGGGTGCACCACCACACCCCCTCATCCGTCGTACAGCTGCCAATGCTGCTGTTGAATGTACGGCAGCTGCATGTACGGCTGCAGGAGGCGCTTGTTAACAACGGTGCCACGTCAGCACCGCGGGCGTCATCAAGCGGCGTTGTCTGCTCCCCCCCCGGGTGCTCCTGCTGCGTGCATGTGCCCTCCCTCCACGGGCTCCCTTGCCGGCCTTGCACCTGCTGCTGGGGCTGCCGCTCCGCAATCGCCTCAACCCCAGCCATCCCACGGCGTTCATCCTCCTCCTGCTGCTGCTGCTGGGGCTGACACTGCTCCTCCTGCTGCCCCTGCCCCTGCTGCTGCTGACGACCTCCGCAGCAGCCCTCGCCCCGGCTGACATCGCGTGCCATCACCCCCGCCGTCCCCTGACCAGAAGCCGGAGGGGCGCACCTGCTGAAGTGCATCACGGCGGGTCCCCCCACCGACACCCCCACAATGCCGTCCTGGAAGCGAGCTAGGTCCACATGAGGCGTTATGCCCTCGCCTGGGGATGCAAGCAGGGGGCGGGTAAGGGCAACGGGAGCGGGTGAATTCTCGAACGGAGCTGCTTCGCTTATCCGTCGTCAGCTTATCCGCTGTGGACCATTGGGGCCAGGGAAGGGCGACAGGTACCGGCTCTCGGCACACAACCGCCATGGCGCTCTCCTTTGGTGCGCACCGACACAGCAAAGAGCGGGGACCCAAGAGCGAGCTCGGGGCGGTTTAGAGTGCAGCGGCAGAGGAGGGAACCTAGCCGCACTCGCACGCGCACGTCCTACTTGTCCTCGTGTTGGAAAGGGAGGAACGTGTACCCTAAGCATTCGCATGCCAGCAGCGAATGTGGCACGGCTGGCCCCCTCACCTGGACGGTAGAGGTTGACGATGGCCTGGTCGAAGGAGGGGCAGCGGGCGGCCAGGGGGGCAGGCAGCAGCTGGTCTGCAGCGGGCGACAGCAGGTGCAGGGGCAGCCGGTGATGTGCGCAGGTGGGGTGCTCTACAGGCGTACCACACGTGAGGCGCGGCCCGGTGTTTCGGTCGGCCTCACACCGATACCTTAAGCAACATTTCCATGAGGCGCTCCCCTTGCTGCCTTGAGGCACTTTTACCCCGCCCATTCAGGCCCCCGCTGCCCCCCACCCTTACCCCGCTGTCCCCCCGCCCTCACCCAGAGGCAGCCCCTCCGCCAGCCTCAGCGCCCACTCCGGCAGCTTCCCGAAGAACATGGCCTGGTTGGGGTGGCCGGCAAAGACAGTGGGGCGACCCGTGGGACGGCCGGCAGCGGCGGCGGGGCCCTCCTCGTCGCCGGCAGCATTGGTGTTGCTGCAGCTGACACCCTTGCTCCTGTCGTTACCCTGGTCACTGGGTTCCCTCCGGGTGCCGCATGCGCCCATGCCGCAACTGCTGCTGCTGCCGGCCGCACCGGTATCTTGCAGGTTGCTGCCCTCCCCTGCCAAGCAGCCGGATGCCAGTATGGCTGCGGCTAGCTCCAACTGCAAGGCGCAAGTGAGGGGGTAACACAAGGGTGGGGACTGGAGAGGGAGGGTGTGGTGTGGTGGGGATGGAGGGGGAGAACGTGGCGTGGGGGTTGGCAGTCAGCATAGCACAGGCAGAAAGGGGTACCAGGAAGAGACAACCAGACAAGGACTGTGGAAGATTGGGATATCGGCTGCAAGCAGGACCTGCCTGAACCCAAACCTGGTTTCTTCAGCTAGGGAAACCCTGTACACGGCGGCGTGGTGTTACCGTGGAGAGCCACCCATGTGCGTGCAGGAGGCACAACGACCTCGTCGCCCGTGGCGGTGCTCTTCACTCTGCTCTTCACCCGGCGTACGCAATACTTCCGGGAGCGAAGGAAGGCGACGTACCTGCTGTGATGGCGATAGCGCTGCTCGGATAATAATCAGGCCCGGAAGAGGGCTGATTAGAGGGCCCTCGCCAGGGTTTGACTGGTGTGGCCCCAGCTTCATGCTTTCCTGAGCCAGCAGTTAACGGAGTACAGTGGCAAGCTGGAATACTCTGTAAGACTTAGGTTCGTGATATGCGGTGCAGCGGTTGCACCAACTGCAACGGTGCTGAGACCTGGGTTGCGAGTACGGGCTTGCGGGTTAAACCGTCGGGAAGTCGCATGAAGTACTTACCCCAAGTGCCGCCATCAAAGGGTGTCTCTGTGTGTCGTTCAACGCTTCCTGTGCTTCTTGGATGCCTGTTCGCGAAGGGCTTCGCCTACATAACTTTTTACATGGGCGTTCGATGGCGACGTCTCTTTCGTAAGAGCACACGTTCGTGTCATCCGTTTCGTCATCTTCAAAAAGGTCATGCATAAGGCGCTCCAAGCAAACATTTGCCATTGTTGGTCACGACGGGCAGCCCCAACTAGAATCACAACTTAAATGGAGAGCAACTGTTAGCTAAAAAGGTAAACGATGTAACCGCTCACATTGCTAGGCTGTAAGGCATGTGCTAGGGTCATATACGTCGGTCGGTCGTTGCAGGTGATCTGCGGTACGTGGTACCATCGGGAATCGATACTCCCTTTTTCCAGCGCTTATGCAATGTTGAGGGAACTGTGGCTTGCCGCCTTCATTACGGATTTACGTACTTTAGCAACAGGCTATTAGTTGCAACCTAAGCTTGCATCATTGTGCCAAGTCTGCTTTCCAGAAGCACCATTATACACAGCCGCTCGACATTTATAATGCTGCTGTCAGCGCCGTTGAACAATTTGCCCGCTGGGCTCCATACCTGGCCGGCTCGCCCCGCTGTGCGTGTAGCTCATCATCATCGCCCCCGAGGAGTGCTTGCCAAGAGCCCAAGCGTTAACCAGAGCTTTAAAAAGCTTCATCAAGAGGTTCTTCAAGACTCAGAATGGTATGGTCCCAAAGCGCCCGACCATGCCGTTGCACCAGCCGCTGTTGCCGCGGCGCCGGCTACTGCTGCGACTCGCACAGACGTCCGACTGCTCTCCAGCTTTACCAAGTTCTTGAAGAGTCGAAAGCTGGATCTCTCGGTACGCTGCCGCTTGTTCGTAGCTTGCTTATACTTGCGGCTGCGCAGCGAGCCCTGGGAAACTGGTCGGAAAGGACAAATGTGCCGGCGGGGCCACCGGTTGGGAACCCCAGGACACGCCGCTTCGTTTTTACACCATTCTTCGTCTCCTGCCATCGCTTCAATGCAGCTGGTCTCGCCCTTAGCGCCATTCATGTTGGTGGTATTTGCTGTCGACATGCACACGTTGCTTGCTAGCCGCCTACACTTGTATGCATTACTTGCGGCGTCCTTGCGTCCTAACATGTCGTGACTTTAGGATCGCTTGCGGCCACGTCGACACCCACACTGCCGGTGCTGCTCCTGTATGCCAACCTTCACCACACCATTTTCACCATGTCCGGGTCTTTGTGTGCTCTGTACGTGCCATGTACCCATTTGGTCCTTGCACACCCATGCCCATAGGTTCTCTTTTGCTCGGAACCCGTGCTATCAGCCGACAGCGGCCCCATGTGCGATTTGCACGCCGGGCATCATAAGCAGGTATGGTATGTTAAGAGAACTGGCCGCGGGTCGGAGCGTACAGCTTGTTGTAACAGTCGGATACACCCAGCCGCTTGCCGTACAACGTCAGCACCCTGCACTCTTGCGCAGCTGTTGCTCCCCGGGTGCCTGATGCAGCCTCCAGTTGGCCACTCTCCCGCTGACGTGTGCCTACTGGAATGCTCCTCTGTTTGCTGAGCCCAGTCCAACCTAAGTCCCCTCCCCGCTGAACCCAGTGCAACGCCCCCACCCATGGAGTCATGCATCCACGCTCCCCCGCTGTCCCCCGCGCTGTTCCCCTCCTTTTCCCCGCTGTCCCCCTCCAGCTGCTGTCCGAGTACCTGACCTCCGGCGGCCTCCGAGTGGGAGAGGAGCTGCCGCACTGGTTCGTGGACGGCAACCTGCGCGGTGCCATCAAATGCTGGATGGCGACACGGCCCGCAGCAGAGGCGCTGGCGAATCGAACAGCAGCCAAAGCGGCTGAGGAGAAGGAGCAGGAGGCGACCCTTGGGTCGCTGGCGGCGTCCGTGGCGACCCATGGGTCATTGGGGGCGTCCGCGGCTGAGCTGGTGGATCCTCTGCTGGCTGCGATGCCAGCTTGGGCGCCGGCGGTTGGGGGCGTGCAGGAACTTGCTGGGTGGGAGTCGGCGGGGTGTGCTAGTGCAGAGGTACGTTGAGGAGGGGAGATAACCTCATGACTCCTGTTGACTTCATTGATCTCGGCGGCACGCTGGGGGTACGTAATTTGCATGCAATTGATGCCGTACCTGTGGTACCTGTTGCCATCTGCTTGCAAACAGGATATTGCGCTGCTGCACTGTTTCGGAGCGCTGGTCTACTCCGCCCGACTGGACGTTGCGGCCTTCCTGGAGCAGCTGTGCGGGGCAGATCCCTTCTCATGGGTCATGGCACAGGTACGGGAGGGGTGTGATGGGTGAAGTCCGATTCCGGACCTAGCATGGGTTGCTGTAGCGCTGAGGCTGCAGCGAGCTGTGTGGTGGCGTAATTTGTGTCGGAGCTTCCGCAGCAGCTCACCCTGCAACCTGCAACCCTCCCTGGCTCCTGCTGCTGACGGGGTTGCCCCCCGGCATGCCCCGGCATGCCAACCGCCCACCCGCCCGCCCGCAGGTCTCCCAGGGGGTGGTTTCAGAGCCGGAGCCATGGCTGCTGGAGCGGTTCTTCATGAGCAGGGTGGGTGGCAGGATGGGGGGTCGGGGGTAGGGGTTTGAGAGGTTAGGGGGTTGGGGTGCGGGGTGCGGGGTGCTGAGCCCCTTGTGGCGGAAGGATGCCACCGTATCCGGGCTGGCAGCTAGGGGACTGGACACTACCGGTGGCAGATGTCAAGTTGCCTGGACGTGTTCTCGGCCCGGGGCCTTTCCTTCCCTCCGTCCGTGCCGCCAACCCTGTAACATGTCGGGGCCTACCCGCCTAACCTCCCCGTGCGCCTCCCCCCCGCCCACCAGCACCGAGAGGGGGAGCCGCTGCCGCTGTGGTTCGCTAGCTGGGGGGTGCGGGAGGAGGTCCGCAGGTGGCTGGGGGGCCAGCAGGTGAGGGGGGCGGAGGGGCAGCAGGGGCTGGAGGGGGGTCAAAGACCATATCAAACCATAGGAGACCACAAGTTAGGGCAAAGCAGGGGCTGGAGGGAGGGGCTGGAGGGAGGGGCTGGCAGGGAGGGAGGAAACGTCGGAGAGCACACGCGTGCAGTACGGGTGGAGCATCAGTTACCGGTAGGGGCAGAAACGCAGAGGAGCAGACCCCGGGGGGGGGATCACGCTGGAACACGGCCATCGTGAGCACGTCTTCCGCGCTGTGACTGACTGGCCAGCTAACTGGCCGCCAGTATCACTGTCCAGCTGCTTCAGGGGCCATGCTGGCTTGTCACCCGTGCGCAACCCACTCCCGTCCTCCCCGTCCTCCCCGTTCTGACGCCACCCACACAGGCTGCGGCGCTTGTCCGCGCCCTGCTAGCTGCACGCAGAGGGGGACACGTGCCGACACCCGCGGGCACCGGAATCGCCGCAACCGTAACCCCAGCCGCCGCCACCCCCACCACCCCTCCGCCAGCTACCAGCGGCTCTTCCACCGCGGCCGTCGCCACCACCGCTAGTGACAGCAGCATCCCACCCGCAGTAGCGGCGGCGTTGGGACGGTTGGAGGCCTCCGCAGCAACCCTCATGATAACAGCTGCTGCTGCCGTACTTAACGGTGTGAGCAGCAGCAGTGGCGACGCCGCCGCTTCCAGCAGTCATCAGCTGGTGCCACCAGCGCATACGTCGCTGCGGCTGCGGTGCCAGCGGGACGCGGTGCTGATCGATGAGGCATATCCGTTGGGAGCGCCGTACACTGCCGACTTGTTAGTTGAGATGGCAACAGCAGATACAACAGCGGCTGGGGCAACAGCAGCAGATACAGTATCCTCCTCGTTTCTTCCAAGCAGCAGCAGCAGCTGCAGCGAGGTTACTGGATCCACAGGCGTCGTGAGCAGCGTTACGTCGTCGCCAATGGCGGCGGCGGCGGTGGCGGATGCCTTGATAGCCGTGGTGGTTCCGCTTGGCACCGGCAACAGCAGCCAGGAGCAGGAGCAGCAGCGGCAGGCGGTAGTGGCGGCTGTACGACAAGCCAAGGAGCGTCTTGACTGGCTGGCTTTCCTGTACGAACAACAACAGCAGCAGCAGGGGCATGCGATTCAGGCGAGTAGGGGTTTGGCGGGCGTGAGGCGCATCGTGAAGGTCCTCCTATTGGTGGATTCGGGAAGCGATGGAGCGGAGGGCGCGGAGGGCGCGGAGGCAGCAAAGGCAGCACTGCCGCCGAGCTTGGAGGGCTACCTGGCGGCTGGCGGCATCCGCTGCATTCGGGCTTCGGAGCTGTAGTAACGAGTAGCGCGAAACATCATTTTTTTCTATAGTTGTTGACGTTTATAGTGTTGATGTCTTTCATGAACACGGACCCCGTCACACATCCGCCTGCCATCGACTACAGCCGCGTCCGCTGGTGTGGGTCTGGGTGGGTTGGAATGCCGCTAGTCGTGGGGGTTACGGATACCGGCAGCAGTGTGTGTTAAAATAACTGGCCGCGAGTAGCAGTGTGTGTGTGCGAGGGAAGTTCTGACCTTGCAGTGCCAGCGGCTTTCCAGGGGCTTGGGAGGGCGCAAGCAGATGTGCCGGACGGGGCCTTGTGAGTAGGCTTAGCTGCCCACCATTGTGTGGATAGGGAAGGGTCTTCCTTGGGCAGGCTTCTGTGAAATTGAACGTAGCGGCAGTTGAGATGCCTTGAGAGGTCCTAATGAGCTTCGGAGGTGACTTTGCGATGGAGGGGAGCGCCGAGCAGAGCTTGGAGCAGTGCTGGAGCGAGCAGCAGTGGTTTTGAGTTTGAGAATTGAGGGGCATCTATTATGAGCGTGTGTGAAGCAGCAGAATGAAGATGTGAAAAGAGGTGTAGAGTGACGGGCGCCTCGGTATGGCGCGCTTAATAGGAATGGAGGGCGCAGCAGCTGAGGTGCTTCACGATCGGGTTTGCTGTTGTGGGAGGGAACTTCCTTTTCAGTTGCACGCGTGGTCTGAGTGCATAATGTTTATGCATATATTTGTATGAAAGTAGTAATTGATTGCTGGTTTGTTGGAACGTTGTATGAGGTTGTCCAAGGGAGTAGTGGTAGTTGAATGCATGGAAATATTATTGCAAAGCAAGCCGAATGATGAGCGAAGAGGGCAGTGCAGAACACATCAGAGGTAGGCAGGCGCGTCAATGTAAGTCAGGTGGTGCATCGTTCACTGAGAGTAAGACCCAGCTCACGGCAAGGGGATTGGTATTATGTTGTTTAGTTTTCCATTGAGTGGTCAAGCCAACACCATGCTGTCTGATAACCCCTGTGTAAGGCATTAATATAAATTTTTTATTGTAGAGTATTACACTCTCAATTGCTGCATTACAGTAACTTCTGAGCTGCGTCGGGTCAACGTTGCTTGCATCGAACATACATTTAGCAGGAAGACTCAGCACACAAAAGTTAGCATGCATTACCATATGAAACTTGAAACGGTAGATCTTTTAACACGTGCCTTTTCTTGTATCGAAGGGCTAAGGTCTACTATTTTGCGCCGTACACAGGTAAAATGCTATCCCTAACATTGTGATCTAGTTAAAGAGGCATTTTGTTGCATACTCCACAACAGTTTTACTCCCACGGTAAACCCACAGAAGGCGTAACTATCCTTACCTTTTCGAAGCAGTGAAGTTCGGCATCTGTCCCCCAAACCCTATCGTATCCTAGCACAAGTATCACAATGGCATATTGGGGTTATAAAACCCCTGCCAATTTTGCTGTCTGGGTACTCATTACAGTCTTGTTGGTGACTGGAGTCATTTGGCTTCCAAAGGGTGGCGCGGATACCGCAGGCTGCGGCTATTGCTGGACGCAGTTTGACGATGGTCCCTTGAATGATATGGCCTTGATCAACAGCACAAAAGTTGGTGGCATCGACAAGGGCTGCCTCGTCGCTGCGTTCTCCTTCAACTTGTATGAGCCCGAGGAAGCGGCTAAAGTTGGTGCCAGGGATGACTTCTACTGGTTTTGCCTGAACAGCGGGCCCCTTGCTCAGATGATTGGTGGCGCCGTCGTCTTTGGCGTTGGCCTCCTCCTGCTAACGTACTTCTGCTGCTGTGCTGTCAAGCCGTCTTCAGCGGGCACTGCTCCAGTAAGCGGGGTTTAAGGGCGCGGAGCAACATATTATCTCGAAAACCGCTAGAGATCAACCGGCCTTGTCCGTCTTGGACCCTGACATGACGCATGGCATGCGGAGTTGGTTCGGTTGGCGAGTGCTAATGTGGATGATAACGAAAAACGGCTAAACTGAATACCGATTTACGTTTTCAATTATTTTCTGACGTCGGCTGCAAGGTGCCTGTTATTTGTCTCCCCTCTTGCCGTCCCTTCCATGGCACAGGTGTAACACGACCTGGACCAGGAGCCATGCAAGCACCGTATCCAGTGGATTCTTTCTTGTAGGCTTCAGGGAATCTTTTCAACCGGCCTGGCAGCGGCCTTGGGTCATATGGCACCACCTTACACATCCCAAGTCCTGGGGTTTCCGACGAGAAAGTCCTGGTACGTCCGGTAGGCGATGTCTCGAGTGCAAACGTGGTAAGCGGAGAGAAGTAGTTGGCAGCGCCCAGTGATCAAAGACCGATTGCAGAGTAATGCTCATGCCAAGCTCGTCACAACTGCATGTGCATACACCTCGTCCTGATGCTTTTTTTATCTCGATAAGAAGTTGGTTCCTGATAGCCATGCAAAGTGGCTAGCAATCCGTTCATGCATGTACGGCACTGGACACTGCGATGGCTGTCAGCGTGTACGACACTGGATGCTGCTGTGATTGGGTAGAGTGTACATGGCAGAAAAGGTGGGAACACCGCTGGGCCCTGTTGATTTGGTTTGGTACTTCCTCGAAACGAACTTTGTCCTCGTTTGTCTTCCCTACATTTACTAGATCATGCACTTACAAGGACTTACAGTGGCTTTTCACCAAGCACGCTGGTGTAACAAACGTCTTGCCTTTCGCCGTCGTGGGGCCCTTTACTCTCTGTATGAGTATACACGCAGTCCATCCATGATTTGAAAGTGCCGATGATTAGGAAACGTTGGTACAGTTGAAGATTCCGCTTATACGGTGTTGAGTCTTGGTGCGTGGCAGCCCAGAGTGGCTGCTCTCGGGAGTTTGTAACGGTTATGAGTGTCTTATACAGCAGTGTTCAAATTCAACACACCGCAGTGCTATACCGACTTGTGCTGAGTAATCAGGGCCCCCCTTTACCAGCTGGAAGTACCAGATATAAGGGTTGTATCATCCTGTAGCTGTCCTCGATACGTAACGGCTAGGCTTCCTACCTAACTGCCACGCTCGCACATGCCTACCTGCATGTATCTCCTGGGGAATTAAGGTGAGGCAGAGAAAGTTGTTGAGTGGTTGGGATTGCAGTTCAGCATCATGGAAATTCTGCAACAGCAGTCGTCATATGCTGAAACATGGTGTTTCTCTTGCAGTGTAGGGTTGGGTTCAACAATGTTCCCTCTTAGGGAACAGTTATTCGTTCACACTGCCGTTGAGGGCGTCGCTAAGGAATATAACAGAACCAGTAGCTGGTCCAGTAGATAATTGGAAAGTGCCAACCGACGAGTACCAATGAGCTTCAGGGTGGCCAGCTAAAGCGCGATGTGCAAGGAAGGTCCCCTGTGCGGCTCGAACCATAAGCTTAATGGAGTGTATGAAGCGGCCAGGAATGCATGAGTGTGTTTTCGTATGCATGCTTTCAAGTGGACGAGTATAGTGTGTGACACAAGCAAATGTGAGAGGGTATGTGCCGTAATTTTATGATTGCGTTTATCTGCTGCCTACAGCAAGCGCAAAACTGTGCTCGTACACCAATAGTTTGAATACAGCAAGCAACTTCAACTGAAGGTAACCGGAAGGTATCCCTAACGCTCGCCGTACAAAATACAAACGTTCGTTTTATATTTAATTCATGTTTCAATGCCTCTCCGTACTAATAAATTACGCTTGCAGGTATAAAGCTTGCGCTATTCCTACATGTACTGACGACAGCCTCTTAAACTTGAGCCGCGGCCAAGTCCACCGCAGTAACACGATGGCTTATTGGGGTTACAAGACGTCTAGAAACTTTGCTATATGGATACTCATTGCCGTCCTACTAGTGACTGGGTTAATTTGGCTTCCAAAGGGAGGCGCTGATACAGCCGGCTGCGGCTATTGCTGGACGCAATTCGACGATGGCCCCTTAAATGATACAGCCGTGCTCAACAGCATGAAAGTTGGTGGCATGGACAAGGGCTGCCTCGTCGCTGCATTCTCCTTCAATCTCTATGAGCCCACGGATGCGGCGAAAGATGGCGCTAGGGACGACTTCTACTGGTTTTGCCTGAACAGCGGGCCCCTTGCTGAAATGATCGGCGGCGCCGTTGTCCTTGGCGTTGGTCTCATCCTTCTGACATACTTTTGCTTTGCTGCGAAGCCATCTTCAGTGAGCGCTATGCCGGTAAGCGCGGGTTCGACACGATTAGGATGACACATGCGAAGCTGTAAGATGGGCATGTCGCTTCACCTCCAGGTCGCGTCGCAAGATGAGCAGTTGGCGAGAAGTTGGCTTATACATGCGGTGAAATTGATCCTCCTTCCCGCTTCCGACTCATTGATCCTCAGGTCTAATCATTTGGTGCCTCCAAGAACGTAGCGTTGTGCGCCGCGTGGGCTTGGCTGAGGTTCAAGATAACGACGGTTGCCGGAGCAGGGCAGTCAGTTGCCATGCGTTGTGAACCCCGTGAACAATGAGAGGTTAAGCTGGAGAGGGGAACTGGTGGATTCTCAAGGTTGTGTTGAATGGAGGAATTGAAATTGAATTAGACATTGTGGTGTGACCCCGTTTGCCTTGCATGCTCTTTCTACTGTCCCGAAAGCATTAAGGATTGTGAAATGAAAACTGTTTCTGATGCCATGCATGCCTTTTGTTCTCATTTGCGTCCTATAATACTTCTTTCGGTTCCGTAATGTTGGTCGTCCTTAGAATGACGTGATAAGACTGCCTATATATAAGTCTACGGTGACAGGAGTAATGTGTACAGGCGGTTTTATAGGACCTGAGGTGCAGGAAGATCTATGAATGAATTGGGTGATTGACAGCTGGCGGATGCGGCAGTGCGTTTGTTTCGTAGCCGTACTGCTGGCCGCCACAAGGCTATGCCGCAACCCAAAGACTCACGACTAGAATTGAATGCATTTGTTGTACGTGTGTTGAACAATGTTGAACATACTACACAGATACATACGTAGGATTCACTCTGCTCGCTTGCAGGGATGGATTCATTCCAATTGATTTTCGTACCGGGACCTCGCCAATTTACGACCTTTGCGCTTATTATATGTTGGCGGTGTGGTGCATTGAGATTGAGAAGGGTATGCATAATGCATAGCATTTAGTGTCTTGCAAACTTGTCTGACAAAAACGCAATGCCCCAAAGCTAACGACTGCTGACCCTATTTACCAAGGGTTTAGAGTGATGTAAGAATACTGTGCACAACAGATAAATCTGCTGGCATCCTCGTGGGCCGACAAGCTTTGCATGTGGCTTACTTTCTGTGAGGGAAGCGGTACATTGAACTGGGTAGGAGATCCCTGGGAATCCGGAGTGGCGTTTACCGGTATAAATAAGCCGTGAGCGACCTACGCCAGGGCGCTGGCAGACCACCAAACGCCCCTTTGAGCTGCGTAGCAATGCATGCCTTGTATTTCTTTTTCTGATGTATGCATTTGCATGTCTGGCTCCGTACTTGCATCAAGACTGGCGGCTCTACATTGTGGTAATAATAGCTACTTGTCGTGCGTGTACGGCAATGTTGAAGCACGGAACGGAATTACAGACACGTACGTTACATGGCGGACAAGCCACCACTACCTTGGCTTGCAATGACAATCTGGAACCCAAATACAACCTAGATCCAATAGCACGGTAGGTATGAGATACGAATGACACCCAACAAGTAACACGAAACATGCCAGCCCCGCGCCAAACTCGAGGAAAGAATGTTTAGGAGTGTCTGCACATGCGCCAAGAGAACGTTATATTACCACTGCTTGTGAGTAGCCGGTGGTAACAATCCACATTGGCAGCTCTTTTGCGTGCTTGCTCAGGGCTTGCTTAGTGCCAAAATGCAGCACAAGACAGGTGCGGCGGGGGGTTTAAATAGCAAACCCCTGGCGAGTACCTAGCTTCGACTCGACATATGCTGTGTGCATTAAGGCATCCATGGGCGACGACATCATACCCACTCCTAATAACAAGGTATGGCAACCGCCGCATATGTCGAACGCTACTGTGCATCAGCAAATTCTACAATAATCGTACCATGACCCTAAACACCCCTACACGGTACATATCCGCGCAAAGGGCCCGCCACCTCCATGACCCAGATTGCTCGTCCCAAGCCTACGAAGCTTTCAAGGCCGAACAAAACTCATTCAAACAATGAACCAGAAGGTAACATACACGGTACGCAGATCCTATGGCCATAGTGACAACTCGAAATGTTACATGACCACTCACCATCCAGCTCTGGGCGCCACCACGTTACCAAACCGCATGACGACTGCAAATGACGAAACGAAGACGAATTAATACACGACGATAACACGACTTATACATGTATACCACAATACTACCTATACAGACGTACTACTAACAAAGTTGCCTTGCGTGTTCGCGTCAGCTCCGAAACCCGCATCAGGAACGGCACACGGCAGCCTCAGCGGCCCCACATGACCGTCCGCTTCGACACGTGCAACGCGCCCCTCGCCTCCCTCACAGCTTGGCGGCCGCGGGCGGCCCGGCCGACAGCTTGCGTCCCGACTCCGCGGCTGCCACCAGGTACTCGCATGGCTTGAAGAAGCCGGCGTGGGTCGGACCCACCATCGCGGCGAACTGGCGCAGGCGGGCCACGATGCGCTGGGCGCCCACCAGGTCAGCCCAGAAGATGAGACCGCCCTGTTTTATTTGGTGGTAGTTGCAGGGTAACGTTGCGGGTAAGTTGGTTACAACATTGGAACTTCGGCACCATTGGAATTGGCGGCAAAACACGCTAGCAGCACCTGCTGATAATATGTGTGCACATTACCACGCTCTCTGGACCATGCTATTGACCCGCCCCGAGCATCCGACCCATGGGTCACCCATGCCGACTCACCTTGACCGCGGGGAATCCCATTGCCATCACGGACGCAACATCCATGTCCGCCGCCTTGTCCACAATGCCCTCCGCCACCACCCGGCAGCCCTCGTTCACCACTGGGGGGGTGCATGGGTTGGCGGTTGGGAGGAGGGGTCATGGCGAGGGGGAGAGACGCTAGGGCGAAGGATGAGGCGACAGGTGTAGCAGGGGAACCCTACACACCCATCCATCCAGTGCTATCGGGCCTTTTATTGGACTTACAAGTAAGCAAACGACCTTACCCAGTGAAGCACCTTCCCATCCCTACAACACACCTTTCCTCGCAGCTCAGTCCAACCAATCACCCCCGCCCCCAACCGCCCCTACCCGGGAAGAATATGAAATCCAGGATGTCGGCGTCCGTCAGCGCGGGCGGCTTGGCGCCCGGCTGGACCAGTCCGGCGGCCTTGCGCGACTCCGCCAGCAGCGGGGCGAGCTCGGGGTCGGGGCTGGCCTTGCGCGTCTTGGAGTCGAACTGGAGGGGAGGAGCGGGGTGGGGTTTGGGGTGGAAGGGCGTGAGAAGGGGTTGGGGAGAGCTGGAGTGCGTATGGCTGGTGGTCTTGGCTGGCGTCTGAGGCTTCAATCCCAACCAGACAACTAAGGAACCCCTCTCCCCTTGCTTTGCTGGCCCACCTTGTAGAAGCCCTTGCCGGTCTTCTCGCCCAGCCGCTTGGCCTCGTTGAGCAGCGGGATGAGTCGCGACACGTAGACCCGCTCCGGGAAGGAGGTCACGAAGTTGGCGCCCACGTGCAGCCCGATGTCGGAACCCACCAGGTCGTTCAGCCTGGGGGGAGGCGGGGGGGGGAACACAATGAGACACTGACGATGCAACTGACGAGCTGTATGACGAGGCGGTGGGGGGGGGGGGGAGTGGTGGTGATGAGGCCGAGAGAGGGGAAGTGGTGGTGGTAAAAACAGTTATCGCCATACAGTGTGAAGCACTTTATTCTCAATCCCATGTTCCCAGGAGGCCGTGGCCATGCATCATCATTTGCATTGAATTGTTAATGACACATCATCACCGCGCCACAACCCGCACCTGAAGGGCCCCATGGGCATGCCAAACTTGCCCGCCACCACGGTATCGATGCGGTACGGGTCCAGACCCAGGTCTGCCAGCAGTACGGCAGACATCGTGTACGGGAAGAAAACCTGCAGGTGTACGGTACGACACGTTTAGCGGGCGTGGAAGGGTACCATTGGGCGTAGGCTTTTAGAGCGCCAACCGTACTACCAACTCATTCCCCGCCATCACCACAGCGCCACTCCCTGTGCTACCCTCCTCCTCCCTCCCTCCTCAACGGCCTCCTTCCTCCAAACCATGAAACCTGTAGCTAAGCGACAGGGCACAAGTGCAAACAGCGCCCCTCTGTTCCCCTCCCTCACCCGGTTGACCGCGAAGCCGGTGCAGTTGCCCACCACCACGGGGGTCTTCTTGATGCGTGAGGACAGCGCGAGCGTGTCAAGCAGGACCTGGGGGGTTGCAGGGGAGGGTTGGGAGGCTCATTAACCAGCCGAGACGCAAACACATATGTCGACTTGCACGACGGAGGGATCGCACGACGGTGAAGGGCCCTAAGACCCCTAAAAGCCCATCTCCATTCAATACAGTTGTTTGCGCGCAGACACAAGATCGCATGACCCATGGGTCACTTCCAACTCCTTCCCCCTCCCCCACCTGCGGGCTTGTTCGGCTGGTCCGCACAATCTCCAGCAGCGGCATCACGTGCGCGGGGCTGAAGAAGTGCGCCCCCAGCAGCCGCGAGGCCGCCGGACCCGTGGGTCCGCCCTGCATCTTGGCTCCCACCAGGTCGATGTCAATGGTGGAGGTGTTGGTGGAAAGGATGCAGTCGGGCCGGCAGGACTTCTCCAGGTCTACACATGGGAGGGGGGTTTCGGGTGGGGAGTTAGCTTTCATTGAAGATGGACAGGGGCGTGGCCCCGTGCTGCGGACAGGAGCGCATGAAGAGCACGGGGACTGAAGAAGCCCAAAGAGGACAGCCATTGAAAAAGGGAGAAAGAGGAGAGATGGGTGCTGCTGCCAATTATCCATGATAATTTCTTCTCGTCGCATCCAGCCCCCTCCCAGCCTCCTCACCCGCAAAGATCCGTTGCTTGAGTCCAATGTCCTCAATCACCGCCTCAATCACCATGTCCGCGGCTCCGAAACCCGAGTAGTCCAGCGCGCCCGTCACCAGGGAGAGCGCCTTGGCGGCCGCCTCGGACGTCATGGCGCCCTTCTTGACCTGCACACGCAGGTGCGGGGGGGCAGTTTCGCACTTGAATGCACACTTAAAGAAACCGGTGGCGGGTACCGTAGAAGATCTTCGCCCCCTAGCTGCCCATCTCAACCTGGCGTGGATGCCCTCCTGTCAACCTACCGTACAGTAGTCTAACTCCCCATGCCCGTCTGCCGTACCCCTACACACACGGGGCCCTGCTGCTGCTGCTACCGGCTTCACCCACCCTGCTCTGCAGGTTTGCCTTGATGCGCCCCATGCCCGCGTCCAGGAAGCCCTGGTTGACCTCCTTGAGGATGACCTCCACCCCCGCCAGCACCAGCGCGGTGGCGATGCCGCTGCCCATCAGCCCGCCGCCCAGCACCGCCACGCAGCGGATGGGGCGGGGCTTCAGACCTGCAGCAGGGGGACCAAAGGGCGGAGCAGGGGTTAGAAGGATACTCGGCACCAGGACAGGCATGTTACAAACTCGGTAGAGAAAAAGGAGATGCATAGGAGCCGCTCTCATGGCAAATCTGGGGTGTGGGTGTCTACCCTGCCTTCCAGACCCACCCCGCTCCCCCACCCACCCGGCACGTCCGTGACGCCCTTGACCTTCTTGGTTGAGCGCTGCGCGAAGAAGATGTGCACCAGCGCCTTGTGGGTGGGCAGGGAGGCGGCGGCGGCGAAGGCGGCGCCCTCGGCTGCCAGACCCGCAGCACCGCCGCGCTCGATACCAGCCTAAGAAGGGGGGGTGGAGTGGAGGATGAGCGCAGAGGGAGAAGAAAAAGATTAGAAAGGGGAGGAAGGGAGGGGAGGGAGGGAGCAGATTGGTGATGCAAGCGCCGTATGTGGTGATGCAGCCGAGTGTGTCGCGGACCCACCTGAATCGCATCCAGACAGAGCTGTGGGTGGCGCAGACCCCGGGCCCGCCGGTTGGCCTCCGCCCGAGCCATCTCAATGGTGGCGAGCGCCTCTCCCAGGGCGGGCAGCTTGTCTGGGGAGCGGACAACGCGTGTGTGGGCAGAGGGGACAAGGAAAGGGTTGCTCAAGACCCGGGTACGAGGCGGTACAAGGCCGGCAAGGGAAACAAGATGGTCAACCTACTGCAAGGGTAAGACACTCGGAAGAAGGCTGGGCAAGAGACGTGAAGGAAGGCAGTGGACAGGGGTGCTGCACACACGCGCGCGAGACTCATAAGTCGCAGGCTGCTCTTCCAAGCGTGTACTGCATGCGACCCCTCCTTCCCATGCCCCCGCCCCTGCCTCCCTCCCCTCCGCAACCTCCCACTCCCCCTCACCCGTGCGTGTCAGCGAGTACAGCCGCGGCTTCCTGCCCGCAGCAATGTCGCGAGCCAGCGCCCTGGCCGCCGGCAGCAGCTGCTCGGCCGGCACCACCGCATCCACCAGGCCCAGCTTCAGCCCCGCCTGGCAGCAGGGGCGGGCGGAAGACAGATACGGGACAGGAACCGGGGAGCAGGCAGGGTTAGGGCAAGGTTGGGTTGGCATTCCGGCTAGGTGCTACGAAGCCCCCTCCCCTGTCCTTTCTCCATTCGTCAGGAGCTTACATCACGGGTTTCACCGTTCCATTTACCAACTTGGTCCCATTCCCTCCACCCCCCCTTTTCCTCTCCTCCTCTCCTGCCCCCCCCCCTCACCTCCGCCTTGATGGGCGTGCTTGTGAGCATCATCTCCGCCGCCTTGGCCAGCCCCACCAGCCGCGGCAGCCGCTGCGTGCCGCCGAACCCGGGGATGATGCCCAGCTGCAACTCCGGGAGGCCCAGACGGGTGCCGGGGGTGGCGATCCTGGGGGGAGGGAGCGGCGGCGGCGGCGGCGGAGGGGACGTGAGGTGAGAGATGAGGGCAGGGTAGGAGACCGATCTGGGTCAGGCGACAAAGTGTACCGGTGGTGGTGATCTTTGATGGGGAGCGGTAAAGGGGTAGGCATGCAGGGGGGTTAATGAAATCTAAACCACGAGAAAGGGCAAGACAATACGGACAGGAGGCAGCATGCAGGGGGAGGGGCGGGCAAGAGGGAGCAGCGATCTGGGTCGGCGTGTCCCAGGATAAAAACTTGTGGGGAAGGGGAAATGGGAGAGGACGGGAGGAAAGGCGGAGGAGGAGCATGACCAGGAAATAACCAGTAGGGAAAGCAAATATCCAGCAGGGATAACGATGGTAAAGGCAGGGCTTGGACAAGTAGAGGTTGCATGCCTGGGATCTGGGTCAGGAGTGTGCAACCGTGTTGTCGTTTGGGGTGACATGTGGGTCCTGCAGTTCCTCGACACTTGCCAGGAAAGTGTGGTGCTTTGCTGCCGTCGGTCACTGGAAAGTGTCACAAGCAACTGCAGGACCCACATGTCAACCCAAATGACAACAGCCCAGACCAACCCAGATCATTTTTGCGCACACGCCGACCAACCTGGCATTGCATCCCATGGCGACCTCGAGGCCGCCTCCCAGCGCCACACCCTGGATGGCCGCCACGGTGGGCTTCGCGCCGCCCTCCAGGACCTCGCAGATGGAGTCGTTGATGGTGTTGTCGATGCCACCGCCCGCGCCAGCATCTGGGTTCTGGAATTGGTTAATGTCGAAGCCAGCGCAGAAGTTGTTGTTGGCGCCGGTGAGCACAACGGCTTGGACGGTGGGGTCGGAGTGAGCGCGACGGAGTTGGTCAAAGAGGGAGCGGAGCACTGAGAGGGCGGAGGAAATTGAAAGGGAGAGGTCAAGGTTGGCAGGGTGAGAAATTAAGAATGTTGGAGGGTTTAGCAGCGGCTATGCCTAGCCAACATGATTATGAAACGAAGGAACCGCCCAAGAGGAATGTGGCAGGCAACATATGCGCAACATGCATGACAAACCCACAAGTCGGCACGGCATATTCGGGCGGCCTTCTGCTTTGATGAAAATGCCTTCAAGAGCTATACCAGATGCCCGAGCCGTAGTCCAGGGCCACACTTCGCTACCAAGAAAACGTAATCGCCAACTGCTGCCCAGACTAAGAAACTCCAGCCGCGCATTGTATGGAAGGTTCTCCTATCGCCCCAATGCCACAGCTATCAAGCCAGTCAAAAATGCCACCTAGATCAAGGTCCTGCGGATGCGGCACTTACGAAGAGGGTGCAGCGCGTTCAGCGGCGGATAGTTAAGCGTGATGATGGCGATACCATCCTCAACGCGGTAGAAAGCCTCAGGCTTCTTGGAAGCCATGGCGGCGTCCCTCGTTCAAGGAGAAATGTGCTGGGCGGTCACGAAGACTTAAAAGCAAGGAGCTACCACGAGGTTAAACGAAAAGCTTTTGGATCAATATTGAATACAAGCACTATTTGGCTGTACCGGCCTTGAGGAGGGCTCTGCGTTGCCATGTCGGTTTGCGCTGATTCCACGTCAGCGAACAGTTTGTATACGGAAATGTGCCCACAACACAGGCCAGCAGCACTCAACATTTTACATTCTGTCGCTCTGTGGGACTTGCAAATCTTTAGCATTAAACCATTTAGGCCCCCTTTTCCTAGACACTGACGAGGGGAACCCTCTGCGCAACATCGGCTTTCAACATCGCGCTGTATTTACCATCAGCCATGGCGTCCACACCTGCAACGGCTGCTCAAGCCCGTCTCGGCGTGCTTGCCCAGCACCTCGCTCCAATGGAACGTGAGTCCCATGCCGGGGTTTGCCGACGTGGCTCTTCGCAGGTGGCAAAGACTAAGACTTGCACGGTGCTAGCCTGTACGCATTTAGTCCTTTCTGGTTGGTGTGACAGGTTCCTGATTGGTCGGCACTGGTATTCGCGTTGACACCGAACCATAAACTGCATCCCATGTCCATGCAAGGCGCTGTAGCAACCTAGCCAATCGCTATCCCTCGCAGCCGGAGACCTGTTGACCAAGCAGTTGACATCTTCTGCGTCTGCTCATTCTCGTGGAGGCTATGACAACACATTTCCTCAGGTGGCTTGCCATTACCTACTATAGTAGTGTTGCTGAGCTCTGCGCACAGAGGCAGGCATTATGCGCATTCTGTTAAAAATGCGGAAAGGAGTAAATGTATGATAAGTTATGGATCACACCAGGGGTCGTACCTGAAGGGGAAGCCGCACCTAGGGTTTCAAGTCTCGGCTACTCACGATGTCTTTTGCGAGTAGACACATACAACGTCAATCTCCCTCGTGTCAAGCACGAACACGTAAAAGCCCCTGCGTGTTTGCTGTGTACCTATCGCCACGTCACCCCTCTAGTTGCAGGCTCACAGCCCCCTTTCTCCTGTCGCCCTTACCCTGGCCGCCCCCTTGGGTTCCCCTCCTCTCATGCTTTCTTCCTCCAGGCCACCACCGCCGCCGCCTTCCCACCTGCCGTACACGACCTGCTGTCCCTGGATGGGCTACTCTCCGCCGAGGAGCGCCAGATAAGGGACAAAGTACGAGCCTACATGGTGAGTATGACTAATCGCTGTACGGCTCGCGTACTGCAAGCGACGTGATTGTGTCAACGGAAATACCGGTAGATGCAAGTACATACCACACCTTGACGGCCTTACATGGGCTACAGCTACGGTGCTACCTCACCCCGCTCATGCGTCTCACCCCACGTCACGTGTTACCCCCGTGCAGTGGCATCCCAACGGCCATGCTAACTGCCAGCCACCTAATGACGCTTGCCTTCCGGCCATGCTACTGTCAATCCCCCCTTCCGCCTTGCCCCTAACACCATCTGAATAGCTCCCTAACCACGTCTCCCTTCGCCGCCTCCATCCCCAGGAGGCCAACGTCGCCCCCGTGATCGCCGACTACTGGGAGCGGGCGGAGTTCCCGCACCAGCTGGTGCCCAGCTTTGCGACGCTGGGGCTGGCGGGCGGGGCGATCAAGGGATACGGCTGCCCGGTAAGGGTCGGACGGGGGGTCAGAGATAGATCAAGCCGTAGGAATGTACGAATCAGGGCAAAGCAATGGGGACAGGGAGGTATGGGGGCTTTGAGTTAAAGAGCGGCCTCTTGTTTGCAGGGGTTTGCTGGGGCTTAATGGAATTCTCAGACGGAAATACACCCTTCCCCTCCCCCCTCATGCGCTCGCTGCATGAATCGGGATACGGGATTGGGACTCCAGTTGCTGCACTTGTTTCTGTTGTCCCCCTTCCCTCTCCCCCCATCATGAATCCCACCTTCCCTCCCCACCCTGCGCCTGCAGGGCCACTCCATCCTGGCCAACGCGATGGCGGTGATCGAGACCGCCCGCGTGGACGCCTCCATGAGCACCTTCCTGCTGGTGCACTCCTACCTGGCCATGCTGACCATCGGACTGCTGGTGGGGCGGAGGGGCGGGGGGTGGGAGGGAAGGCGGATGTGACCCATGGGTCAGTGAGGGAGCAAGCTGGGTTCTCTTTGTGCCACCTTAGTTGCCACCAGTCCTCAATGTACCTTTACTTACGGTTCTTTGCTACCTTCGCTTCCACCTGCCTCCCCTCTTTGCTGTCTCCTCCTCCTCCTTCTCCTCCTCAACACCGCCACCCACCCACCACCTGCTGGTCTGCAGGGCTCGGAGCAGCAGAAGGAGGACCTGCTGCCCAAGATGGCCAAGATGGAGGTGAGCTGGGGATGGGGGGGGGAGGTTGGTCGGGGTGTTGGGCGCGAGAGTGGGTGGAGGTTTAACCATCTGCTCCCTGAGCTAGGGTTGGGGTGGTAGGGGTAGTGGCCACTGTCGGGTCACAGAGGTCCCCAGTTGGCATATAGCGTGATCACGTGCTTCCCGTCATTCCTTCCTCTCCCTCTCTCCCTCATTCCTCCCTCCCTCCCGCCCCCACCACCACCAGTTGGTGGGCTGCTGGGCCCTCACGGAGCCCTCCAACGGCAGCGACGCCTCCGCCCTCACCGCCACCGCGACCAAGGTGCCGGGTGAGTGGCGTGTGGGGGGCGGGGAGGGGAGGGGTGTTGTCGAAGGGGGGTCGGAGAAGGGGGGGTTGTAGGTGCAGGCAGGCAGGCAGGTAGGCAGAGGGGGGGGGGGTGGGTGGGTTGCAATGGCCCCACCGCACTCCGCCGCTCAACCCTGGTTCTTCCGCCCACCCGCCCCTCCTCCCCCTCACAGGCGGCTGGATGCTCAACGGCTTCAAGCGCTGGATCGGCAACGGCACCTGGGCGGATGTGAGTGTGGTGTGGGCGAGGAGCAACCAGGACGGCCAGGTGAGCAGCTGGGGGGGGGGGGTTGAGGGGGAGGGGGCTGAGGAGGGGGGGAGGCACAAGGTCTCGACTCATGCAGGGGGGGAGGGTACCATGCGTCGACTGTTGGTGGCGGCACACTACATAGGTGGGGGGGTGGCTAGAGGAGGTGGCTAGAGGGGGGTGGGGATAAAGAGTATACACGAACTATGTGAGGAGGCGCCGGCTCCACCATGGGTAGGCAGGTGGGAAGGGAAGTGGGGAATGCAATGCAGGGGTGCGGGTATTGTGAGGGGAGGGCGAGGGAACGTCCAGCGTGCCTTCCAGCATGAAGAGGAGGTAGAAGCGGAGGTGGTGATCTGGTCTTCTGGTGTGAGTGGTCGGGTGGGAAGGACAACCCCACACGTGTGGACAGTCCGCCCCGTTCCGGTTCGCTGCCAAGTTGATCAACACACGCCGCCTCCCCCGCCCCTCCGCCCGCCACCCAGGTCAACGCCTTCATCGTGCGGAAGGGCAACCCGGGTCTCCGTACATCCAAGATCCAAAACAAGATCGCCCTCCGTTGCGTCCAAAACGCCGACATGACCTTCACCGAGTGCTTCGTGCCCGACTCGGCTCGGCTGCCCGGCGTCAAGAGCTTTGTGGACACCAACAAGGTACGGCATGCGGGTGCGGGTGGGGGTGGGGGTAGCCTGGCTGCCTGGGCGTGCAGGGGCGATCGTGGCTGGTCCGGGGCTTGATCGTGGCTGGTCGGAGAGGGTGCACCGCTGGGGGGGGGGGGTCACACCAGCGTTCACCCGAGCAACGCTGTGCGGTACGTGGTACCGGTATCTGGTTGTTGGTCTGGTGGAACAGGCGAGCACGCCACCCTGCCCTCTCCAACCCCTGCCCTCCCCCTCTCCCCCCAGGTTCTCGCCATCAGCCGCATCATGGTGGCCTGGCAGCCGGTGGGCATCTCAATGGGGGTGTACGACATGTGCTGCAGGTGGGGCGGGGGGTTGGTGATGGGGGCCGGTGAAGAAAAGAACATACGTGTGAGTAGTGCATGAGTCGATGACCTCCCGGTAAATGGAGTCGAGGTGGTCGTGCCTGGCGTGCAAGGGAGGGGGAGAAAGAGGTGTGTTTGTTTGGGTATTTTGGGTACATCAACCCTCGCATACCACCGTACCCGCCAAAGCCCTCGAAAGTGTAGTCAGTAGGGCTCTTAAGTCTTAACGATACGTGAATGGGTACCCTGACCCCCACCCCCACCCTTCATGCAGGTACCTGTCGGAGCGCAAGCAGTTTGGTTCCCCGCTGGGCTCCTTCCAGCTGGTGCAGGAGAAGCTGGCGCGCATGGGGGGACACATCCAGGTAGGGAGGCGGCTGACCCATGGGTCACCCATCAGGGTGGGTTTGGGGGGGGATGGGGGATAGCGAGTGGCGCAGGAGAGGCTAGAGGCGGTGTGGGTGTAGGTATAGCACATGTCTTCCGGATGCCGTACACCTCTCGCCTTGCACCTCTCTGCACCTGCATCCCGCAGTGTTCTCGACCGCTTATCAATCTCCCTTTCCCTCCCTCCCTCTGCCTCTCCTTTCTCCCCCCCACCTCCTCACTGTCCCCCCACTGGCCCCCCTCAGGCCATGTGGCTGGCCTGCTGGCGCATCAGCAAGCTGTTCGAGGAGGGGCGCATGACCCACGAGCAGGTGCGGGCGGGTGGGCGTGTGCGTGTGCGTGTGTGTATCTTACCCCTCTGGGGCAAGGGAGGAAGGCGCGTGAGTGCTAGCGCGGTCAGAGAACTGACCCCCGGGGAGGCACATCCGGGGGTTGGAAGCGCCTAGCGCCTCGTGTCGTCCCAGCCTTCCTCATCGCACACGCCATGCGGATCGACGTGTGGGACGTGAACGTGAACACATTGACATGGAAAGACGTGCAGCTTTCCTCCGCGTTGTCGTTTCCGCCTCACTTTAATGCCTCGTCATGTTCCTCCCCTCCCATCGCCATAAGCATGGTATTTCTTCACCCTATCTCTCCCTAATGCGGATTTGTCAACCGTAACCCCTCCCCCTCCCTCCCTCTCGTCCCGCAGGCCTCGCTGGTTAAGGCCTGGACCTCTGCCCGGGGTCGCGAGGTGGTGGCGCTGGGTCGGGAGCTGCTGGGCGGGAACGGCATCCTGGCGCACTTCCACGTGGCCAAGGTACGACAAGGGCGCAACATGCAGCAGCCGGGGAGGGGAGGGGGGGGGCGACACGACAGCATGCAGGCGGGCTGTACGGCAGCAGCAACACCCTCCCACGGTCGGGCTGGCTCTCATGTTGCAACCCATGCTGACGCCTTATCACACGGGTAGCTGTTTCCCCTTTACCCTCCCGTGCAAAAGCATGCGAAAACATCCCGACATGCGTAACCCCTCTCCCCCTCCGGGAGGCCACCACCGCAACATGCAGCCCCTCGGAAGCTTTACCTTTCCTCGGAAGCTTTTACCCCGTCTCCCATCTACATCATCCGTCACCCCCCCTGCCTGCCCTCCCCTTCCCCCCTTTCCCAGGCCTTCAACGACCTGGAGGCGGTCTACACGTACGAGGGCACCTACGAGGTGAATGCGCTGGTGGCGGGGCGGCGCATCACCGGCGTGTCGGCAATCAGGGCAGCAGCGGCGGCAGGAGGCAGGGATGGCAAGAAGGCGGGAGAGGAGGAGCGGGAGAGGAGGTGAAGGGAGGAGGAGGAGCAGCAGTAGGTGAGGAGGAGCGTGTGGGGGCAGAATAGCATGTGGGGCTGCAAGGAAGGTAATGGTGGTGGTGGTGGTGATGGTGGTGCTGCCGCGATGTGTTTTGTCTCGTGGAATGCGCGGCTCGAAAGTGACAGGACAGTGACAGGACAAGGAGGGTGCACGGTTTGTATCAATTGTACTTCTAACGTTTCTCCTGTAGCAACCGAGTTCGTTGCATGAACCAGCGGTTGCGGTTAATATGGTTGCGGCAACGATGGCAACAACAACAGCTCTCACGGGGTTGTCAAGACGGTTGCTGCAACAGTGGGATTTGAGGTTTGGTGGTTGAGGCGAGATGGGGATGTCAGTTGTCTGCTGATGCTGGGAAAGTAGTAGTTATGATTTATGACTCACTGTTCGTTGTATTAGATTAAAGTAGTTTTCTGTAGTAGACCCGTAATAGATATTAAGTCTCAAGACAGCAAATACGAAAGTAGGAATGGGTTGGGTTTTGTCCACCTTGTGTACCGGTGTGGTGTTGTGCTGGCGGTGAGGGGGGAGGAGGAAGAGAGGGCAGTGGGTTGCGCGGAGAGCGAGTGAACGAACCGTTCACTCACTTACGAGTCCCTAGGCGCCTTCTCATCACCCTGGGTGGTCCCTCTAGTAGCCTCTTGTTTTCGCTCGCGGCCCGTAGTTGAGGGCGGACAAGAGCGAACCATGGGTCGTGTCAGTCAGGCAAGTACAGTAGGGGACTGTTAGCGAGGTTAGTACCAAGGACAATGGTAAGCGAATGGTAAGCGGTACGTTTAATATATATAAGCGTATTGAACCTTCCCCCAAACGGGTGTCTTTATCGTCGTTCTTGCCCTTAGTAGCGTTGTTCGTCTTGTATGCGTCTTGTATGCTGCTCGCAACCAGAACCCTTTTTACTCGTACGTCGACGCTGGTAGTAGACTTCGTTTGGGGGTGCGGTTCCGATGCTCCTCTGGAAGCAAGTGGTGTAAGCGTATGTAATTGTTAAAGGCGTTGGACTCGGGTACCTTGAAAGATAACGGATCCAGACTTGGATTTGTTGTTACGGCGTTCGTGCTAAGGGCGGCTGCCGTTCCTATACTCACTATTGGGTGTGGTATAATTCCACGGTCGCTTCGTTCAACATGCCTAAACGTCCTGTAGAATTGGACGGTGGGGCTGGAGTGGGAGCAAATGCATGGCCGGAGGCGGAAGAGTTGCCGCCTCTTGGTACCCCTTTGCTCTACGTGTCAGTGGCCGCTGAGCAACCGTGTAACCCCTCCCAAGACCTGGCTTTTACTAGCCTGACATGATCAGATTGAATGAGGAAGTGGCATGTTTTGTGGCAGTCTCATGTCTAGCACTCAGCCACAAACGAACAGCCGGCGGTAGGGTAGTGCACATTGGATGTGCAATGAGCGGGTTCCTGAAGCACAGGGGTCAGCTCACTCTGCTGACCTTGCCCCTGCGCGTCACGCTTCCGGCTTCTTCCCAGTTGCCTTGCTGCTGACCAGGGGCGCCTTGCGTCAGGGAGCGTCACCAACAGGTCCGTACAGACCCAGCTCCCAAGCCTATGCGAAGGTGATTTGGGAAAGGTAAAAGCATCACAACCGCTAAGTGTGTGAGGTTGCGCCTACTCTATAATATGTTAATGTGGTGGGGGGACCCGGCACATCGGCACGGTGTTATGCCGTACGTCCGCTAGGAAAATCGGCAAGAGCCTCGGTAAGTTGGTATGCTGCAAGTTTGTGCTATTCAGCGACATAGTATTTCTAGCATAAGCAGTAGTGTAACATGTACTTACTATGGGACGTGTGACTTGCTTAATGACATTCTATGGTTTGAAGGCATTTTCTGCAACATTTATCTGATACTGGAAGGCAATCAGTATGGGTAGTGCTACTGATTACAATGCTGAGAAGGCCCGCATCGAGGTCAGCATATTTTCCAATGAACCGTTGCCCTAGCGATGCAGCTTTCCCTTCATATTAAGCTCGCCCTGATTGTTTTTCAGGAAACCATTCTTGCGGCGATAAACACTAGTCTTGATCCAGCGGCAGCAGCCAGAAAGGCTTTGGCGGGGGCTTTTCCGGCGGCAAGCTTTACGGACAAGGTGAGGCTGATCCCGCTTAGTTTACCGCTTGCATCCCAACGATGGTCAATGTTACAGCGAGACAACCGGGAGGTGGCGATGACGTACACAGGAGGATGGCACGCTCAGCGTCCAGGGGCTCGATGCGGCACAGCGGCAGAGCCTGGAGGACGCCCTGTTTGAGCTCAACCTGTCGCTTGCAAACCAGGCGGTGGCCAGGGGCCTTCCTCTCATGCAGTTCCTGCACTCTGATGCAGCGCACCAAGGGGTCATGACCTTGCCCAGGTAGGCCAAAGCCGCCCGCCTGCTAAGGCGTAGGTAGGGGCACAGTCCCACATGGCAAGTAGCTGCAGGTTTACCGTCAGCGTTTACGCTTTTGGTTTGTATTTCTGTGACTTAACCCTCTCTGAACTGCCCTGCCCCACAGGTTCCTGCAAGTGTGCCTCGAGCTCGCACGCCCGCCGCTGACTGAGCCGTTGAAGGACGCGGAGAAGGCTGGTGGGCGGCGCCGGTTGCTGGACTATGGTGGGTCCGGTGGGACGAGGGTTGGATTGCACGGGTTTAGCCCACATCCTTCTCCCGCACGAAACCCCATCACCCCACGTTAACCCCATGTTCCCTCCCCCAGAGAGCTGGGCGCGGCTTTTCGAGCAGCTCATGGAGGTGGGGACCATTGCGGACTGCGCCGACCTCTTCCGTCTCATGGAGGGAGGCGGCGGAGCGGGGCCAGCAGCGGGCGGCGGCAGCAGCACTGGCAGCAGCGGCAGTGGCGGGAGGGATCTGGGTTGGGCGGCGGTGTTTTGCGCCGAGGAGTTCCGGCGGGAGCAGGGCGCCAAGCTGACGCTGCTGCGCATGAGCAACATGCTGTTCAGGAGGCTGTCAAAGGTGGGCGGGGCGCGGGTGCGCGTAGTCACTAGGGCCGGGCTAGGGGTAATGGGGGGGGGGCGGGTACATCGGGGGATGTAAGGCTGGTGTGCTTGATGGGGCATGGCCCCGCATGGGGCACGGGACGCGCGCCTCTGCTCTCCAGCTTCCAAGCAACCCCACGCCCTGTTCCGCCCACCCAAACTGACGCCCTCCCAACTCCGAATTGCGAAATGTGTTAACCCTACTATCCAGCCGAATGCGAAGTATGCATCCCTGTTTTCTAACCTCCGAACGAGCAGGCCTACGACGTGCAGCTGTGCGGGCGGCTGCTGATCTTCATTTCGCGGTGCTACGAGCTGAACGACAAGAGCGGCCTGAACGTTGCGGTGAGCCCCAACCGGGGAGGCAACCCGAGAGGGGGGGAGGGGGTTGCGAATTGGAAGTTGTTTACAACCCGACGGGGTTGGGGGATAGGGCTGGACTGAACTGTTGGGGAGAGTCCCATTGCGGCCTGGTTGTTGCGGTGACCCAACCAGGGAGGGTGTAGGGTTGTGCAGGGAGGCCTGTTGCGGAGGTGGGACGTTGGGAGCTGTGTGTGGGGTGCGGGCGCTGTCGTGAGGGTGTGCTTGCACGCATGTACGTTTCTTTCTTGTATGCGCATGTGCTGCATGTGCGGTGAACAAGAACCCGCAGGCTGGATGTGGCGATATGAGGTGGAGGATAAGGGGTTGAGGTCTCTTCCTCCCTTCACCAACCTGTGACCCCCCGGCCCCCCTCCCCCCCAGGGCGCCCTGAACAGCGGTCTGGCGCTCCCGGTGGACGAGGTGGAGGCGGGGGCGGTGGACAGCATCGGCGAGCAGATCGACCGCCGGCTGTACAGCTGCTTCTGGGGGCTGCAGGCGGTGTTCCAGGTGGGGGGGGGGGGAGGGGGTAAAAATAAGGAAAACTGACGAACTGGGGGGGGGAGAGGGAAGGGGGGATGAAGACCGGGTGCGTTAATACATGGTGGCAAACTAGGTGTGAGGCGGGGGAAGTGGGGATGGATACTCCGCAATGGGCTGGAGGGAAAGGAGAGGGGATTAATATGGTTGGAAGATTCCGCATTAAGCTGGAATTTAGGATTGCGCATAGCCATTTGGGTTAGTAAGGAGAGGGGAGGGGAGGGTGTGCTGGGATGTCTGGTAAGGCTTTGTGCATGGTGTCTTTTCATAGGCTGCCATACCTCCGCAACCCGATCTTAACTCCGTGCCCCCCCCTCGGGTCCCCCGGTTGTACGACAGAACCCCACTCAGGTGCTACAGCCCGCCGTGTACGGCAAGGTGCTAGCAGACATTGGCAGCGTACTGGAGGAGTTCGCCGCCATTAAGAACCCAGTGGCGGCCACTGGCCCATGGGTCGCTGCTCGCGGCAGCAACCACAACAACCAGCCGCAAGGCGGCCAGCCGCAGCAGCAGCCGGCAGCCGCAGCAGCAGAGGAGGCTATGGAGGTGGACGGGTCCGCAGCAGCCGGGTCAGGGGCAGCAGGTGGAGGTGGAGGTGGTGGGGGCGGCAGTGGTGGTGCGGGCACTCGCTACCTGACCAGCAGCAAGCTGTTCGGGTTGCAACTGCGGGACTGCACATTCAGGTGGGCTGGGGGCGGCAGCGAGGTGGGGTGGGGGCAGGCCACCGCTCCTCTCTCACCCTTGCCTTTGGCCTAACCGTCCACGTGACCCGACCTGTTCTGGTAACCTCAACCCAACTCTCTTTGGTCACCCCCCGCCCCCACCTGGCCCCCGCTCCCCAGGCGCCACTTCCTGCTACAGTGCCTTGCGCTGCTGCAGTACATCGAGCAGCCCAGCAAGACCGACCGCTCCGCCATCGGACAGCGGCCCGAGGGACTGGAGGCGCTCAGGACCAAGGTAAGGGGGATGAGAACGAAAGCAAGCAGGAAGGCTGGTGCTGCCATCTATTGGATGGAAACAAAAAGCTCAACCATGTGACAAAGCTCTCCCACGGGTTGCAGGGAGGTAGAGTTGCAGGGGGGTTTGGGGAGGGTACGACAGTGTCAGGCTACAGGGGGGTTTGGGGAGGGTACGACAGTGTCAGGCTATTCCTTCCCGCCTTCCCGAACGGTAACCAGCTGCCTCTCTCCTCCCCTCCCCCAGCTCTACACCGCCCTGGCGGACACCAAGGACCACGGGACCGAGTTCGCAGCCGCCGTGCGCAGCGTGCTTGACCACGAGGCGCACTGGGTGGCCTGGAAGCACGGGACGCAGCCGCCGCCGCAGCAGCAGCAACAGCAGACACAGCCGCCGGGGGTGGCGGCAGGTGCGCAGTCGCCGGTTGGGGCAGCAGCAGCAGCGGCAGCAGGAGGGGCGGCGGCAGGAGCGGGAGCAGCAGCGGCGGCAGCAGAGCTCTGTCGCGACTTTTCGCGTCCGCCGGCAGCGCCGACGCGGGAGGTGACGTCCACATCTCATGGGGTAAGTGGCAAACCGGTAATGCAATTCAACCGCGATGAACCCCAATAGCCTTAATGGGGTGAGTAAGCAAAAGCGAGATGCAGGAGGAGAGGAGGAAGCGAGTGACGGGATGAGATTGGGGATTCTGTTGGAAGAGCTTTGGCGACAGACAGGTGTATGAAGATGAAGGCTTTGCTTGCTGTTGGCGCGACTGGACGCAATCAGTATTTGTGCGGGAGGGCGTGCGGGTGGCAGAGGGCTTCAGAAGGGCCCGATGTCGTGTAAGCTGGTGTCCTGTGGTTACCCCGCTCCGCTGCGTGCATGCAGGAGGCGGGCGGAGCGGCTCCGGGAGGAAAGCGCAAGCGTGCCGGCGGCGCCCGCGGCGGAAACCTCAGCAATGGCGGCGTGTTTGGCGGCGGGCGTTACGCCGTGTCGCGCGGCGTGACGGGTCTGGCCGACCCATTGGTCGGTCTGAAGGTTTCGGAGCGTCGTACTCGGAGCCGCAATGTGATTGGCGAGGAGGAGGTTGTGCCCATGCTGCCTAGCGCCACGGTAAGTCATAGCGAGCCGAATAGTAGGACGACTGCAGGACTGCAGGGTATTCTGGTTACCCCCACCCCTTTCCCCACCCCGCCATCACCCCACGTCCCCGTCTGTCCTGCCCTCTCTTGCGGTTTGGTAATTCTCCCCCCCCCCGCCCCCCTTCCCCCAGGAGCTGCTGTTCCCCATCCTGGAGGACCTGGACCCTGACAACGACGTGGAGCCGCAGTACCGCCGCGTGCGGGAGCAGGTGTTTGCGTGGAAGCGCATGCGCACCCTGGCCAGGAACTGCCTGGAGGTGAGGGGAGGGGAAGGGGGGGGAGAAGTCCATACCAAACCATGCGATTGCGCCGCAGCATCTGCAGCCTCTTCCTCAAGCCTTTACCCACGGGCTTTCTACGCCCGCGGTCAGTGTTTTCCCTCGCAGCAAGCTCGGTTGAAATTCCGCTTCACCACGCTTCTCTTCCCCCACCCTTTCCCCCGCTTCCACTACCACCACACCCCCCGCAACCCCCCACAGTTCTACAAGAAGGGTGACGACCTGGAGGAGGCTGTGCTGGAAATGCACCCGGAGCTGAGGTCCAAGATCGCGGCACGCAAGGCGGAGCGGGAGGCGGAGCTGGCGGCGGCGGCAGCAGCGGAGGCGGCGGAGGCGGGGGAGGTGCTTCCGGATGGCACTGCTGTGGGGGTGGGAGGAGGAGCAGGGGGGCCGGGGGGCGGTAATGGGGGCGGTGAGGGTGCGACGGCGATGGAGGAGGGGGAGACGGTTGCGAGTCCGCGGGGGAAGAGCAGCGGCGGAGGGGGAGAGTAGAGAGTAGAAGAGGGCAAAGGGGGTGGGGGAAGCAGTGTTGGGTTGGTTGTTAGTGCTGGTGGTTAGGGGTGGAGGGTAGGTGTAGGAGGTACATACTGGCGGCGGGTTTGGTAGCTTGGTGAGGAGGCTTGCAAGGAGCGGGACGAGGAGACGATCTTGCAAGTCCTATGTAGGGCTGGGGGGGGGAGGGCTGGAGGAACGAGAAAGCCAGAGTGGGGAGGCTAGCCTTGCATGGGGAAGGGTACGGGGAGGCAGCCTTGCAAGGGCAAGGGGAAGGGTATTCCCCTTCCCGTCTGAAGGCATGTCCCCGCCAGGATTGAGGACATAAACCTGGGAGGAGAAGGGAGTGCCAGGCGCTGCGTAGGGAGGGGCAGCTGCATGGGGAAGGGAATGCGGAGGCAGACAGCACACGGGAAAGGGCAAGGGGCCCCATGAGGGGCCGCATCACGCCCCCACGGGACTTAACCAACGCCTCCGACCCTGGCCCGCGCGTGCCCGAGGCCCTGAAACAATCCCTCCGTGCTCCCGAGTACGACAGCACAAGCAGGGAAAGATGACTGAGCGGGTAGGGGTGACCACAGGCAGGCGTTGCACGGGGAGGGTTACAGGGACGCAAGCCCCACACGGGGAAAGCCATGGGAATGCAGGCACCGCAGGGGGAGGGAAAAGGGGACCCAAGGACCTTGCGCCGCCACACACAGGACGCTCCGCCGGAAACCGCACTTTCCTCGGCGGGGATTTCTGCCCCCAGCTCATCTTCCCCAACAGCCGATCCTGCAACGACCCAGCTCCGGCCCCCCTACGGTCTCGTTCGTAATAGATTAGCAGAGAAGAAAACAAACCCCCGCGGCCCCAGCCTACCTCGCTCACCTCCCACCCCAACCAGCCGCCCACCGGTGGTCACGCTCGATCTCCCTTCCGGAGGCAGGGGGAAATGGCCACATCAGAAACGGGCATGGGGAGGCAGGCATAACCAGAGGAATAGCCTTCACCAGACGAAAACTGCTGCTGCCGTGGGCCAGGCGCGTAGCCAACCCGCCAAACCGTCTAGCTATTTGAAATTGGAGCGACATAGTTGACGATTGATAAGGTTGACCACAATCTGCGCACAGCCAGCGCAATCTACTTCCAGTCATCGCGTCCCTCCCTCAACGGAGCATGGGATTGCTCCTGTAGTATCTTATCATCACGTATCTTGTCTCCCAAAGCAGAGCAATAGGTCGCTCCTCGTAATTCCGGATGTCTCGGTTTCGGGAATTTCCGTTTCATGTGTATGCTCCGAAGCCGTGCTGACATACCTTTTCGTTTTGTTTAAGAAGCAAGCTACTGAATCTGACACACACGCCTTACGCCAACTTGTTAACCCTCCTGGTAGAGCCTGGTTTGGCCAACTCCGCACATGTGGCGCCTAGCTACAAACGGTATAATGTATCCAACGACGAAACTTGTGGTTACGGCGCTGCTGCTTTTTATCGTCGCGGCAGGTATGTGCCTGAACGCCCTGTCTTCTTTCGCCCCGTCGGTGGCTTTCCAGCCGAGCACACGCGTTGCAATAAACTTATCTAGGATGCATGGCGACACCGGGGCCAACGCGTGAGCTTAATGGCCTTCATTCCTTCCTTATACATATAATGAATGTAATGGGCATGAAGATGCTCACAACGGAATCGTGGAAACTATGTGGTTTACCGCTAACCGAAGGTATGCTTGCAGATGCCGCTGCAAGGAAAGCTCCACCTCCACCTCCACTTTTACCTCCGCAACGTAAGTCCGAACTGGGGCTTTAAAGTCCTAATAGCCAATAAGCTTGTGAATCTTAGCAACCTTCTTTCCTGAACATCCCATACTGTACCCAAGATAGCGTCGTTGTATCACCACGGGGCCGAAATGACTTGGGACATACAGCGAATCCCCATCGACTAACTCTAGTTGTATCGGAGGGATCCTTCCTTCTTCCCCACCCACCCCCACCCTCGGGGGGGGGTGCCGAACTGGTGTCTCTTTTCGGCTCGTGTGCGTTTCGTCTCATTGCGCATGTGTAGCCAACGTTGTTTCCTTGTTGATAGGCAGCAGCACCGGGCTGATAATACCCTCGGGTGGGGGGGGGGACCAGAGGGTGTACAATAACCGCTGACTTCCTTAACTCCTGTACTCCCTCTGTGACAGTCCACATCGGAAAAAAAGCTGCCTGTTGCGCTGCGTGCAGGTCCGGCGTTCGCTGCTTCAAACGGCCTCCGGTATTTTTACCCACCGCCTCCGCCCAACCTATGCTTTAACCACACCGACATCCACTGCCCCCGTACTGGTCCAGTAGAGGTCCTGGTAAGCACAATAGCTCGCTGTGTTGATGAGGTAACCGAATCTGGCAATCATACCTGCGGCCTAGCGTGAGAACGTGCTGTCATAGGTCCAGAAACTCCTGGGTTTGCCGCCAGGTATCCTTCCCTCCACGTTTTCCTCCCGCATCGCATGTGCCATCATCGCGTGCAACAAAATGACTAAAGCTCTCCCTAGACGCCTAGTCCGCCCTGCCATCTTCTGCATCTAACACGATGCAACCACTTCCAGCAAACTCTACCTTCAACCACCTTCAGGTGTACGGCCCCAAGGCCAAGCAGAGCTACTGGGCGCCGCTCTGTGAGCCGGCTGATGCGGGCATCAAGGAGAGCCTCGCGGACCTGATTTGCAAGCTTGTGAGTGGGGCCAGGCGGGCTTAGGATACATGCGTCAGCTAGCGGGGTGGCAGGCACGGCGCAGCGACAGGCAGGATGATGGGGGCGCCATGAAGAGAACGAGCTTGGTGGGACTTGACATGCAGCTGTGGGTGGGTGGATGGCAGACAGGCAGGCCGGGTGAAGCAAACTCAGTAGCAAGCAGGTACACTGTGCTGAGGTGCCGCAAGGTTTTCAGCTGTCTGCACTGCTGTGTTCCCATTTTGACATTCCTGTGGCGCGATCTTGCCCGCTTGCATGCATGCATGCTTGCTTGCACCGCTTTCACTGCTGGACAGTGCTTGCTATGCGCTCTAGCGGCTCGTCCATCCACCCCACCCTTTAACCCAGGCAGTGTGGGTGCTACAGCAGGTTTGCCTGCAGCATCCCCTGCACATGCAGCATCCCCTGCACATGCAGCATCCCCTGCACATGCAGCATCCCCTGCACATGCAGCATCCCCTGCACATGCAGCATCCCCTGCACATGCAGCATCCCCTGCACATGCAGCATCCCCTGCACATGCAGCATCCCCTGCACATGCAGCATCCCCTGCACATGCAGCATCCCCTGCACATGCAGCATCCCCTGCACATGCAGCATCCCCTGCACATGCAGCATCCCCTGCTCCTTACCTCACCCTCCCCTGAACAGGTTACCGGGCTTACGCCATATTGCGACACCAGCAATAGCTCCACTGCCTCGTGCTACTACTTCGCTACCATTGAGCCCTACACCATCCCCAAGGGTAAGCAAACTGTTTGCGGCCGCCTCCCTTTCCTTTCCAACGGATCTTGGAGAAAAACTCTTACTCCGAGTCCCCTGGTGCTTAAGCCTAGACAGCATTGCATTTTGGGAATGAAGTCGAGCAGAATGGAGGGGCATTGTCAGGGTCTGGGGAGGAGGGGGAATCTTGATGGTTGCCCTGTCTTCCACTAAAAGGAGGTGTGGGGTGTTTGCTGGGCCGCTGTCCAGGCACATAACCCCCCAAGAAGTGGGATTTTACGGCGTTTACAGCCCTGGTATGGATGGAAGTCACATGCCCGCCTGCTCTGCACCCACCACCCTTACACAGGCAACCCCAAAAACGCAACCTATTTCAACCCCAACAGCTACAATCGCTGGGTCACCGTCACCGGCGGCAACTTCAGTACCGCATCTTCCGTCCAGGACCTAAACCTTAAGGTGGGTGTGCTGCTCGCTTTGTAACCAGATGACGTCAATGACCCGCGGGTCGAACGGCACAACTCTCCCGTCCTAACCCGCCCCGACCCCTCCTATAATCGCAGGTGTCAGCGACTAAGTGTTCGGACGGAAAGATGCTTGCCATGTACTGTGCTGTTACATATGAATTCAGAGACCGCCTATGCAATGACGGTGTGCGAAGGTACTGCTAAGACCTTGACGTGTGCGTTTACTGCCTGCAAAGCACGGTGTAGACAAGGCGAAAGCACGGTACAGTTAAGCGTGCGCGCGTTATATGCGTGCACTGAAAGTGAAGACCCGAAGAAATATCGTGTTGAAGAATTGGTGCTGTGCTTTGATGCATTCATGTGTCGTGCGATATGGCCTTCCTGATGTGATGTGATGTGATGTTACGACGTGGTGGGCCCTATCAGGCTGTCGCAGACCATGTGACGAGACGGAGACCTGCCGACTGTGTGTGGGACTGTGTGTGTTGGGCGTGCATGCTTGCGAGCGTTTGCGGTGGTTAGAAACCCCTAACTGGTAGGATGCCAAACCGCAGATACCGTAGTAGTAATTGGATGATGTGAACTACAGAACTGCGGGTGCGTGGACTTACCGTATACAGCTTATACGGTACGACGAAATGCTCTTGCGGCCTCCACCTAAATGTTTCCGTGTGGCGGCTCTTAACCCCGCGGACCAGCCTTCTCCCCGTCTGCTGCGGCAATGTACTAGGGCCTTCCGCCGCCTGGTCCTCCGTGGAGTATTGACCCTCCCCGCTGGTATGGAGTTCCCCCCCGGCTGGTGTCGGGCTGGCATGCCTTCCGGCGCCTCCACATCCTTCTGCTTCAGATCCCGCACCCCTGGGTGGTTGCTGCGGGGACGGCTGCGGCTGCCGGTTCGGCTGCCGTGCCGGCCGACGAGGCCTGGCGGGTGCTCGCCCGTGCGCTTGCCTGGCGCCCCACGCCCACCTTCCCGATCGCCGTCCCCCTGCTTCGCCTCAGTGTGCGCCTTGGCACCCAACTCCAGCTCGCCCCTGCCTACTGCGACCTCCATGCTAAGCATTCCGGCTTTGTGGCGGAGGCCTGCGGGTCCCCCGACGGCCCCCCTGCACTCCTTGCTGGTTTTCGGTCTACCTTGGCGCGGCTGTGGCGCCTGCGCTGTGAGAACCAACACAAGGAGGCGCTGTGGCGGCTCGCCCTCAATGGCTGCGCGGGCTTCCCTCTGCATGCCAGCCATGCCGCCCGGGAAGCTGCGCAGGGCCGTTCGCACTCCTTGGCCTGCCCGTGTGGAGCACCCCTGGTCGCCCTTGGAGTGGCACAAGATCGGTTACACTTGTTTTGGGAGTGCTTTGTGGCCCGTACCCTTCGTGAGGCCCTGGGCGAGGCCTTAGGTGCACCCGTGGGCTCACTTGATAGTGCATTTCCTAGGCAACATTTGTGGTTAGTCCAACCTCCAGACGGTGTGCATGGATGTGTGTGGGATGTCGTGGCGCTGGCCGCTCTTGCGGCTCTTGAACAGGCCCGTCGGTGGTTGTATGCTGACCACAGTGGCCGGGCCCCCCTCCCCAGACGGTCCCTTGTTGTGCTGGGTGCTCGTGTTGTTGCTGATTTCTGGTCCCGCCTCCAGTCCTTTGCTGTCTTAGGTGTGCCTCCCCGAGGCTGGGACTGTGTTCCCCCTATTCACCCTTTCCTTGCAAATGCGGCTGGCCGTGTACGATTTGTTGGCCCGCCTGATACTGCGTCCCCGCCGGCCTCCCCCTGACCCTGGTTTGTTTTGCCTTTGACTATGGTTGCTATTACCTTCGGATCACGCCGATGTCGATCGACTTGGAGGCAGTTGGGCACTGCTGTGGCACAAAGCAGCAGCTTGGCAGTTGCTCTGTACAATAGTTTGTTCCTTCTTTCGCGGGCTTGGCTTGTGTGATGTTTACCCCTCGCGGGCTTGGTGTTTGTGGTGCTGTGGCCTTGTGGGCTTGGTTTTAGGTGGTTCTGTGTCTGGCATGGCTCCTTGTTTTTTGTAGGGCATGTCCCTGGGGTAGGTTGCTTTGTTGCGGCTGCCTAGCGTGTACCGCTAGCGATTGGGTCTCTTGTACGGCTCTCAGGCTCTCAGGCTTTCAGGAGCTCCGGTCCCCCTTGTAACTTTCGCATTCTAAATGCTCCATGCTGAAATAAAATCGTAGGGATACAAGGATCAGCGGATTGTTGAGTGAATTGCAGCGTAGTCCTGCAAAGCCGTGAAGGGAAGGTATTGGCTGTAATTCCCATGCAGTTCAGTTTAGCTTCCATGGAGCGCGCTTTCCGCAAGCACGCCCAGCAAGAAACTTCTTCACTAGTAATCACCCACATGCTAGACACATAATACGCAAGTCGCGTTCCGGCGTAGTAGCGATGATTGCCATCCCTTGGGTTAACAACGCGTGCAGCCTCTGTTTGTAATTAATTACACTTTGCATGCGATCGTTTGTGCTGTTTCCATTGAACGCTGCCGGCATAAGTTGCATCGGCTCAGGCCGAGCTAGGAAAGGACTCAGCGCAATACACATACACAGCGAAATACCAATACAACGCCACATCTTGAAGGACATAACAACCCAAATGAGAACTATGAAGGTATCCGGCCAATTGGCGGAATTCAGAGCTCGTCTGACAAGGAAAGTTCGGAATTGAGTATGTATAGCTGCCTTTGATACAAGTCCCTGGCGCTGGATATCACAACATAACCGCTAAGCTATCCTGTCAACGAACCGTTTCCTTAGGGCTGTCCAGTTCCATCCACGCACTAGCTGTACGGACAATAACCACTAAGCGCTGCGAGGGGCTGAAAATACCCGAACTGACATATACCAGCAAGTCAACAACACCTTTTTTGCAGAATCTGGTTTGGTAACAACTCAAGTTTGTGTTGTCTACCATGTATCCGACAGCGAAAATTGTGGCAACGGCGTTGCTGTGTCTTTTTGTCGCGACAGGTTAGTGCTTCTTAGTCCTTTGCAACATTGTGGCATATAGACAATGTCCGTTTGAGTGGAGGCTTTATAATATGTCGTTCGCGATGTTGACGCCGGGAACAGCGCCCGAGCTTGTTTGCTCTGGCTCCTGCACGGCCTGAGAGCATAAGTGGATTAAAAATAATGTTTCGTTGAATGTATACAAAGTAACGGGCTGCCTATTAACCGAACGCTTGCAGATGCCGCTACAAAGAAAGCTCCACCTCCGCCAAGTAAGTCTGAACTCAGTCTCATAAATCTCAGATTCAAGGTAGACATAATGGTATTCCTGCTCGCTAGTTTGCTGCAGAACCTGGCCGCTAAACGGGCAGTCCGACTGGTGCTGTTGCCACCGCTCTGAGCGTTGCCGGGGCGGCAGTCTTAAACCCAGTCTTCGTCCAAACAACCCATTACCACGGTGGCGTTTGTATATCACCAGCGAGGGGCTGTAGATTAACCACCTACCGTCTGTGGTCGCTCTTTTCCCTGCTTCAATGTGTACATCCGTGTAGGTCCGGTCCATGCTTCGGACGTACTTCGGCTCATAGGAGACATTAACGGCGCAGTTGAGCCCAACCTCTGTTCAAACCGTACCGATTTCGACTGCGCCCGAAGTGCTCGAGCAGAGGTCCTGGTAAGCTGCTGTTGTTGCCGTCTGTGTTGATAAGCTAACCGCATCTGGCAAACCTGCGCTCTAGCGCAACAAACGTGCTGCCAAGGACCCTGGGATTCCCCAGGCACACAGCTGTACCTTCTGCTGTTTCTTACTTCGTTTGCATTTGCAGTCATCACTTGCGACCTCTTTCCAAACTTATCCCAAAATGTTAATCATCTTTATATTCCTCTGTACCTAACTTGATACAATCGCCTTCAGGTGTACGGCCCCAAGGCCAAGCAGAGCTACTGGGCGCCGCTCTGTGAGCCGGCTGATGCGGGCACCAAGCATAGCCTGGCGGACCTAATTTGCAAGCTTGTGAGTCGGGCCAGGCGGGCTTGGACCCGTGGGTCAGGCAGGGTTGCTAGCAGGGTGGCGTCATGGCGCGGTAGCCCTTGGGTCAACCAAGTAGCGGGAGGGCCTTGAAGAGCATTGGGCAGGGACCTAACAAACAAGCTAATGGGTGGCAGGCAGGCTGGGCGGGTAAAAACGACACGGTGGCAGGTAGGCAGTTACGCTGTGCCAATGGTCTCAACTGAATAAGCCTGTGAAGCAATTCTGCCATGCATGCATGCACCACCGTCACGGAATGACCAGGCTTGCTGGGCGGTCGCCAGGTTCTCCATCCACCCCACCATACATCCCGGGCTGCACGGGTCCTAACGCTGGCTGGCCTGCGTGCACATGCATCACCGCCTTCCCCGCCCCGTGCCTCCGAGTGCGCTCACTGCATGAGTCGGGATATGGGATTGGGACTCCCGTTGCTGCACTTGTTATGTTATAGATTTCCCCCCATGTCTTTATCCCCTCCCCTTCCCAGATGACCGGACTCCCCAGGCTGGATGACAGCACCACCACCATCACCATGCGCTACCAGCCCAATACCAGCATCGGGTCCTACATCATCCCCAAGGGTAAGCGATTGGACCTAGGCCTTAGTTGCCTTTTCCTTTGGAAGGTTCTTAGGGGGAACTCCAGACTGCAAGCCATGCATGGCGTTTCAGGGTATGCAGAGCAGTCGCGTGCATGAGGGAGGGGCGTTGGCTGGCTGGGTGGGGGGAGATGAAGTGGGTGTCCAACCGAGCCTGGTTGTTGTACTCCTCTGAGCCTTGGCATTTATGAGAGTCGTTTTAGAGCGTTAAAGCCCACCCTTATGCATTGCACCCACCACCGTTACACAGGCAACCCCAAAAACGCAACCTATTTCAAGCCCAACAGCTACAATCGTTGGGTCACCGTCACCGGCGGCAACTTCAGCACCGCATCTTCCGTCCAGGACTTGAAACTAAAGGTGGGTGTGCTGCTCGCTTTGTAACCAGATGACGTCAATGACCCGCGGGTCACGCGGTACAACCCGTCCTCGTTAACCCGTGGGGCTCTTACCCATGGAATCCTGCCCGGTGGTATGCTGCATTTTGCATGCTGCAGGGGCTTACGAAAACTAACCCCTTATGTCTCAAGCTGGCCCCTAAGTTATCCTTATGTATGCTCCAATGATCGCAGGTATCAGCAACCAAGTGTGCAGACGGCAAGATGCTGGCCATGCGCTGCGAGATTTACTTTGTTGACCGTTGGTGCATCAAGGACGGCGTGCGTGTGTTCTGTTAAGTCTTAACGTCTTTGGCTCACTGTCTGCAAAGCACAGTTTAGAGAAGGTGAAAGCATGGTCAACTCTAGCGTGCGGGCGCAGAAAGGGAAGGGAAGACCCGAACACTTGTCAAATAAAGCCATAGTGATGTTCCCTTACTTGGGAGAATCGGTCGTCATTGGGATTCAAACTGAAGAAGCCGTTGCTTAGTACTGCATATATGCTTTTCTATGTATGCCGATATGGCCTTCCTTAGCAACTGTTTGTGTTGGGCTTAGAGAGGTTGCGGTGGGATATGAAATACCCACGTAGGATGTCAACCTGCAACAGCTGGAAACGGGTGAATTTGAACGTTAAATACATAGCTGTCTAGTAGACTTGGCAAGATCTGCCTCGGTCGTGTGTGTTTTATGCCTATCCTAATGACCTATCCTGTGATGGAAGCATGTCCGGGGCTTCTTATTTTGCGGTGTCGTGTCGTCCCCAATATCTGGAGTCCTGCGTGCCACTAGCAATTTCGGACTTTGACTGTGTACCGGTAGGCTGAGAGCCTATCTTCAAGTTGCAAGGTACACGTAACGTTACACGTAATTTCATACCAACCAGACCTCACATTGTGCGGGCTTGCATAGGCTTCCGTTAGCAGACCAACCGCCGCATGTGCAAGTGTATCCAACTGACTGGGGTGCAGTACTACAGTCAGCAGCGTGGTGTAAATGAACGAATGACCGTTACAATTTGGTGTCTGATGCCATGGTAGGCTTCATAACCTAACAGATGCTTGCGTAGTGTGTTGCAGCAGGGTTTAGCACCTGTACTGTACAAAATTCTGGGTACACCATGAATGCAGGGTAGCAGCTTCTGCTTTCGTTCATTTCCCACGGGCATGGCTGGTCTGAAGTCCTCATTAGTGGCAAGCAGCAGCCTCCATCCGCCATGCCCTCCACCATCCGTTGCCTTGCCATGCTTGCGAGCCTTCATCGCGAGGTACGAGGCGCCACGTTGCTTCCAAAGTGCCCCTGCACATTGCCCGGCGGGCTATACTGAAAGACGTAGAAGGGCCGGCCGCCAATCCTCCCGATGCCGATGCCAAGCTGCTTCGTTCCTTTCCAAACGACTTGCGTAAAGTGGCCCGTTGTTTGACTGAAGCCAGGTTGAGAGTAGTCATAACTGTTTACCTCCTTGTAAAAAGAATCCGTTGCTGCCACCGCGTCAGAGTGGCCCAGTCCCAAATTCTCGCCATTCGGGCCCTTCGAGTGCTCGAACACGCCATTATCTGCCCAGCGCTGTGCAGAGGCTGCCACTTCGTTGCTCCAGGATAGAGGTTCGACACCATGGAGGTCGCGGTAGTAGTTGTGGCGCGCAAGGGCACGCTTGAGCTCATCGCTCATCATGGTAGGTCCTAAATAGGGACAGGCAATTTCTCGAAAGTGGGTTGGCCGAAGCGCTGAAGCAGCTTACAGACTTTATGGCTTGTGGATTACTGAGCACCTACACCAATTGCGGCAATTGCAAAAACTTAGATATTTACCGACAAAGTCAGGCTTTTTGCCCAAAGCCTTGCATTGTTTGCATCAACTGCTGCTAGGACAGCTGTGACGTGAATCGGACATTACTTTGTGAAATAACGTATCCTTATCGCTACCTTGTGCCCTACCCGTACAGTAGTACGAAAACCTTATTACTCCCGAATGCATACCGGTGCATTGACTTTCCAGAAAGTTATTCTGGGCACCAAAAGCTGAATTTTGATGGTTGCTGGTGGTTAGCGGTGAAGCTGCTGGTGAGTTTGACCTGGTCGGCAGAATGTGCAACTTGTCTAACCTGCGGATGGACTGTAGCCAGGACTCATTTTCAAATCCCGTTGGTGGCTAAAGGGTTGTTTAAAATGCATGTTGGCGCGGTGAAAGTGAATCATCCGTGTGCAATGGTACGGCGGGAAGGCATGGCAACACTACAGCACGTTATACGGCCTGGCAAACGGGCCAGTTCTAACGCAGACCAAGCGGTGATACCGTATGGGTCTTTGGCAAACAGCACCATTGTAGCTGGGGGCTTAAGGAGATGGTTGTGAAACCGATCCCTATTCTATCTAAATTGTTGTGTCGTCCTCTTCCTGGCCGTAATTAGAATGCAGCTCTTATACCGAAAAAAATAGAAGAATACAGGATTACCTAGTTTACCTCGCCGACTTGAGAAGTGCTGGTCGTGTCACGGCTTTAACCTACCGTACTGTACCTTTTGCCTCGTCTTGCCTCGTGAGTTTCGTTTTTTCGCGAAGGACATCAAGACACGCATATCCACTACAATGTGTATGTATTTTAGCATAGTAATGGCACCTCAGGTTTGTTGCTGCCAATCCACTATCTGCGTTCCGTCGTCTAACTTCAGTTGCTCATCAATGTCTCCGAGCTACCCAGGCTCCCACCGCGAAGAGAGGCTTAGCAGTATCCAGCACATCTACGTCTCTGGCTTAGCCAGTCAAACCCTTCCCCGTAGCCCGGTCCAACAAGCCCTGCCTCAAGCCATGTCATCACTACTCCCCAGCAACTGTAAACGCCAAAATCGCAAGCAGCGCTGTCTAGCAGCCGACCTTCAAGCTCTCCTTGACGACAACATCCACGCGGTCGAGGATCCCACATCCGATATCGTCATTCGAGTCAGTGGCCAGCACTTCCACTGTCACCGTGCACTGCTGTTTGCACGCTGTGACTTCTTCAAGCAGCTCTTCCGATCTGGACTACGTGACAGTGGCTTGGAGGAGGTAGAGCTGCATGAAACTGTCCCCGAGGCCTTCCGCGTTGTACGACATTACATATATACCGACCAGCTCCCCGAGGATGTTAAGTCTTTTCTGGAGGAGGACGTGAAGGACAGCATGGATGTCATGGAGGCGGACGTCAACATGCCCGCTGGCATAAAGATGAAAGGCCGGAAGGGTGTAGGGGTGGTCAACAGGGAGTTAGCTATGGCCATGCTGGCGCAGCTGATGGCAGCTGTGGAGCTCTCCGACCGGTTGTTGATGCAGGAGGCCTGCTCGGTGCTCCAGAAGGCTGTTCTTGGTGTGGTGCGGAAGGAGGTGCTTGCCAAGCGGGAGGACGACATGGAGCATGTCGCCGAGCCACTGTCGCTGCAGTACGTGCAGCACCAGCAGAAGGAGGAAGAGGTGTTTGGGAGAGTGCTGCTGTGGGCACACCGTCGTGGGTTTGCAGAGCTGGTGGGTGGTAACAACAGAGCCGCTAGGAAGGCCACAGTCAGGGGCTCTGAGTGTTGGTCAGGGCTGTTTATGCGATACCCTTAGACAACAAGGGGGCCAGCGTGCGCTTCCCCCTTCCTCAATGCCTTGACGCACATCATTTTATTGTTCATGCCTGCAATCCCTGTCACCACACCAGGTGCACGACCTCAAGACCGCCTACCTGGAGTGCCTCCGCCAAATGTACGACACCACCACCCCGGAGGGAAACCCCGGATGCATCAATGACCCCAGCAGCACCAGCAGCTGTGTTGACGGCAGCATCGGCATTAGGCGCATGCATGGCCTCGGCAATGGTGACATGGGTGCGGGCACTGCGGCGCTCCTGGCCACGGAGGCCCCAGACCTCCTGCACCAGCTGCACGTGGGGGTTCTGCAGCTCCGAGCTGCCCTCCAGCGGAAACGCGATGTTCGTTGGCAACGGCAACAGCCCCAGCATTGCGTGAGTGCAACAGCAACGGAAAGTGCAGAAGCGGTGTCGTCATTGCCACCGTCACTGCGGATGCGGCTGCAGCTGCAGCAGAAACTGCGTGAGTTGCTTTGAGGCGCTACAGCAGTGTGGGGACGAGCATTAGCGGCAATCGTGTTAACGTTTTACATGAGTGGGCGATTATAGGGGAGCATCAATGGATAGCGGAGGGCCTACACAGCGGGCAGTGTGTAAGGAATGCAGTTTGGGGAAGTCCAGGGGCACGAGGTGTAGTAAGCACGCCAACCTACCTGGTCCAACCGGGTTTAGCCAGTATGCATGCAGCCCACGAGAACCCCGTGCATGAAGGCAAGAAGACATTAATGATGATCATTATTAGAAGTATTGGCGCCTGCACATGTACGTTTAGGCGGCGTGGGACAGTACATTTGGCATTTGCTGGGTCCTTACGAAGGCAACTAGTGTATGCGCAATCGTGCAATGTATGCGGTATGTGGCATATGGTCCTAGGTATGTGGCATGTGTCAAGCACATTTGCAATAGGGCAACTGGGTTCGAATCGGGAATCGCAAGCTCTAAGGTATTTGTGCAATAAATCCAAACAGAGGAATCAGATAGGTGGTAATGTTACACAACATTTGATTACTGTACTGTACGGAAACCGCTGTCTTGTTCGGTCAAGCATTATGTAAGTTAAGTAAAAAGTGCACAAAGTCCCACTCGGCCCAAAACCAAAACATGCATGCACGAACCTTCACCGCGGTTGACATCACAGGAAGCGTTTAGAGCGCCTAGACTGGCAGCGGAAAAACCTTCCTCCTCCCTGGACACTGAAATTGGCCCTGCCAGCCTACAGCAGGACGCTCCCACTCACCAACACCAAAATCACCAAAATTGTTTTGTGGTTCCCACGCTCCGACTTCCCAGGCCAGTACTGCAAGTACACGCAACAGATGTGTACCAGCTGCGTTTTACCCGAATGCATTCCAGAATCTGTTGACAGCTGCTAACCCCAAGCACAATGCAATTGAATATATATCTAATACCACAAGGGGCCTCCAACCGATACAGCAGTACGGCACGGCAACAATAGTCTCTGTCCTAAGATTCCAAAAGCAACGTCTGGGAAGGGCCTTACCCGCTCGCAAGCACATTTCGTGACGCGAGTCCTCCTCATGCAACACATACAGAGAAAAACGAGGTCGGTGAATTACGATGAAACCCTGTGACCGCCCAACATGGGTTGCAGCCAGAGGATGGACCCCCACCAATAATCAACAATCAGTTCAGGCGTGGTCACATCGGCCCTGCACTGCAACAAGTACTTAATCACTGTAAGAGGACATACAACACTTACATTGTATTCCAAACAAACAAGCAAACAAGCAGCCAAACAAAATCAATTTTGGCCCATGCTTGTGCAAAAGTTAAACGTGGCAACATTGCACCACAACTATGGCAGGTCATGCACAAAGTGAACACAACCCGCTACCAAGCCAGGTTTTGCCCGAAGTTCATGCGTTTTGGTTTCAGCAAGGAAGGCAAAACGACGTTGAATGCCTTGAGCAGCGCCCATGCATTCTCACCCCCCTACTCCTCGAGATGTGTAACGCACAGCGCAGCCAACACATTCTTCGCCACCATCTAGCGTCTTGGCGGTCGCAGGTGGCACTCCAAAAGCGTCATTACTTATTCTAGTATCCCCCCCAAAAGCTACCAATGAAAGCCACTAACAACGGCAACCATAACCCAATATGCCGCGCGTGTAAGCATTGCATATCTGACACCTGTACAACCCCGACAGCACTTTATGATGTAGCCATTACGCCACAACACGCAGCACAACGCAGCATAACAGGTGCAACTACTGCCCTCTCAAGCATTCGGTTGCATTACGTAACCTTATCTGAAGTTAAGAGAAAAAAACCGTCACCGTAGGCTTTCCTTTTGGTACACAGGCTCCAACCCGCCCCCACCCATTTACCAGTGCGTCTATAAACAGCAGCTTTCTCAATATATAATTCTAGTTGTCGAAACCATTCAGCCACACGCACGCTCATTCATTCCTAATTGCCCACACTGCGCCTGGCAAAGTGGGTGCTGCTGTTGACGCTGCCGCCGCCGCCGCCGTCATGACGTTCACGCTCCCGGTGAGACCCGATCGACGATTGGTGCGACACAGGCGGCCTCAAGGAGGAATTGAAATTGGAATTCACGGGTATCGAGCGCAAAGAGCTGTGGAGCGCAGAGGTATGCGCGCCGCCGTTAGTGACGGAGGTATAAGTCGCGAGGGGCGGCAGCTGCACACTCCAGCGGCCAGTCGTCATGTTTAAGTTCTGGGGATGGGGCCCGCTGGTGATGCTGCCAGCGTTGGTCCTGGCAGCAGCGGCGGCAGCGCCGGCGCGGTTCCGCAGCGGTGACGCTGGTGCCGACCGCGGAGTCATGGCCGCCGCCGCCGCCAGCTGCGCCGCCGCCGTGGCCGGCATGTTGCCATTTAGGCGGAAAGGACCGCCGCCAACACCGGCGCTGTAAGACGCTCTGGCCGCCGCCGCCGCCGGGGGCGCCGGCGCCGTCGCCCGTAGAGAGTTGCGCCCCCAACCGCTTGTCAGGTTCAGGCTCTGTTGCTGATGATGAGGATGGTGGTGTTGGTGGTGGAGGTTGTTACCGTAACAGGCAGTGCTGCTGCTGCTAGTGCTGCCCCCAAGGTTATGACTCTGAGGAGAGCCATTATCCCGAAAGGCCATGGCGTCCACAATGCTGTCGTGTTGTACGAACGCAGTGTTGGGATAGGTCTTGTAGCCGCCGGGCCGCTGTCCAACAGCACCTCCAGCGGCAGCGATGGTGGCAGCAGCGGTAGCAGCAGCGGTAGCAGCAACCCCGGTAGTGCCGTGTTGTGATGTCGCCGGTTGTTGCCCTCCCGGTTGCTGTTGTTGCTGCTGCAGGGCGTGGTGCTGATATTGTGGCGGCGGCAGCGTGGGCAGTGCTGCACGGTAGCCGCCCGGGGGTGCCGCCGGTGCTGCGAAAGCAGCGCCGGAGACTTGCGTGTGCGCGGCTGCAGGGCCGGCAACGCCGGACTGCGGCTGCTGGGGATGTGGAGCACTTCCCTGCCCGTGCGCATACCCTCCTCCATGACCCCCGTAATATCCACCTCCGCCGACGTTGCCGCCAACGGCAGCCGTCTCCTGTCCTCCTCCTCCAGCTGCTACAACGGCAGGGCTGGTGGCGCTAGCCGCTGACGAGCCGCCCCAACCGCCGTAGCCGGTGTATGGTGCCGCTGCTGCTGCTGCAGCGGCCGCCGCTGCGGACATGGGGTAGAGCGGGTAGTCCTGCGCCACGGAGGGGTTACTGCCCAGGGCGGCGGGCAACATGGAGTACAGGGGAGCTCGCTCTCCGGGGCTTGACTGCGAGGCAGGCGGGGCGGGGTGGAGGCACGAAGGTACCGGTAAAGTTAAGGGTGGGGGTAGGTGAGGTAGGGAAGGTGAAACTGAATGCTGCGTTGCACGGACACCAGACACATCATCCACACGAGCGCTGCTCGCTGCCCGCGTACCGTTCCCTGAACACTTCCACCCGTGACCCTGAGCTCAAGCACCTTGCCACTGCCATTTCAGCCCAAGGCTCCCCGCCAACCCCAAAGCTCCCCAGCAGCAGCTCCGGTGCCCCGGCCCTGAGCCATTACCCTGCGCCCCCACCCCTACGCCCGACCCGCGGGTCACTCTGCAGCCCCATCCCAGCAGCCCCACCTACCCTGGTCCCCAGCTCCAGCGCCCCGCCACTGCGCCCCATGATGCTCTGCCCCAGTCGCGTGTTGAGGGGCTGCTGGGCAGCAGCTGCGGCGTCGCCGTGCCCGTCACCCAGCCTGAACTGGTTCACCAGGGTTCGCTTGATCTGCAAGGAGCAGTACAGGATGCGCGACAAGAGCAGGAGGTTTTTATCGCTGAGAGGTTGGAGGAGGCATCGCTAGCCGCTCCTTTCCCTCCCTTCCCAGTACCCACACTGCGATACCGCATGCAGCGGACCATCAGAAACATGGACGCCGCCAGCGCGGTGACCCCGGCAACGGCGCCCAGTGCCGCCCCCACGTACACCGCTACGCGGGCGCTGCTGCCGGCGCTGCTGCCGCCGCCGCTGCCATCGCTGTTGTACGTTCCGTTGCCACCCCCAGGCGGGGTAGGCGTGAAGCCAGTGCCGCACTGCGCCCCTGTGGCCGAGCAAATGATGTCTGGGGGGCAAGGAAGCACCAGAGGTGAGGAGTTGTGGGGGCAAGGAAGGAACGGATGGAATTGTGGGAGGACGATGACCGATATAATAAATATGTATAGATACGAGGAGCCGGTTCACGCTAGGCTGTGTCCGCTGGCCCCATCCCCAACCCGCACTGCACCCTTGCGACCGCCAAGGAAGGCCGACCCCGTGTGGGTCGGGGAAGGGGGCGCCGAGTGCATACCAGGACATGCGTGCCGCAGCGAGCAGGACCGTATTGTGAAATGTGTGATGTGATATGATGTCAGGCCATAACGTGTAAGTTGGAATTACTCAACCCAACCGATCACGCTCTCACACGCTCACCCGTAGCGATGGCGGCTTCCCGCATGCGCTGCGTCAGTGAGGACCCGATGAAGTCCGCAGCCAGCCGCTGCACGGCAGTTACGAGCGAGAGACCATCACTGTACTGCGCGGATAGAACCTGAGGGGGGGCAGGCAGGCAGGGAGCGCATGTGGCGCATGGGCTGGATGACGATCAGGTTGGTTACGGGACCGTTGGTTTGGGAGAGATGACGAATGCTTTTCCGCTGTTGTTCCTTTCCTTGCACGCCAACTCTCAATACCGGTAACAACAAGGGTAAGTGCATCACCGTGCCGCTTGAGGGGAACAAGAGGAGGAGGAGCAGCAGACGGATGCAACAGGACAACCGGTAAAGGTGCATGCGGATTCACCACGACACGCTGTCGTCGCTTACCGTAACCAGCCGGTTGTATAGGCTGTACTGCAGCACATAACCAAGCTGGGTCGCATTGAGCAACAGTTCGGTTATGTTGTACGACACCTTGCTTGTTGCATTCGCCGTTGCAGCAGCCATGGACACGTTTTGGATGGCTTGTAGCTGGCTGTTGATCACGGATATCACCTGCGGAAGGGAAGGCACGAGGGAGGACGGTTGCCATCAAAAGGGAAGTGGGGCAACTAAAGGGACGCAACCGCCTACTGTGGCGCCCAGCCACAGCTACGCCCACATCCCCATCAACGTAATGCTCCTAAACACCGGGAACAACTAGTTTTCATTGGACGCCGCCGGCATCATCGGGACTTCCTATGGTCGCGGCTCGGTGACACTATCCACTCCCCTGCTGCAAGCGCGACCCACCCGTAAGGCCCCTTAGGCCCGCTTCTCTACCACCATCCACGATACCCCACCCACCCACCTCCGCAACCTTCTGATACACGCCGGCAAGGTCCAAGTTGTTCGCATACACCGCCAGCCGCCGGTGCTCTTGCTGCTGCTGCTGAGCACCACCCGGTTGCCCTGATTGCTGCTGCTGCCATTGCTCCTCTCGGGGCTGCTGCTCCAAGTCAGCAGCCGCTACCCGCCTACCAGACGGCAGCAGCAGCAGCGATGGCAACCCCACCACACCCGTCTCAAGCAGGTGCAAGTGCAGGCTCAGGCCCCCTCGCGCATGCCGTGCCTGCTGCTGCTCATGCTGCCGCTCTTGCAGGCGGCTGCGGCGGCTACGGCTGCGGCGGTGGCGGCCGTAGCTGGAGGAGGAGGCGGCGCCCACAGCGCTGCCGCTGCCGCCTGCCAGCAATGTGCCGGTTGGCGCTACCTGCGCGCGCGTACCGGATGATGATGTTGTTGTTGCTGCTGGCGGGGTTTGGTGGTGGTGCTGTTGATGCGGGATACACGGGGGCCCAACCCCTTGGGGCCCCCCTCATGCAACATGTTGCCAGGACCCGGACCCCCATGCACCGCGGCTACCGGACACCACACGACGCCACACGACACCACATGACGCCAGACGGTGGGGACATCATCCTCCGACAACCCAGTACGTTCCTATCCCCGGCTCACTTCCTTAACACCAGACGAAAAGAGCCAAAGGCTGCTGCCGTTACTGCGTGCCGCAACAATTGCCGCACAGCCAAGCAGCGATCACCTTGGTATGAAACAAAATTAAACAAGCCACAACTGCTGGTGTGTGTAGTTGAGCGGAAACAAGAGCAAAACAGTTGGGATAGGTTCGCATGTGAACCACAACTGCTGGTGTGTGTTAAAGTAACTGGCTGCTGGAACGAACACAAGCAACTGCACGCTTACCGTGGTGGTGCTGCTGGAGCCCGCTCCGGGCGCCGGAGAGGAGGAAGAGGAGGGGGATGGCGAGGACGTAGATAGTGTTGTTGTTGAGGAGGAGGTGCTGCTGTTGGCACTCGACGTGAGGAGCTGGGAGGCGTTGAAGTAGCAGGCGGTGGCGAGTTTGGCGAAGACGGCGTTAAGTTGGGAGGCGTTGGAAAGGTCGAGGACGCTGCGGGCGAAGAGAGGTAAGGATGAGGAAGAGGTGGATGAAAGGGGTCCCAATGTGTATTCAGCATAGGGAAGGGGACAGCTACTTGAACGAAGACTGGTAGGTAGGACGAGGAGGCCTTGCCGACTTCGAGTACACGTCCCAAGAAGCGCGCTATTGCTGATTTACTGTCCACAACAGGGCTCTTCCGCTCCCTCCCTCTTTGTATTCCCCCCCGAACGCGTCCTCGGGTCCTCCCGATATACCCCCCAGCTGTCCCGTCTTACCCCCCAGCTGTCCCCAACGCCTGCTGCGCTGCCGCGTAAGTGGTGAGCGTCACTGTGAAGATGTGCGCGCTCTCGGCGCTGTCCAGGCCGTACGCGTAGTAGCAGGAGGGCGTGAAGAGGGCCCTGCGCACTCACGGGGGGAGGGGGGGCGCCAGGGTGACAGGGAGGGAAAGCAGGATAAGACAGCCCTGAAGGAGGGAAGAGGCGGATTTGGATTGACATCATGCTTGCGTTGCTGGCTTGCTGCTCTTTAGGTCGCTGTGAGGGGTTATTGGGCGTGCATGGAGCGAGTTCCAGCAAACGGCAACCCCGGCTTTCCTAAAGCCTTTGCACGCTCGTACGTTCCACACGGGCGCCCTCTCCCCTTACCTTGCGGCGTAGAACAAACCCACTAGCTGAGCGTTAGCCGCAATAACCGACGGCATCAAGGGCTGACTCAGGTCGAACCCACCAGCTGCCGCACCCCACCCAGGCGGCGGCGGCGGCGACGGAGGCGAGCTAACCGACGGCGGCGGCGACGGGGGTGGCGGCGGCGGCGGCGGTGATGACGGAAGCGGCGGCGAGGGGTTATTATTAGAAGGTTCTGAGGTTGGTGGTTTCGGCGGTGGTGGCGGGGAAAAAAGGGAAGCAGGAGGGGGAGGCGTGGAGGAGGGCACGGAGGTGGTGGTGACGGCGGGCTGCATGAGGGAGGTGTAGGCGGTGAGGTTGAGGCGCATGGCTTGGAAGGCTGCTGTCTGCTGGGCGGCGCTGATGGTGGTGAGGCGCTGAGTGGCCTGCACGGAGTAGATGCCCTGCGGGCAGCCGACGCGCGTGGTGGGGTCGAGGCGGTGTGGGAGGAGGGTACGTACGGTGTATGTCATGACAGGCCCGGTCCGTCCGGACACGACAGGAGGTAAAGAGCTACCTAGGCCCGCTACCCGGCCTCACCTGTGCCAACATCGCCACAGGCGACACGCTGACAGCCGCCGCCGCAGGTCCCAGATTCGATACTGACAAGTTCAGCGGCAGCTGCGTCAGCCCATCGTAACACAGCCGGTACGGTGAAACCGTCACCAAGCCCTGGCCCTTGGCCTGCAGCTGCAACCTGCCGCCGTAGCTCGCAGGGCCCGTCTCGAAGGGCTCGTAGCCCGCCGCCCATACGTCGTTCGACTGACCAGAGCAACCGCCCAACGGCCCAACCACGTGCGCGACGCCCCATGCGGCGCCGGCGGCGACTGGCGGCGGCAACCCGAGTGCGACATGTACGGCGGTGATGTTGACGGCGGCTCGGTTGATGCGTTCGGGCAGGGCGTCAAGGACGTAAGTACGAAGGGCTGTGGCGTCGGATGAGAGGAGGGAGGGCAGCAGGCTGACGGCATCAGCCTGGGCGAGGTGGGGGGAGCCATGGAGAGGGGGACAGGTGGGGAGGCCAGGGACATGTGGGTGGTTGTAAGAGTGGTCAGGTCAAGGGTGGTTGTCCGTCTCTCGACGTAACGGTTTGAAGTGAGCCCATCCGACCAAAGTGTTTGGCCAATGCAACGCCCGCCATTACCGGTAACCGCTTCCTTCACCACAACCACCCGCACGACTCATTCAGGGCATTCAGCGACACAGTCAGCGGGTCTGTGACCCACCGTCCCCTTCCTCTTAACGTGTCCCACCTCCCACTCATGAACACCTTGTACACGCAACCCATCCCTCATGCCACCAACCTCTTAACCCCATCTCCGTCCCAACCGCCGAAGCTCACCTGCACAGCAGCCAGCCGCGACATGGCAACGAGCGCATTCAACGGATTTAGTCCGGTGCTGACGCCTCCGAGCTCTAACAGCGCAACCTGCTTGAGTGCCTCACAATAGGCAGCAATGCCCGCCACAACGGCGGCGGTGGCGTTGACGGCGGTGGCGGGTACGGCAGTCACGCCAGCGCGCACCGCCGCCGCATTGATTACGGCTCGGACCACCTCCGCCGACTGAAACCCGCCGAGGAGGTACTGCGCCGGCGATGGCGGCGCCGGCGACGGAGGTAGAGGCGCCGGCGGCCTCGGTGGCGAAGGCAGTGACGGCGACGGAGGCAGAGGCGGCAGCGGCGAGGGAGGCCCCGGCGGCGTCGGCGGTGCTGGCGGTGCCGGCGACGCGAGCCGCGGCGAGGGTGATGGGGGTGCTGGTGACGGCGGCAGCGGTGGTGACCCCGGCGGCGCTCGTGATGGGGGCGGGAGTGGCAGCGCAGGCAACGGCGGCGAGGGTGCTGGCGCAACGCCTGATGCACCGTTGGTTGTCGTGCGGAGGTGTCGCTCTAACAGCAACTGACGCATGCCTTCCGCCGCCACAACCTGTGACATTGCTGTTAGGTCAACGGCCGCCGTCGAGGCCGTTGACGCACGGAGCAGCGCGCCACCCAACGCCGCCAGCGCCCCTAGCTGCATGTCGGCTGCTATAACCGCTACTGCCAATGTACGATTAGCCGCCTGGGAGCTAGGCAGCATCGCTAGCGGCTGTAACGTGAGCGGATCCATGCCGTACATCGACAGACTAACATTCAAGCTGCCGTACAAATCGTAAAGTGTTTCCCGAAGAGCGGTGGCATTGCTTAGGAGCTGTCCCCTGTAGGCGGAAGTAGCGTTGGTGCTACTGATGGGAGATGTGGCAATTAGGTTGGTGCCCTGGCTGGTCGTTGAGGTAGAAGTGCCGTTCACACCAGTAGTGTTGCTGGTTGTGTTGTTGTTGCTGATGGTGGCGGTGGAGTTGCTGATGGATGTGCTGTTAACGCTGATCGTGGCATTGCTGTTGGTCACATAGGTGCTGCTAGCACCGCTGGATGCTGCCGTTGTGTCCGCGGTAGCTGCCAGCACCAACTCAATGTAGGAAAGAGCTGTGAAGGACGCATAGCTGATGCTAGCCGCTGATGACAAGGAACTAGGTACGGCAGCTGCAAGCTTGAATGCCAACGGAAGGCCCGTGAACGCATCGACACAAGATGCACTGGGCGTGAGAACGGCCTGGTAGTCAGGAAGGGTAAGGATTGGTAGCAGCGGCGTTTGGACATGGGGGGGGAGGGTTTAGGATGGTTCGGAAGAGTCACACGCAGCAAGAAACCTCCAGAACACGTGCAGCAAAATGAGTTGCTGATGCAAGTATTCCCTTACCCGCACAACGGGTTCACTATTTAGTCCATTCACAGCGCTGAAGAAGCCATTGCTGTCGGTGTTGCTTGATGCCGCCACGCTGCCGCTGTTAATACCAGAGACAGTCGTCTGTGCCGTTAACAGCACAAATTTGAAGATAGCTTAGTGCCGGAAGGGAAACTGGCACTAAAGCCACTGGTCAGCGTACACGTGACTTACTGGGCAGCCCTTTAGCGGACCAGACAGTCGAGCATTCCCATCCAGAGCTTTCACATCTGTAGACAATAAGATGGAAAGCCTCGATACCGAGAAGCAAGCAGGAAGCATATACGACTGTAAACACTAGCTATAGAATTGTGCAAGCACTTCTCACCATTCAGCTGACAAAGCGCCAGAAAACATAGGAGTGGGGCTAAAGCATTATAGAAGGATATTACAAGCCTCATGCGTGACAAGGTTCACCAGGGCATAGAAGGCGCCATTGGACTGTGCTTTGTTGCCTCATGGAGAAAGTTAGCGCTAATTCGAAAGAAAACAGCTCTAACTGCTTGTCTTCAAGCACGTGTTGTGCGTGAAATAGGGAAAACCCTGACAGAGTTCGTTAAGGTGCACCGGTAGTGCATACGAATGCGCCTAACCAAGAGTCAAGCGCCTTAGTGAGAAAGACTAAACATATGTCGCATGCACAAAACTTCAGTCTAGAACAATGTCGAGCATAGGTAGAGGCCCGTTTGCGTCGTGGAAGCCGTACTGTTGCAGCCCTAAGCTGTACCCGTATCCCGTAACCAGGCGCTTACAACGTAGGCATTGCACCTATACCCTTGCTGATGTATATTTCGTGATGACACATGGACGCAGGAACGCGTGTTATGTAAACAAGAGCGTCGTTATGCGCACCAGCAAACAGCTTCAGGTCAGAGGCAGCATTTGGTTAGGAGGGCGCCGTTCTGAAGTCCCGATGCGAGAGTGGCGCCGCAAGTCCCTGGCGTTATGTAGACGGGTGCACGGGTGTTGCGGTAGGCGAGCAAGGCTTCAGCAAAGCCTGTCGACATAAACGGGTACGGCGCGACACAGCCTTCTTCCCAAGGCAGCCTTGAGGCGCAATATAAGAGATGGCATGATTTCGGCCAGGAACTGAGGTTTCTCCTAATAACGCCTATGCCCCCCTCACAGCACCTCTGTCCCTTCCTCTTTACCCCCTCTGTGGCCTCGTGGATTCTGGGGTAGGCTGGATGTACGCTGCTACACATCCTATCACATACCAATACTTGCACCACCCCATTGCCAACCTCCACGCATTTAGGAAGCGAGAATTACACTGGATGACCAAACAGTAAGGAGTCCATACTGGCCAATCACGCATATAGCATTGCATACATGCACGTGCCGGTTGTCTACCCGCCGAGCAGCACATATGCACGCGCAGTTGCCAACATAGAGCTCAAAGGATAGGGTGCGAAACACGCCCGCTTAAGTGGCTAGCTGCCACTACATCAAATCGAAGCGGGGCCTCCTTTAGGCAAGCCATCCCTATTTCCTGGGTTGCACACATGTTAAGGCCGACATCTCGTACATCGGTACGGATTACCATGCCGACTAGCCATGCAGGTTGGTGCCGCGTCTTCCATTGTTTACCGCACGCATGCCGCAGGCCGTAACGTGCAGTGCATGCCAAAATGACCGCCGTGCAGCGGGAACCTGAACGCCAGACAGGAACTGTGGTTTGGCCCACCCATATGTGGCGTAGTACAATGCATATCTTAAGACTTAATGCATATTTCTGGTCCCGCCTCCAGTCCTTTGCTGTCTTAGGTGTGCCTCCCCGAGGCTGGGCCTGTGTTCCCCCTATTCACCCTTTCCTTGCAAATGCGGCTGGCCGTGTACGATTTGTTGGCCCGCCTGATACTGCGTCCCCGCCGGCCTCCCCCTGACCCTGGATTATTTTGCCATTGACACCTCCTATGGTTGCTATTACCTTAGGATCACGCCGATGTCGATCGACTTGGAGGCAGTTGGGCACTGCTGTGGCACAAAGCAGCAGCTTGGCAGTTGCTCTGTTCAATAGTTTGATCCTTCTTTCGCGGGCTTGGCCTGTGTGATGTTTACCCCTCGCGGGCTTGGTGTTTGTGGTGCTGTGGCCTTGTGGGCTTGGTTTTAGGTGGTTCTGTGTCTGGCATGGCTCCTTTTTTTTGCAGGGCATGTCCCTGGGGTAGGTTGCTTTGTTGCGGCTGCCTAGCGTGTACCGCTAGCGATTGGGTCTCTTGTACGCATTCTATTGTACAGGAGAACAGGACTTCAGCTACCGTACCAGCAACTGAATTTATTTACAAGAACAAAAGACCACAATTCAAGCACTGCAACCATTAATACCTGTCCCGAGCTAGCACGGCACCTGCAGTGGAAGGGCCCTATGCGCTAGTCGTCGCGCACACTGACCCACATCCAGCCCAGCTTTTCCTTATGTCCATGACCATGCTGTTCCGGGCTTTTGATTTCTCGGCTCATGGGTTAAACCATTCAAGGACCAGATTTCATAGTTACGGTTATACAGCGGGTGTTCTTTGACCAGCATCGTTCTCTGCTCTATAGAGACACCCAGATAGCGCAACGGACGGTAAGTTATGGCTTGACTCTTAACTTTGGCACCCAGAGGTCATGGCAGGCCCACAGGCCGCAGCCGTGGGCATGCGCAAAAGCGGAATACAGAATGTATCGGAAAAATGAACGTATGTAAATGATAGCGGAACGGAGGGATACTCCTTACTCGAGGTAACAACAGTTTCGACGGGTTATATAACCAGAACTGCTGGTAACTATATAAAACTATAATAAAACAGGTCAGAAATTACAAGATACTCCAATGCGTGCGACAAGTCTCACAACGTGACTTGCGACGGTCAAGGACAGTCGTTGAACGGCTGGTGCCACCACAGCACCGGCCTGTGGGCAGACACAAAGCCTACATGAAACCCCACATTATACGGCAGCGTGGGCTTTCAGATAGTGGTACTGTTGCAACACCACGCCGGGTCGATCGGGGCGACTCATTCAAACCCAACTGCATATTGCGACAGGTCGGCATGCCCGAAATGTACAACTACTTACCGATGGTCAGCCAATAGGGCTGCACCTTGTTTACCTTCGAGGCTGCCCAACTTGGAACGCACGAAAGGATGTCTTTAACCGTGCGTGGTCAACGCTGCATTACGACGGCGTGCATACGCTTGTACTGGTATGAAAGGCTAAAGACATCTCTTTACGCCTTATTGAAGTGGTTACTAAGCGCGCTGGGTCGCTGGGATGTGGTACGGATGTGACAGAAGGGCCCAACACTTTGCGGTTACTTACATGTAGCAAATGGCAATTCCTATCCCTATTCGCTGTATACACTCCTCGTAACACCATCCCTTGGCATTAGCCCATTTTGAAGCACTGTAATAGAATGGCCTACGAGGACTCCAAGGAAGGCTGCTTTGACTTTATGCTGCCGAAGGACTCGCAGCTAGCCCTCAAGGAGGCGTGGGCATTTGCCCAAGATGGCATGCTCAACACCGAGGTCGACGGCACGAAGGAGTGGGACCACGGTGAGTCGTCGAATTGACCTTGCAATGGGTCGGACAACAATACCCCGATTGATGAATGGTATTGTGCCCTTATTAGGGTTATGCATGCCATTGGTCTAGCATAGCCACACCAATGTTTACCCAGACGCCGCCTGTTACGTGTCTGGGGTGCCCGTCGTATTTCTGCTAGCCTGCACGATGCTTTGCGCCATTGCCGCTAGCAGCTGCCCGAAACAAGAAATGCCATGACTTAGTAATAGAAGACGGTGCTGCTGGGACTGGCTGGCGCGGCGTGTCTGAGTTACGATGGATTCGTCGTTCTCTTGCCGCTGGGTCGGTTGCTAACATACTTTGAGTGTTGCCACTCGCAGGAATCTTCTCGTGCCTGAACAACATTCCGCTGACCGCAGCGGTGTGCTGCTGCCCCTGCTGGGGCTCATGCATCCGCTACCGCAACATGGAGTACATGACGGGTGAGCACTTCCTAATTCGCAGCAGCAGGCTTGCTGGCCCTGATACACTTCTACATTTTACGTACAAAGGGCTGTGCCACTTCTGCATCCTAACTGTAAATATTTATAAATCGTTGTTTAACGGCGACCAACCCCGTTGGCGGTACGCTTCCGATATCATCAAAGACTTAAGCATAACTAATTTCCTCCATTTCCAGGCAAATCCTGCGAGGTCGCCTTCGTGGCCGCTACCGTCACAAGCGCATGCTGCCTGGGCTGCTGCCACTATGCCGTTGTACGAGGTGAGCAGCGATCATCAACGCCGCCACACCTGCATAAATCAGTACGCAGCTTTGGGAGCGTCGCTGCGTTTGTTCCCTTTCTCAGTAGTCGTTCATTTGTACCTTACTCTCTGTCCAAAAATCCACATTTCCCAGCCGCCGTTCATCCCTCTCGCTAACCCATGACCAACTCTTCCGGGACTGACTAACCGCCTACCACCAACCGCAGGCCAGTTCCGCAAGAAGTACGGCCTCAAGGGCAGCGGCTTCACGGACTGCGCCTTTGGCTGCTGCCTCGGCCCCTGCGCGCTGTGCTCCGACACCAACCAGCTCATGGTGCTGCAGGGCATCAAGGTGGGTAGCTAGGATGAGCGCAAACCGCTACCGTACTGCTACGTAGGATCGTAACTAACAGCTGACGACATTGTGGCCCTTACAGGTGCCCTTCCTCAACCTCCCGAGCGGCGCCGAGGCAACCAAGACCACCGCCGAGTAAACGGCAGTTCCCTTCCCAGAAGAAAGTTAAGGTTACCTAACATGGGACGACGGACGGACGGAAGTTGCTTACAAGGCTGCTTACACCTGGCTGCGGGCTAGGTGCCAACAATTTGAACGATTTGTTACAAAACTTGCGGCTTTATGCGATGGGTCCTTACTAGTTTGGTCCCTCTTTACGCGCGCATGACTGCGTACCGTCTAGCGTACTGGACTGTTGCCTTACTGACTACGCGAACCGTTCTCGTTGTCGTTGCTATCAGTCCTGGCGAGCGCTTTGTTGGCGTTGTGACCGCAATTTCTTGGACACTTACCAATCCTTGCTAACTTCTCTGGTTAGAGCTTTTTGACTTTGACCATTGTGCAGACTATTTCATGCTGGTATTCCTTTGAGTTTCACTCCCTGCCCTTGCCCACTAGCTCCCCAGCAATTAAACGGGAATGTTAAATTGTTCTGGGACGTTGAGTCCCGGTGTTGTGTGTGTTTGACGCAGCACGTTTGCATCGTTTTTATTGTTGCGATACCCCGGTGTTTTCCTATTTTTTGTGCATCCTGTGCGAGAAAGATGTTGCTTACCAGGCAGGCGCTGTAAAGCCCATGATCACTTCTGGGTCCAAACCGCTTCTGCCCAGCAAGGCTTGGACAAGATAAAAGGACTTCATGGACAGTACCATACGTCTGTGTGTAACGCAGCAGCTTTGCCTAGACACGGTTGGCCCTGTACCTGCGCCTCCATCATCCATGCCACATAGCTACTATGGGCAGCTCGCTGGACGCTCGACGGTTCCTCGCCAGCGTGGACTGGTCGCCGCAGCTAAATTTAACTCACCACCGCCGCCGCCTCCTCTTCCCATCGCCTTGCCGTAACTTGCCGTGTCTACTGTTACCCATGTATTCTGTGACCCATGTAGTACGTTATGCATATGGCAGTACCGGTAGCCGCTACATGCATATGGAGAGATGCTAGACGAAGATGCATAGCTACAATGAAGTACTGCCCTAGGTATTGGCACTGCTGCGAGTTCATGCCGCCGCGGATCTGGATCTAGACCGTGCTTGTTCCCAGTGCATCCGGGCCATCGGTTAGATGTGAGTGGAGTCTAGAATTCGTTATGGTGGTTCCTAATGGCAGCTGATAACACGTCCAGTCCTATTCGCTGTACTGAAGGTCCTGGACCAGGTCGCATCGCTCGCATCGTCTTCTCCGGTTCAGGGAGCAAGACGCAGAAGTACTTTACCTATACGGCTTGTTATTGTGAAGAAAACGTCCATTGTCTTGCGACGTTGCTTGTCGAGCTTGGCTATGCGGAATCACTGGACCAACTGTTCGTGGTCTTCCTCAGCAACCCCCAAAAGCAGGTGAGATCTGCACTATACATGCGCACATGTATGTGTGCGTGTTGAGATCCTACAAGGTGCTCATAAGCAGCCGGCAAAACCTACATCACTGCCGTTGACAATGCCATGTATGCATCCGGCGTTAGTTGTCGCTCAAATCTTGGCCACGCGGAGGCGCAGCAGCTCAGACCTCCAGCACCACTATGCAACCTCTAGCCCTACAGCTGTCGGCCCACACGCTAAGGACTTAGTAACGTTACGTCTCTCCTACCCAGATTCCATTATGGCAGCAGAAAGCGGGTCAACGTCACCGCAACAAGGTGGCCATGAACGATGACCGCGGCGAGAGCGAAGCCGAGCATAGTCAAAGCGGCAGCGACGAAGACGACGAGGACACGGAAGACGATGGTGACTGCTTGGTGGTTTGGGATTACCACGTGATCCTGCTGCAAGTATTGTCCGCTCCATCGGCCCCCCCAAGGTCCAGAGTATCCTCAGCTTCACTTCAGGCATCAGCGCCAATACCGGCTGCTGCTGCAACAACTGCGTCAACGGCAGGACCCTGCAGCACCGCCGCCGCTAACACTGGCGGACACATCGCTTCCGCGCCTCCTCCTTCCTCTGCTGCTACTCCTGCCTGCTCCGTTGCTGCTGCTGCTGCTCTGTCGGAGCTTGCGGGGGCATCCGGCGTGTTGGTTTGGGACTTGGATACGTTGCTGCCGCTGCCATGCAGGTACGCGCCGGTGCTTCTACAGATGCTAAGATGGGGTGGGGCGCTGCGGCTGCATGTGTTGTGGGGCTCTGCTTGCCAGTCTGCTGTAGGGCTTCCACCACAACAGACGAGGCAGGCTCCCGTGCGGAGGCTAGACATGTACGACAGTCGGTCTGTTACTGCTGCTGTCGTTGTGGCATCGCCGCTGCTGGTGCTGTCGAACCAGCAGTGTAGCTGGATGCTGGAACATTTAGTGCAAATGGAAACCCCGTGTTCCACAAAACAACATCCTACCTTTGCCCCGCCTAAACCCCAGTCTTGAGCTCTACGCGGCTGCTGCCCTCAAGTCGCACTACCAGCTCCCACAACAGAACCGCAGGCGAGTTCCGGGTTCCGGGTTCTCCTCCTCGGGTGACACCACCAATGGTAGCCCCTCCAGTCTCGGAGGGTGCATGGGCCTGCATGCTTGGAGGTCTCGGCCACGAGGGTACCCCGGGCCACCCGGCCTTTGTGACCTTGGGTTCTGGATGGATCTGATGGCAGGGACGCCTCGGGCTTGAGTAGCCGTGGGTAATTACAACACGAAGTGCTGTCGTGTTTCCCGCAAAGGAGAATGCTCCTATTATGAGCTGCATGTAAAGTATTTTATACATTCTGGTACCCTCCCCCTATGTCCCTCACCCAGGCTGTTCCGCATCATCCCCGCCGCCACCTTCCTCCGCCATTTCGCCAGCGACCGAAGCCACATGCGCACCGCTGACGGCAGCGGCTGGATGGCGCCGCCACCACCCTACCCACCCATCGTCGGCGCCGCCGCCGCGGAAGACGACACCGCCGTACCCAGCGTTACTGCTGGCGGCGCTGACCATGACGGTGGCGGTTTGGCTGGCGGCGCAGCTAGTACGGCAGCGCCCGCCGCCGCCGCGGCGGTAATCACGAACAACATCCAGCAGTACTGGGATATGTCGGCAGCGGCAGCGGTGGCGGGAGCGCGTGCGTTGGAGGCGGCGGGGTTGCTGCCGGCTGCAGCGGCGGCGGCGGCGCCATCCGCGACGGCACTTAGGGCAGCCGCCAAGGGGACGTACGGTATTGTGTTGGACGAGCTGAGTTTCCTGCGTGCGTTGGGGGTCATTATGGGCCCTGGGGCCGTAGCGGTTAAAGGGCGAGGCTGATTGTGCTGGTACTTCTGGTGCGATTCTGGTGCAGTTATGTACAGACGTACGTGCACAGGTATACAGACACAGGGCATGCACAAGGGTCACAAGGACATAACGCGGCGGTCCGGATCTTGCTGTCCAACTACTACGCCCCTAGTGGAGGGAGCCAACGTAAGTTCTATTCCCCATGTAACGCCGCACGCCCATGCATGCAGACTTCACTCTCAGGTCCCCTTGCCAAGGACAGGCACATCTTGTCGTGTGGTCTTGCCGCGCCACAGGTTACTTGAACACATCACCAGTTCACCACATGCCGTAAAGACATCTGCTTTCACCACATGCCGTCAAGACATCTGCACTTCTGCAGGGCAGGTGTATAAGGCAATCAGGCAATGAATTGAAGTTCTGGCAGTTTAGGAAATTACGCAATTCTCGTGTGTGTTTTTCGTAGTTACGGTCCTGGCAGCAACACCACGTACGTCCTCAGTCCTATCACTGCCCTTACCACACGGCAATGGGAGGCAGTTGCACATATGCAGGCTAGTCTGTGCTGCCCTTGCTTGCTGCTACACTCCAAGGTCATCACTGCACGACGTCGCAGGTCATGCAGTCCACTAACTCCTTGCATCTTTGACATATTGAATCTAAGGCCGCTACATCCTGATTATTAACACCCGGCATTACGTCTACGTCCTACCTGCGCACACCTAGCTAGCTTACCGGTAGTCAACCTTGCGCCACCGTCTTCCAAGGCTCTTCCGCGTCTCACATGTCCTCCGTGTCCAATCACTACTCGCTACCGACCCGTCTTTGATGCCGCTCTCACAACCGACAAACCGCCAATCTTCCCCAACTCGGCCGTCTTGCCACCGTTGTTTCTGTTGCCACCATGTCCACCATCCATCATGCCGTACGTCTTCCGCAGCGATGCCGTACCAACCGCCTGTTGCCGTACACTGCCTGACAACCCGCTGCTTCTCCGTCCCCGTACGGGAGGAAACAAAGGTGAAGGCGGTGATGACGATGTGATCTGCGATGATGAGAACGGCGCAGGAGCCATCACTCTTCCCGCAAGGTTCCTATCTGCCATCCCTCGGCTCGCTGGTGCCGCACCTACCAAACCCACTCCTGTTCCTGTTCCTGCTCTTGTACCAGCGCCCACACCAGCCCCCACTGATATCCTTGCCGTACTTCTTCTCGAACCAGATCTTGTTGCACCGCCGCCACCAGCTGCCGTACACGCCGCTGCTGCTGCTGCAAGGCGGTCGTCCATCTCCACGAGTACGAATCCATCTAGCGGCTTTGGCAGCGCCGCCGCCGCCGCCCAGGCAGTTGTCGACGTAACTGCCGCGTCTGTTGCGGAGGTCGTTGTGGCAGTTGAAGCGGCAGGCGAGAGACGGTCACCACCGGGGGGCGGGAAGAGCGGATCCACCGCCTTTTGCACCACCTCCTCCACCAATCGTGGCAGCAGGTCAGACAGGTAGGACCCCGCTCGGAAAAGTGCGGGGCTGGTGTTCACCTGCGGGTGGTTTGCAAAGCGTGTGTCAGCTGGTGTACAAGTATCTGAGATGCACCATGTTTTTCCATGCACCATCACCTACCCGCCACCTCGCTCAGCGTACCTAACCCCCGCCACCGCGCCTCAGGTTACCTCTGCTGTATCCCCACTCACCCCTTCCCCTTTACACATGCCTCTCACCTCTCACCACTTCATGTGCCCCTCACCCTCACCCCACTCCCGCTCCCTCACCTCAATCAGGTACAGCTGCCCGCCCTCATCCAACATGAAGTCCAGACCCAGCAGCTCGAAGCAGTGCCCCAGCCGCCGCGGGTTCAATCGGTGCGCCCCGGCCACGGAAAACAGCGCAGCCACGCAGCGCCGCATGGCGCCCCACAGCCCCGACTCGCTGCCTGGCCGGGTGTCCAGGTGGGGCAGCGGGCGGCTGGAGGGCGGCGTGGGAGGAGCGGCAGAAGGAGGAGGAAGAGGAGCGTTGTCGTCTTGATCTGGGTTGCTGCTGGGGCTGGGGCTGGTGCCGGGTGGGGGCTGCGAAGGGGGCTTGACTCTTTGCTGGCTGCTGCTGGTTTCGCCGGAGGGTTTTGTTGAGGAAGAGGATGCGGAAGCAGCAACAGCGGGAGCAGCAGCAGACGCCGATGCAAGCAGGGCGGGCCCGAGTTCCTCCAGAGACAGCTTGCAGTGATCCTCGTAGGCGTTGTACGACTCCAGATGCTTTTGTACGGCATCGTTGGTGAGGTGTGCGGAACGGTTTGTGAGATCGGATCCGTCGTACGGAGTGGAGGATGTACGGCAGTAGGCCTCCTTGTGGAACCAGATACGGCCGTCGGGGCCAACCAGGACATAGGCTCGGATGTCGAACTTCCGGCCGCCTAGCAGCAGGGGCCTGCAGGGTGCGGTTGGGGGGGGGGGACGAGGGCGTGGGAAGGAGGGATACCGGTGCTAGGTTGTAAGGGGGATGGCAGGGGGCGAGGACTTGCTGCCAGGAGGCCCAAATTGTACCGTTTGGCACGATGCCCAAATTCTAAACAACTACTGGTAACTAACAAGAACTAACCTCTCAATGTACTTTTGTAGGATGAGGGAGCTGCCCGCGGGCCGGCTTTGAAGGTGCTCCATGATCTTTTCAAGCGAGTCAAACACCTGAATGCCGTTTCCGCGGTTCAGGCATGTGGGCTTGGCGATCCATATGCGCCGGCCCGCCGCCGCATGCGCCGCAAAGGCCGCTCGGAAGCGCGAAAGAGACCCGTGGGTCGCCGCTGCGGCAGCCGCCGCCGCCTTGGGTCCCGCTGGTACGACGTAGGTTTCCGGAATCCAGCTGACGTCCATTCTGGAGGGTGCGGTTGGTGAGGCTACAGCGGAGGTTGCTAGTGCGGTGGAAGCTGCTGCTGCTGTTGTGGCTGCGACAGCTTGTATGGACGCCAGGACTCCCGCTAGGCCGGACTTGGTGCAGATGAGCCGATGCTCCTCTAACCGGTTCACAAGCCTGCGAGCAGTAGCAGGAGCACATCCCAAACCGGCTGCTGCTGCTGTTACTGTTGCTGTTGCGGCGGCTGCGGCGCCAGGGGCAACCTCCGGCAGCGGCTGTAATAGCTCCCATTCTGTAAAGCGTTGACCGTTCAGTCCGGCCCACAGATTCCACCGTTGCGTCTTGGCTGCTGCTTTCTTACTACCTGTATTTGCCGTACCATTCGCTGCTGCAGTAGCTGCTGCTGCTGCGGGCGCAGGTGCCACCTCAGTCCACCAGGGTCTCCTAGCTAGTGCCTCCCTGAGCAGCACGGACTCATTCCCAGGCAGCACCAGCGCGCGGTAGAGAGGCCAGGAAGGAGAAGACGAGGAGGAAGGAGAAGGCCAGGAAGGAGAAGACGAGGAGGAAGGCGTGTGTGCAGTGGCATGAAAGGTGGTGGAGCTGATATTGGTAGCTGCCGGTTTACTGGGAGTGGTGGTAGAGAGGGAGCGGGGCCGCGGGTTTGGAGGGGTGCGGGGGCCAGGTGGAGGTGGTGGTGGGCTGTTGGGACTGCGGCCCTGCGTAAATGTTGTAGCAGCGGTAGCTGCGCTAGCAGTAGCAATGGCTGCAGCAGCTGCGGTGGGTGTGGTTGCTGCTGCTGAAGATGGGCGAATGGGTGGGAGTGCCGAGGCAGGCGGTGACATCTGCGTGTAGGTTTGTGCAGGAAGAGGGGGATGAAGACGTTAATGTCGCGCAGGAGGAGCAGATGCAGAATGAAGATTTTGAGCTGGTGCGGGGCACAATGGGAGCCGAGGGGCACGCGGCATGTTGGAGAGGGGGATAGCAATTACTGGTCTTTCGGCATTTGTCAATGGGCAAGTGTGTGAAAGAAGAGACCAGCCTTGTGGCAAACTGCGGACGGTAATTTGCATATGTGCACGTGTCACGTCAGTATTGATTAGCAGAGGTAGTCAAGGAAAGGGGTCTCCAGGACGGATGCCGCATGCGCACCTGTAACGCCATGGACCTTGGTCACAACTGTCACGTGCAATGCATAATGTGTTAACGTCGATGTCGCGATTCCTAAACGAGGTTGCTACTACATTGTCTCCGCTTAAACGCCATCGGGTTAAGTTGCCCGTTTAGCATTCGTCATATGGCGACGACGCTCAAGGTATAACGTGTGCTTACTAAAAAGACGGTAACGGCTAAAGCTATAAGCTTATTGCTTGCAGAGCAGGGTTAATGGTTTGTTACAAATCATAGAACTTGCGGAAGACAGGAACTTCGTGAGGAAGATCGCATGCGTATGAATTACTGCACAATCACTAGCACTACTACGGACAGCAGTTTAACCCTAAGCATAGCTTAAGCGATGACAAGCTCGATCGGCTAACGGCAACGTACGGCAGCAGTTTGCTTCTCGCGCGTGTCGTCTCAAATTCTTGAACTCAGCGGGCGGCAAGGCTGCCAGCGAACACAAGCTTTGAGTTGGTGGCTGGCCAGTGTAGTTACACAGGACGCAACACTGCTATCGTGCTATGCAAGTCGTGTGTGTTTTGAAGTGTCGCGTACATGGTGAGTTGTGCGATGTTACTGAGCGTGTACCCCCCAAACTTACTGTGTCAACCAAGACCCCTGGTTGTTGGACAAGCCGTGCCTTTTACACGGTGTACGGTTACCAGGGTTCAGAAGTAGGACCACTATCGCCTTCTAACCCCGCACCGCGATAGGGACATGGACAGGGCCTCCCCTTCCACCTCTTCTTTATCGTGGCCCCCAAGGAATTAAGGCCAAGCTCCCCATCTCCATACCTTGCCCGCGCTACTGTACTCTCAACCCGACCCACCAACTTTCCCTCGATGCGCTTTGCTGAGTGCGGCACAAAGCCATGTGGCGTGTACAAGGAACACTTGAAATGTCACCGATTGTAATTATCATGTCTGAACCACAGTAGCACTTCCCAAATCGTAAACATGGTGTCCGCTAGTATAGCAGCAGAATTCTCGGGAAATGCTCTTGAAGCATGTGTGCATCCTCGGCATCCTCGCAACCTGACAGTTGATGCTGTTGGCTTACCTATGTGCCTAGCTAGTTTACTTTCGAGAAGATAACATGGGATATTGATACCCGACATGTGCGCATCCTCGTGGTGTCTGACAGTACTGTAAGCTTGCTCGACCGCCGGCTAGCCAGGGTTACCTATTGATGCTATGTGGCCTTCGTGAAAGGGTTTATACGAAAAGTGTTCGTTGCGGTATTGCATCTGTGTCATCAATCCGTTAGCGTAACCTTCAATTACGGTTCCAGGTTTTTCGCGCCGATCACGGCGCTACAGGTACTGGGCGAGGGTACGACATTGAACGTCCAGCAATAAATACTCGATAGGCCACGCCCTAATACCATAGCAACTCCTTTTCCACTTCCTTGTTCCATTCCTATGCGGCTTAGGTCTTAGGCAATCTCAGAAACGGGTGTGAAGTTTATCACACTGCGACGTGTGGCCGGGACCAGGTGTCAAGGTAAGTCTTATGCAAAACTTTTGCAGGTGTTCCACAAGCACTGTTAATCAGACTCGACCAATTAATTCTCGCCGTTTTGCTTCTTTGACAATGGGCTGCAGGCTTACGTCCAATCCTTTCTTGAACCAGTTCAGGAGGTTTAGTTCTACAAACGATATTTGTCAAGGTGGCAGCAAGCGCGCTTATAGGTAAGGTTGAGAATGCTGAGCTTTGGCCGCATCGATCCGTGCATCCCTACCAACTGACCGGCTTTGTTCACCTTCCGCAGGTCAGCGTGCTTCCATTGACTGCTAGAGGACTTTCATAGCCGCTCCAAGGATAATTACCGGTAAGAAGCGTTGGGCAACTTGCTTGGCGTCAGCAGTTTTAGCTTCCAACATAGTGCTTTACTGTTTTACCTTTCATAAATTTGTGTACAAGTGAAAGATATTTCTTGGTAGCTCGTTTCGTTACGGGTGCGTCAGGCACCCGCCCATTGACACCCTTCAATTGTAACGGTCATTCATTCATCCTTCGCTCGGTCTCCCTAATGATGTTCCCAAGCCTGATTCGCTTCGCTGCTTGCTCTCACTACGTAATCACAATTCTAACCATACGTTTGTCGCCCGATCCCTGCGCCACAGAACCGCGTGATGAACCCCGGCTGCTTGCGACACTTGGGAGCTGCGGGCTCCATCCTCCAAGGGCAAGACGTCCGTAGCCCTCGACGCCCAAGACCCCCACACGGCTACAACCTCCAAGGAGAAAACGACCTCATCCCGCCTCGCTGCCTCCTCCGCCTACCCCCGACCCAGCGTGGTTCTCTCCTTCCCCTCTCCGACGTTCAGCTTTGGCCAAGCCCGACAGCCGCGCGGCCCACGGAATGCGCCCTCTGCCCCCTCGCACGACCCTGTCACTGAACCCGCCCTTTTTTTGTTTTCGCAGGTACGACAAGAGCTCTTTCAGTCCGGCACCCGAGACTAAGATCAAGACTCATGCCAAGACCAGCACCACCGTCTCACACCGCGTGAAAGGCGCCGCTTTAAAGGTACGGCCATCCGTTTAAAGCCCTGCATGCTTGTTGGGGATGCGTGCGTGTCGTGTGTTTTGCTTGGGCGGTCTTCCTCGCAAGGCCAAGTTGCCGCCATGCCGGCCCCCTCTCCCCCTTCGCATGCCCCGGTCTCTGAACCCGCCCTTTCTTGGCTTTCGCAGGTACGACAAGAGCTCTTTCAGTCCGGCACCCGAGACTTAGATCAAGACTCATGCCAAGACCAGCACCACCGTCTCACCCCGCGTGAAAGGCGCCGCTTTAAAGGTACGGCCATCCGTTTAAAGCACTGCATGCTTGTTGGCGATGCGTGCGTGTCGTGTGTTTTGCTTGGGCGGTCTTCCTCGCAAGGCCAAGTTGCCGCCATGCCGGCCCCCTCTGCCCCCTCTCATGACCCTGTCACTGAACCCGCCCTTGCTTTGCTTTCGCAGGTACGACAAGACACAAGAGCTCTTCAAGGCGGCATCTGACACTAAGACCAAGACTCTTGCCAAGACCGAAAGCAATGTCTCATCCCGCTTGAGTGAGGTCAAGGACGCAGAGGGGCAGAGGTAGCGGAGCACGCTTGGCTATCCCCCCCTTCTGCAAACGGATTGAGCCTTCGGTTGTTGCCTGGGCAGCTGGAGTGTTCAACTCCCTCTGGGACCGAATAGCAGTGGAGGCGCCGTGTGGCGCAACTGACAGCCAGTCTGCGGCAGAGGGGGCCTCGGAAGGCACATAGGCACTTGAGCGGTGTAGGCATGCGGTCGACCTCTTTTTCCTCGTATGCTGGTTCTTTAAGCTGGCGTGTACCGCACGTGTGCGACCCACGGGTCTTAGTTTGCGGGCTCGTGCCTGAAGATATGGTTAGTTTGCGTTAGGCGTTGGGGAGTTCTTCATGCTTCACTTTGTTTGGAGATGGCCGCAGAGAGATGTTGTGGGTGTAGATCATTTGGCATATGCATAGCCGCTGTTTATCTGCTGGACATTTGCAAGATGTAAGATGCTTTCCTCCCTCCCCTCCTTGTGCAGGAGGGGAGGGCACCGTGCGGCTTCTCTGCATGGCACGTGTTGCACGAAAATAGTTTCCTACCTCGGTTTCATCAGCGGCCTAGCTGGGGCTTGTGGCATAAAGGGACACAAACTTCAACAGTACCAGGCTTCGTCCCAAAGTTGCCTTAGGCTTGCAAACCCTCCGCCTTTACTAGCGTCCCACTCGTACAATACACTCGTACAATGCGTACCTACGTTACAACGCCCCATACCACAATACACCAGCTGCAACAAGTTACAGCTCAACGCGAGGACCATATGACGCTACACAACAACATTGATCGAAGTTCGCATGACCATACTCTCCACCCAGCCCATACAATCGCGACATTGTCAAACTGCAAATCACATATTGATGGCAAGTATGGAACGCCGAACCGAGACAACGCCACATTGGACGGTGACAACATCAAATTCAAATAATTCCTACCTAATATTGACAGATGAAGGTTCCGGATCCCGGTCGGTAAAATTAACCCCGCCAGCCTTTGGAAAGCCAATGGTACGCTGATCCCCGCCCATCGCTATTATGCGAGACACCGGCAGCAAGATGTGGAGGTGTCCTGGTATACTTGTATCCGTCACGTTGACTTATTCAGGCCAAGTATTATCAACACTCACGAGTAGTCGACAAGAGCTACCCCAGAGTAAACAAAAAGGACTCCCTATCCCTGAAAGCCAACCCTGGCCCTACCAACGAAGGGAGGGCGCTATGTGCCCAGGTGCACCAGATGATCCATCGCATCGCTGTATAATATACACAACCGCTGTTGGAAGCAGGTGGGAGCCTCGAAAAGCGGATCAGCTTGTACGACAAAACTGACCCATCCCAGCATTCCACAACGATGGACATAACGGTTAATGGGCACCACAATCTGCGGCTTTGCATGTCCACACATGACATAGTTGACTTTAAAGCTTTAAGATAACGCTCTCAGTACATTAATTAACGAGCCTCTGAAACAGAGGTTACGAGCATTCTCGCCGTGATATATAATAAGATACGTATACGAACCGTAAGAATCATCTCTCGCACTGTCTTTTTCTCCCTCCGGCATCTCTCCCCATCTCCCGCAGCTCATGAGCTCCTGCATGCACCATTCCTCGCCTCTATCTTCCCTCTCACCTCCCTCCACCCGTATTCCTCACCCCTCTCAGTTCACTACTCCTTTCGTGCATTCCTGTCGACGGCAACACCACATGCTGTCATGCGCATGCCCGTAACACCTTTGCGCTACTTTTACTACTTTGCTAGCACCTATCCCAGCTCATCATTTGTCTTGGTCCCACTCTGCCCAGCTAATCCTTGGTGCTCAGTTCGCCATACTCCGCAGTCAGCTCCATCAGGGTTTCGGAGCCCAGACCCGCCAGCAGCTCCGGATGAGCTGCCAGCAACTGCAGGGGGTTAGGGGGTAATGAGGAGAAGGCTGCTGGCTGCCCGGGTACTGATGACCCATGGGTCGGCGACGAGGCGGCGGCGGTCGCAGCAAAGGTTGCTGCCAGTGACGCGAGGCATCGAGTGAGGGTGAGGGGGTCGGTGAAGTCCGGAGTGGCTTCCAGGATGGCGCAGGGGGAGGGGCAGCCGGATAGGAGGCGGAGGACCTGGGGAGTGTCGCGAGGAAGGGAAGGCAGCAAGGTACATGGCAGTTATGGGGTTACGCCATTACAGGCTAACATTTAAGCGGTGGGGAAGGAGATGAAGAGGACATGACGTAAAAGAAAGAGGGGTGAAACAGGAAAGGGAGGGAGATGCAGGGTGCACGGGGCAGCAGGACTGCAATACCGGAACCGAGAGGGGCGATTGGTGGTGCAGGGGGGCCAGCGGGGGGGCAGCCGTGATACCGGAGTGGTCGCGACACAAGGTCACACGCACTCACCTCCTGCGCATCCTGCCTCAGCCGCTGCGGGGGCAGCAGCAGCAGTCGGGGCCGCTTGAAGACCAGCTTGAAGAGGTCGGCGGCTGGGTAGAGTGACTTGAGGCTGTTGGGGCGGGGTGGCGGGGTGGAGCACGCAAACGCTTGTCTTGGGACGGATGTAGGGAGTTGCTTGGCACTGTGTGCAACACTACGTAAAACACTGCCGACAGCAACAACATATAACAGGTAACTTGACGTGAGGAACAACCTTAGTAGTAGCAGCAGCCGGACCGGGCGATTGTCGGTGTGTCATCCTTTCCCACCACCACCACATCCACCGCCCTGCACTGGCAGCAACACCCCCCCAGGGGGCCCCACCCGGGTTGCTCATCCTCCACCCTCCACAGCCACCCGCGCTTCCCTCGTTTCAACCAACCGTGTCACCCCTAGCGTGTTGCCACCAACACTCAACGCAAGCTTCTCCATCTCCCTTCCACCCCTGCCACCAACGACTCACAGGATGAGCTTGTCAGCCACAGCGGTGATGTCGGACGCCACCGTCGCCTGAGGGGGGAGCAGCGGGAGGAGGGAGGATGGATGACGAATTGACAATAGCAGGGGAGAGGTGATGGGAGGTGGGAGAGGAGGTGCGGGAAAGGAAAGAGGACACGTTGCCGGTGATAGGGACACGTGGAAAAGGACACCGTAGGAAAGGTACAACGTTGCTGCCGTCGCAGCACTCCACCCATATCCCCCGCCGCCCACCCACCGACACACGAGCCCCCGCCACCGCTACCCACTCACCGCTGCTATTCACCCACTTCAGCCACTCGCTTGGCGTTCCGCGGCGCTGGCGCGGAACGAAGCGCCCTCCGCCCTCCTCCCGCACCAGCAACCACTCTCCTCCCGCTGGCCCGCCTACCCCGCCTAGCGACCCAGCCAGTGGTGCAACCCAGTGCCATCGACCACCCCCCCTGAACCTCCCCCACACCACCCCACACCTCTGGTTCCACTCGTCATACGGCTTGTCCGTTTCCTCTCTTAAACCTGTTTTTTCGTGTCGGGTGTTATCCACCCGCCCGCCCGCCCGTCCGTCCCCCCACCCACCCAGTCGCTGGGCTTCATGCGGTGCAGGCTGAGCACCCCGGGAAGCAGCGAGTCGAGCTGGGCCAGGCCGCCGCGGACCACCTCCTCCGACAAACCCCGCCGGCGACCCGCCTGCAGAGGGGTGCGAGGGGGGAGCCGCAGGGGGAGGGAGGAGGCGGAGGGTGGGATAGGGCGGTTGATGTCGTGGTGGTAAGGAAGCAATGTGGGTCGGGATAAGGGGGCATGAAACGAAGTAGGGTGAGTGGTGTTGCTGCTGCTGGCAGTTTTCGAGGTTAAGCGTCTGTGTGAGCAGAACTCACGTCGACGACCTCCTGGACGTCTTTGACCCTGCGTCGACGCTCATGCTCGCTTGGCGGGATGGGGGCCGGTCGCTCTGCAGCGTATAGCTGACTCATGCTGAAAGCTTGTTCATAGCGGCTCTGCATGCTATCATGTAGTGCTGCGGTGCTGGCAGTTGGAGGCGGTGGAGCTGGCGCCGCGGAAAACTCCTGCTGGTCTTCGCTTGCATCCATCTCCATTGCTGGATTTTGACCGGCGTCTACGGTGACAGCAACCGTGCCTTGCACGTTGTTGTTCTTGGAAGGTACACGTAAGCGACTAGCCGTCTTTGGTTGAGGAGTCCAACCCCTTAGGCAAAACGAAGGCTTCACAGGGAGGTGCTTGCAGGACCCTTCAGCCTGACGCGAAGCATGGAGTCTTAACGGCGCTGCTCTCGTAACATGCTTCTCCGTAAGTTGCACACAGTACAATGCAGAGGCTCCTCTTGATGAGCTTGTCAAGGCCATCTGCGTTAACTGAAATGCCTGTTTGCAATTCCAAGTAACTGTCTCGGCTATGTGTTGCAATGTGTGCTCTCTAAGCAATTGTATACGCCTGAATGTTTCCCATGGTTGATTCATGCTAACCCTTTCTGCACGGCAGTCGTAAGTATCTATAACTTGGGACCATGCGCTTTCTCAGGTGCTGAGCATTTCGTTGACACCAGAGGTGTTTGTAAGACATTTTGCGTAGCTGCTTTTCATGTGGGGCGGCTTATCGGCATAGTCTTACTGTCCCTTGGTGCAACGAACGCTCATTTTGTGGTTTAGGCACCCGACATCACTAGCACCGCTTCCTAGTGGTACACCTGGTTACCCCAATCCTTAGGGGCGCCGCCACCCTTGCCAAACCTACAACAAGGCGCCATCACGAAATAGGCATCTGTGCAAAGGCCTGAAACGGCGACAAATGTCCCCAGCTCCCCGAGAGATTGCTAGACAAACCGCTGAGCATTCTGGGCGGCTGTTGGGCTCACGGGCTACTCACACAGCAGTGCCAAGCAAGGAAGCTGGTGAGGAGGCTGGGAGGTGGTCTTACGGTGCCATCGCGGCAGCGGCAGCTTCAGCAGCAGCTGTTGCAGCGGCTACAACAGCAACGATAGGGTCGCGCGGAATGCCTTCTGAGGACGCGCCGCCCATCGCGTCGACAAGCTCGGGTGCAGAGGAAAGCTATGACGGCCTTTCATTTGTTTCGGTAAGCTGTGCCGTTAAGCTGCTTACGTTCATTATATCCCATGCAACTGCATGGTGTCGAGTTGCCTTTCTTCGTGACGTTGCGTTCATGACTCAGGGCGATGCGCAGTGCTTAAATTTATAATATTCTGGTGCGCTCAAGCATATCCCCGAGAGTCTCTTTTTAGATGTGCTCAAACTGAAAGCTCACGAAGGCGACCCTTGCCGACATGGGTCGCGTGCTGGCATCCGTGCATTCGCCTCTGTAAGCCGCGCAACCTACCCCCTGTTCCCTCCATCTCTTGTCCACAGCATATGCTGGCGGGTTCGATCGCGGGGACAGTCGAACACACAGCCATGCATCCAGTAGATACCATTAAGACGAGAATGCAGGCGCTACACCCGCCAGGGCACTCCGGCTCTATGGTAAGCTTACGGAGGATTGCAACCTTAGGGGAAATGGCAACGGTACTGCTATTGCCTTCAGGCTCTCAATTGTCTCAGTATCTCAGTGCCGCGCCTTCTCATCACCAATTTTTCAGCTTTCCTCATCGGTCCACAACCCTGCCTACCAACCGCAGATATCTCGGTCATCTCTTCGCCAAATGGTTCGGACGGTGCTGCAGCAGGACGGAGTGGCGGGCCTCTACCGGGGAGTGGGGCCGGTTGCAGCAGGGGCAGGGTGAGTCCGGGCGCGTGGGAGCCGGGTGATGTGGGTTGGCGTCAGCGGTGCCGGAGAACGTGTATCCGGGGTGGGTGGGTGGGTGAGATGTGACTGGGCATGGTGCTGCAACCATGGGATATGACAGGAGCTGTTGACAGGTCAGTCCTGGTGAGAATGCAAGGAGCAGGAGTTTGGGGTTTGAAGGAGGAGGAGAGGGATGCCGAGTGGGAAGCCATCTGAAATCTGTTGAGGGCAGCGTGTATGACGGGTTGGCGGGCGTGGGGAGCACTGACCTCGCCTGCCAAGAGGGAAAGGAAGCACTGGTATGGGCGCGGAAGGGCCAGCACGCACCCTCCTACCCGGTCACCCCGCCACACCCCCTCCCCACTCGCCCTCTTTGATCGTGGCGCTTTCGGTGGGGACTTTCACCTTGACCCAATTACGTTCCTCCTCGCGGCCATTTTCCTTCACATCACCCCCTCCCCACTCCTCTCCTGCCCCTCCCCACTCCCCACTCCCCCTCCTGCCCCTCCCTCCTTACTCCCCACTCCCTTCCCACCTTACTCCCCACTCCCCTCCCTGCCCCTTCCCACTCCCCTCCTGCCCCTCCCCACTCCCCTCCATGTCGCTCCCCTCAGCCCCGCTCACGCGCTCCACTTCGCCATGTACGAGTGGGCCAAGGAGGCGCTGGGCGGCAACCGGCAGGGGCTGCACCCGCTGGAGACGGCGGCGGCGGGGTGCGTGGCCACGGTGGTGAACGATGCGCTGATGACGCCCGTGGACAGCGTCAAGCAGCGGTGCCAGGTGGGTGGGAGAGGTGGAGGGTGGAGAGGGGTGTGTGGGGGGGTGTTGAGGGAGATGATGTCAGGCGTGGGGAGGGGTGGAGGTGGGGGTGGGGTAAAGCGGTGCCAGGTGGGGTGTGGCGAGGTGAGGCACGGAAACTGATCGCATGGCCCATGGTGGGTGAGGGGAGCGAGCAGCGGACATGGTGGGAAACGGGAGCAGGGTAAGAACAGGAGTAGCGGGGCTGCGTCAGTACCGTGGGGTGCGGTGGCGGGGTGGCGGTTAGCGGTTGAGCCGGGAGGGAAGCGGAGTGGGCTGCTTGACAGCGGGGGGCATGCGGTTGCTGGGTGGGCTAGGGGCGCTGATGGGCTGTACCGGGAGGGGAATGCTGGCTGTGTGTCGGGGAGGGTGAGGTGTGGGCAGCAGTGGTGCAAGGGTGCGAAGCGGCTGGGGTGAGGGTCTGGGAGGTGCCGGATGGGGACAAGGGGTGGGGACATCGGAAAGGGGCGAGACACGAGGTCCACTGTTCCAGGAAGAGGACAAGAGGACATTGGTAAGCGGGCGGCAGGCGGCCGCATCAACTTCCCCCCTCGCGTGCTTACACATCCCCTCCTGCTTACACGTCGCCTCCCCCATGCCCTCCCCTTCCTTCCGCCTCTCTTCCCGCACACAGCTCGAGGGCTCTCCCTTCCGCGGCGGCCTGGACGCTGCCCGCCACATGCTGCGGCACGAGGGGCTGGGCTCCTTCTTCCGCTCCTACCGCACCACGCTGGTCATGAACGTGCCCTTCACCGCCATGCACTTCTCGGTGTACGAGACGGCCAAGAAGCTGATCCACCAGGGTGAGGGGGGTGAGGGGAGGTGAGGGGGCCAAGATGGCGAACATGGAGGGAGCATGGCGGGAGGGGCGTGCATATAGGCAGGTTGTAATGGGTGCTGCTGTGGCGTTGAACTTTCTTCTTCTCCAGTGACCCACCAATCCGCTCCCCTGCCCCCGCCCCCCGCTGCTCCCCCCCTTCAAGGTGAGGACGAGGAGACGCTGCGGGTGCAGCTGGTGGCGGGCGGGCTGGCTGGCGGCGCGGCAGCGGCGGTGACCACCCCGCTGGATGTGGTGAAGACGCGGCTGCAGACCTGCGGAGCTGTCGACCCCTCGAGATATGGCAGTGTGGCAGTGGTAAGGGTGTGGGGTTTGCGGGAGGGGTGGGAGGAGGGGTTGGGGAAAGGAGGCGGAAAGGGCGTTGTGAGGGGCTGGGATGGGAGGGGCAGCGTGTGTGTGTTTTGAGCTGGATGCGACAGCTTGGCGTTGTAACAGGACGTAGGAATGATGAGTTGATCTGGGTTGATGCGGGTTGTGAGAGCTATAGGGCAAGCTGGCAAAGCCCTACAGCTGCGTCCCTGCTGCTGCTGCTGCTGTCGCCGCTGCTGCTGCTGCCGGTCCCTCTGGGTGCTTTTCCTTTTCTCAACGCTCCTTCCCTCTTTCGCCCGCGCGCAGTTGCCCACGCTACGTCAGATTGTTCGCGAGGAGGGGGTGCAGGCGCTGTGGCAGGGCATCAAGCCGCGGGTGCTGTTCCACATCCCCGCAGCGGCGGTGTGCTGGGGCACCTACGAGAGCATGAAGAGCGTGCTGCGAGGATAATGAGCGGGTGGTGATGAGGGATGTAGGGGTCTGCGGCTGCTACGGCTGCTAGGCACTGCTGCTAGGGCTACCAGAGCTGCAAGGGCTGCGGCTGGGGCTGGTTCTGCTACTACTGCCGGGTTGTTTATCAGGTGTCGTCGAGGGGTTCGGCGGGAGAGCGACGAGAGGGGACGCGAGGGGTGCCGTGCTGCAGGTTCAGAAGAGCTCTGTGCCTACATGAGGCGGCGGTGGAGGAAGTGGAGGAGGAAGAAAGCAGGTTTCTGGTAGGAAACTGAGTTAGGATTGCATGCGGCATTGGGCGTGACTGCTGGCCTTGCGAAGCTTGTAGCGGCAAAGGCCTGGGAACCTGTTGGGGCGAGGAGAGCGTTCGTGACTCTTCGCAGCAACGAAGCAACAGCAGCAGCAGTGTGGGTGACTTGAGAGGCATGGTCGCCTCATTCCAGGCTGACAGGCACAGGCCCCATGGGGTGCTGGAGGACCAGGGTGTAGATTGCTGGAAGCGAAGAGGGCCGTGGGGCCGCGCTACGAGGGGGCTGCGGCTGTGGATTGGGCTTTAGGAGCAGGAGAAGGTAATGGTAAAGGCTGTATTAGGCGCACGTGATGGTAACGCGGGAGTGGTTTCCTCGCCCAAATCCCCTCTTGCTCGCATGAACGGTGTTTTGGTACGCTTGCGCCGTGTGATGAGGGCAAGTGTCTATAGTGTTTTTGCAGACACTTATTTTGGTTCGATAGTAGCCATTGCGTTCCAGCGCAGGAGGATCCGTAAACGTCAGTCCCCAAAACGTACTGTGTCCACCAAGGCCCATACCTTGCCCTGTACTCTCAATTCTACCCACCAACCTTTTTCACGATGTACTCTCAATTCTACCCACCAACCTTTTCCACGATGCGTTTTGCTGAGTTCGGCACAATTCGCAAATTGATACCGGTAGTTGATGCCGTCGGCTCCTATGTGCCTAACTAAAGTTTCGAGAAAGTAAGTGGAATATTGATAGCCTACATTTGCGTCCACATGATATCTGGCAGCAGGCTTACATGGCTAGGCAAGGGTAGGTGCCAACTATCTACCGAAGCTATAAGGCCTTCATGACTATATTTCATACGGAAATAGTTCGTTACGGTTTTGCACTGTGTCATCAATCCGTTAGCGTAACCTTCAGTTACGGTTCCAGTTTCGTTCACGGCGCTACAGGGCGAGGTACGACATTGAACGTCCAGCGATAAATGCTCGAAAAGCCATGCCCTATGTTATTACCACAGCATACGATCACTAACGAGCTATGCGGCTTTGGCCTTCGCTTACTTCAGAAACGGGTGTGAAGGCCTCCACACTGCGACGTATTGCCGGGACCAAGGTAAGTCTTTTGCAAGCCTTTGCAGATCTTCTACGATGACTGTCTATCCAACTCTGCTGTTAGTCACTTCTCGCTGTTTTGCTTCTGTGACAATGGTCTGCAGGTTTACGCTCCATCCTTTGTTGGAGCAGTTCATGAACCTTTGCTTGGCAAAGCATGTTAAGGTGGCAACGAGTGTGCTTGTAACTAAAGGTTGAGATTGCTGAGGGTCGAGGTCGCATCGATGCATTCCTACCAACTGACTGGCTTTGTTCACTTTTTGCAGGCCTGCGTGCTATCATTAACTGCTCGAGTACTCTCAAGGCCACCTCATCAAGCTTTGCCGGTATGAAGCGTTGGGCAACCTTTAGCGTCAGCAGTTTTAGCTTCAAACATAGTGCTTTGCCGCTCTCTACTATATAGTTTTTAATACAAGAATAAATAAGTCCATTGGCAGCTCGTTTTGTTGGTGGCGCGTCAAGCATCCGCCGATGGACATCGGCTCCGCTGAATGCGCTAGTGCTTACGGTAATGATGTTCCCTACGCTGCTTGCTCTCACTACGTTATCACGTGGTTATACTTTTAACCTTACAGTGGTCGCCCGTTCCCTTGTTCAGACTCATGCCAAGACCAGCATCAACGTCTCACCCCGCGTGAAAGGCGCCACTTTTAAGGTACGGCCATTCGTGTAGAGCACTGCATGCTTGTTGGAGATGCGTGCGTGTCGTGTGTTTTGCTTGGGTGGTCTTCCTCGCAAGGCCAAGTTGCCGCCATGCCGGCCCCCTCTGCCCCCTCGCACGACCCTGTCACTGAACCCGCCCTTTCTTTGCTTTCGCAGGTACGACAAGAGCTCTTTCAAGGCGGCATCCGAGATTAAGATCAAGACTCATGCCAAGACCAGCACCAACGTCTCTGCGACAGAGGGAAGAAGGCATTGGAAGGCGCGGAAGGTAGAGCTGAGCGGCATAGGCATGCACCTCTTTTTCCTCGTATACTGGCACATAGTTGCGGCGTGTACAACACGTGTGCGACCCAGAGGTCAATTTTTGCTGGCTCGTGCCTGCTAAAGGTATTGCTAGTTTGCGGTAGCCCTTTTGGGTGGTATTCATGCTATAATTCTGTAGGAGATGATGATATGTGTGAGGTGACTCGTTTGGTTTATGCATAGCGGTGGCCCATGTTTATCTTCCGGAAACATGAATGATGTAAGAAGCTTTCCTCCCTCCCCTCCTTGTGTAGGAGGGGTGGGCACGTTCCATGAGCCTCTCTGCATGGCACGTGTTGCATGGAAGTAGTTTCCTAACTCAGTAAGATCAGCGGCCTCGTTAAGAAATATGTATAGGAACACAAACTTCAGGCCTTATCCCATGACTCCTTTCGTAATGTCCCACTCCTACAGTCCCACTCCTGCAGTTACCTCAACGCCACAGGCAACGCCCAAATCAGACAGCCCCTAAAAGATCCACGGCGCCCCATAACGAATTCACCGCTATTGCCTCAAAAAGTCAACCAACCTTAACCTTTTATCGTTACCCTACGTGCGCCGGCCGCAGGCATTCGGATACGGAATTCGGATCCCCTCTCATTACGTTTCTGCGAATCTGTCAAGTGACTCTTCATGACTCCGAACGGGGCTCCGCGGAGCACTACAGCCCACCTGCAACCGCAGCGGGTGAGTCTACGGCAATGCACGCGTGAGACCACAGCAATGCACGCGTGAAACGTATCACACATCGTGCTGGTGGCACCTGTTCATACGAGTAACACGGTAACAGTATCCTCTTGCTACCACCTCGGCGGCAAAGAGTGCACCCGAAACCGCCGCTGCCACCGCCTTCTTGGGCGACGTGAACAGCACAACAAGAAGTCCTTTTCCGCCCCTCATGACAGAAACGACCATCACACCAAGAAGTCTTGTTTGCAAGTCCAAGGGTAAGATTAAAACTGACAGCACGCATCCCAGCCCCAGTTCCGAGGCCACGCCAGCAGGAACGGCCCCATGTCTGTCTCAAAAGCCGAGATCGAGAATGTCAAGTTGTCTTTCCGCTTTTCCTTCCTATATCGCATGCCTCCCGCACCCTGCCGTACCAAATTTACCATCCTTTGTACGGCATACACATACCGCCTTTCACACAACAAACACGAAAAATGGATGCTGGTTACGTTGCGCGCCACATGCGTCATGTGGTCTCCACCAAAGCGCCCTGTTGCTTCCTTGGGAGCCGTACCAAAGACATTGTTAGCCACACACCTTCAATCCCGGGTGAGGACACACCGTTCCCTTTCCCTCCAGATCGTAAACGCCGTATATTATATTGGTATATGCCCCATAATGCCCCAACCGCCCTCACTGCAGTGCCTCTCACCACTCACCAGCCATCCCCAACCGTCCCCCCACACTTCAGCCAGCTCAATCTCGCCCAACCACCACCGCCATCAACCTACACCAACACTCCAAACGCAAAACTTCTTGGCTTCCCTTAACACGCACACCACACCCCTAGGCTGCGTATTTGTACACGTGCACCTCGTCCGTGTCGTACGCCACCACTGCCACGTCATCACTGGTGGGGCCGCAGAAGGCCACTCCCGTGAGCACCGCATGCATCCAGCACACACTGAGAAGCAGGTCGGCCTGTGGGGGGGGGGGGAGGGGGGAGTGGGAGAGCAGTTGGATACCGGTAGCATGTAGCATATAGGATTACGGTAGTCGCATATGGCTGAATTAGGGTGTGATGGGTCCATGTGGGGTATGGGGGCGCTCCTTGCTTGCATGCAGGCAGGCAGGCAGACTGCAGGGTTCTCCTCGTCACAGAACTTCCAAGTCGACACTGCAGGAGGTGATCTAGGCCCCACAGACCCACGGGTCATCTGTGATCCCGCATCCGGCCGCGCGCCCCACCTTTGCTCCCCCGATTGGCAGCGCCCACACATGCAGGCTGCCGTCCTCCGCCGCGGTTGCGATGATGTCTTTGGTGGGGTGGATGGCCATGGAGGACAGCAGACGGGAGGCGGAGCCCATGTCGGCTCGCAGCTTGCCGTCGCGCTGGCAGGAGGACGGAAGACAAGAGGACCCACGGGGGAGGAGAGGGGGGAGGATGAAAGCAAAAGGAGAAAAAGAGGCTGAAGCACAAGCCCATGCCCCGACCCATGTAGTGGGTGCAACAACCGAAATCACGAAAGGGCAGCCCATTCAGCTTACATGACAGTACCCGCGGCCAACCTCCACCCCTCCATGCTTCTCATGACTATCCACACACACTTCTCTCCACCACAACTGGAGGCTGCCGTACTCACCAGTCCGTACAGCTGTACTGCGCCGTCCAGCCGTGCAGCCACCACAATGTCCCGCCGCACAGCCACCGAAACCACGGGTGTGCCGGAGGGGGGGATGCTGGTGAGCAGCTTGTAACCGGGGCCGATGCTGAGCGCCTCCCACACCGCTATGCCGCCCTCCTCGTCGCAGGTGACCAGGTTGCAACCCAGGTCCTCCGTCCACTTGCCCTGAGCGGGGGAGGGGGGGGAGGGGAGGGGGTGAAAGGTGGGAGAGGAAGGGAGGGAGGGAGGAGGGGGGTGAGGCAAGAGGGAGGAGAGGGGAGCAATGATGAAAGCACAGGAGTACTAAAGGCCCCAACCATCCGCACACCTGTCTTGACCCGCTTCTCACACCCACCTCTGACCTGACCCCATCCCATCCCTCCCCCCTCCCAACCCCCACGCCTCCCCCATGTGGACGCCTTATCCCTCAGTCAGTCAGTTAGTTGTTTCCTCTTTACCCACCCACCCGCCCCTCCTACCCCCACCCACCTGTCGGCTCTGGTAGGCTGAGCCGATCGCTGTGATGGGTGACTTGTGGTGTGCCGGGAGTGCGGCGGGCGCCCCCTTGAACCGCCCCTCCCTCTCGTTCAGTGGCAGGCAGAACAAGCTGCCGGAGGAGCTGCCGAACACGACGTGCGGCGTGCCGTCGGCGGCCACGTTGATGGCGGCGGCGCGAGCGAAGGTAGAATGTCGCAGCGAGACGTCGAGTGAGGCGGCGGCGGGCAGGGGCGCGACGTACAGCAGGTGGTAGGCGGAGCTGTCCCAGATCTGGTTGGGTGGGAGAGGCAGGTGGGGGTGGGGGATTGGTGGGGGTGGTAATGAAAGCGTGGGTTGGGGGCTTGGGGTCGGGTTTCTTTAAGGTTACGAGGGAATTCGTTGTTAGTTAGCGTGCCGTACCGCCGTACCTGCACTCCTGCGTCTGTTGCGAGCACTATGAAGGCGAATGCGTTGTGGGAGCAAGCGGTGACGGAGTGGATGACGTCACCCAGCTTTACGTCACCTAGCTGCGACTCAACCTGTGGGGCGGAGCGGGGGCAGCGGGGCGGCAGAGGCGGGAGGTCCTTCGCTTGGCGTTGGCGGGATCGGGGTGAGGTTAGTAACACAGCGGATCCTGCTGCTGGTAAAAGGGTAAAGTGGGCATGGAGGGAATTGGCATGGAGGGAGGCTGGAGCCGCGGCGGATATATCGCTAAATGACGGTCGAGTACGGTACTAAAGCACAAATAAGAACGAGCTTGGCAAGGGGAGCTAAAGCGGGGTAAGGCGCCCAGTGGAAGATGGTAACTGGTACGAGGCATGGAAAGGATGGGTGGGAGGAGAGAAGGGAGCCCTTACCTTGCGGACATCCACAGGCACTCCAGAGGCCTTCATACCTGATAGCGCAAACGTACACGCCTGTGGAGAGGTAAGCATGTCAAGTTTGCAAGAGCCTCACGAACTGCTAACCTAATGAGTGCACGGGTTGCACGTCGTGCACACGAAGAGCTAACCTCTCCAAGAGAGGCGTCCAACAGAGTGAGCCAGTATACTGCTTATATGAATAACGACCTCTAACTAAGGGTATTTGGAAAGGCAGCGAAGAAACCAACAAGAATTCGACGCCTCACCTGCCGGATGTGGGCGTATAACAGGCTCCCTTCACATGCTGTGAGGTTATTGTAGATCAAGGACGGTGAAGGCTTCATGGGAGCCTGCACTCAGGACATGCACAAATTCCCCTTTGCTGTGCCTTGAGCAATCGCCCATTCTGCTGGCTCCCATGCCCGGAAAAGCTATGCCCACCTTCACCATTTGTTTATCTGCGTAAGGCATTGTCACTGTTGTGTCTCAGGACAGCCGATTGGCCGACAAGCTACAAGTTGGGACCTTCTTCTTCCTCTCAGCTATCAAGCCTTATAGTGAGGCAAGCATTCGATGAACCTGTAATGCACCAAATTGCCCAAAAAGTGACTTGATCGCCATTCACCGGTCGCTGAAGACATGCACGTACGGCAGCAACCGTTTCTGTCTCATGCAGGTGCGTTCGTAGGTCACCTTTCTTGCATCATGAACACGAAGCTTTAGACTGATTATTGCCATTGAAGATCAATTTGAAACCTGCATCGAGGCAAGCTCACGACTTGCCGAGCACTTTGCGGTTGGGTTGGCCTTGTAGCTTTGCACAGCTGTCGTGCTTCACCAAACTCCATTTCACTTTCACCTTCCACTGCGGTTAGTACAGATCTTGTAACCTGCCGGTGCGGCAGGCTAGGATGCTGCGCTCTCCAGCGCAGCTAGCGCATCAGCGCACCAGCGCCCAGTCATCTAGAAGACGACTAGCATCTAGACAGCTGAGTACATACTCAGCAACGTGGATCAGGCCGGCTCCATGCACCAGCCGGGCTCCGGCGCTTCAATGCCGCGCCAGCAACTCGGACCCCGCCAAACAACCGAAACCTGGATTCCTGGGTTCTATCTTTAAGTAAGCTCCCAAAATGTCGGTCTCTAATGTATACCAGGCAGCTTCTGATGCTACTAAGAGCCTCATGCCCCCGCCTGTTTCCCCTGCCTGCCCTTTGTACCCAGTAGAACGACTTGGTTGCTTTAGACGTCCCCCACCGGGCACCCCTCGTCCCCTGTACCGCTAATGAAGCTATAGCGAGCTTCGCCTTTCTTAACCACACGTGTTCATCTCATCACGTACGATAGACGGCGTAGATGGAGCAACCGACGCCCTACACGAACACGCCTATCGCAACACTTACAATCAATGCATCAACTTCGTTCCCCCAAACCCCAATACAATTCAGGTCTCTTTCCGACTATGGCATCGGCCGCAAAAGCCTGTTGGAGGGCGGTGTGGGGTTGTTCCTGCTGGCTGGCGCTGGTGCGGGGGTGGCGCTGGTGGCATGGGCGCGAGGAAACGCGCTGCGCACGGGGACGCCGTACAATGCGACCATCGAACTTCCACTAGCATGCGGCATCACGGTACGCACACGTGCACGCAGGGTTTCGAAACACAGGTTTCGCGGATGGAAGCTGCTTAGGAGTGAAGAAGCCGCGCTGCTTGGGGGTTTGTTGCCACAACAGGGTTAGGCCTGGGAGTGGTGGTGGTATAACAGTCATGCTTCTCACTTCCTCCGATGTGCCTCGCGTGGCGGAGCGAGCCAGCATATGACAAGAACCAAACAGAAGTCTGCTTCAATCCCTTTCTTTGGCGCTCGTTCACGCGTGTTGGTCTTAACCTTTCCCTGTGCATTTCCTCAGCTCCTTTCTCTCATCCTGTGCCCGCTGCCCCTGTGTCATCCCCACAATCCCGCCTGCTCCCACCACCGCCAGATCGGAACCCCGCTCCGAATCCGCGGCGTGCAGGTGAGGCCACTGGTGGCGGCGGCAGGGGGGTGGGTGGGGTGGACCCAGGCGGAGGGGGGGTGCACAATATGTTCACTAGCATAGTTCAGTAATATACAGCGACCAGTTCGGGCACATTCAGGGAGAGGATCAGAGCGACCCATGGGACACGCGGAACCCCTGACCGTTGTAGGAAAACACCTTTTGACCCCGAATACACCTGAAAACTCAAAACGGAAAAAACCGTAAGACCGGCATGCCGTACAAACCCAGCTCTCCATGCCCTGCCATCTCCCCCTCTCCCCCCCTCTTCCCCCCAGGTGGGCCAGGTGCTGGCAGTGAAGCCCTCCCTGGAGCGAGTGGACGTGCTGGTGGAGGTGGGCGACGTGTCCTCCGTCATCCCGCGCAGCTCCGTCATCGAGGCCAACCAGTCGGGACTCATAGCGGAGCCGCTGCTGGACGTCACACCGCAGGTGGGTGGGGTTGGGGGGGGTTGGGGGGGGTGAGGGGGGGGAAGGGGGGAAAGACTGACGGGAAGTGCAGCACCTGGGGGACCTGGAGGTGGAAAGACAGGATCTAACTGGCGAGCTGTGTGACATGGGGTGCAAACATGGTGGAAGGGGGAAGGTGTGTGTGGGAGGGGGTGGGCTTGGGCTGTGTGTGTGTTTAGGAAACTGACGGGGTTATTCCGCTGTGCGTGCCTCGTAGTGTCCCCGCCCCCTCCACACGCAACCGCGCCCCCGTGTTTCCGCCCCTTGCCGCTTGCGCACCCCCGCCCCTCACCCACTCTCATTCCTCTCGCCCCTCCCTCCCCCTCCCCCTCCTCCTCCTCCCCCAACAGCTCCCCGTGCCGCCCTACACCGCGCTGCCCCACGACCCCCGCTGCGGCGAGGAGGGGGTGCTGGTGTGCCACAACGGGCGCATCGCGGGGCGGCAGGGCGTGGCGCTGGACGACCTGGTGTACATCATGACACGGTATGGTTGGGGGGGAGGGGGGAGGAAACTGACGAGGGTTGTGTTAAGAAAACTGGCCACGAGTAGGAACGTACTGTGATTGTCGGGTCAACAGCCGACACTGTATCCACTTTCATGTGCTCCCCGCCTCTCCCCGCTCCCCCCAGTCTTGCCCGGCAGGCCGAGTCGGACGGTGTGGACAAGGTGTTTGCGGCCGCCGAGTCCGCCACCGCGCTGATGGAGGCGGCGGGCCCGCTGGTGGCCACCGCCAGCCAGCTCACCGAGCAGCTGACACCACTGCTGGCGGAACTGAGGGGGGGAGGACTGGTGGGTGGGGGTGTGGGGGGGGGGGGGGTTGGGGGGGTGCCAGGCAGTTATACCAGGCACATAGGTGGTGGTGGTGGCACTGGGATAGGGTGTGTAGGCACCTTTTCAAAAGATTAAATGGCTCGGGGCCCCTATTATCCCCAGTACCCGACCCAACCAACCAAACCCGCACCCTCCCCCGCACACACACACACACACGCGCACACATCCCCAGGTTGGCAACGTGGAGGCCCTCACTCGCACCGCCTCCGACGCCGCCGCCGACATCCGGCGACTGCAGTCCGCCGTACTGACGGAGGAGAATGTGCGAGCACTACGGCAGGCGGTGCTGACAATTTGCAAGTGAGTGCACCCGGGAGAGCTGCCGAAAAGCAGGAAGGAAGGGTGCACGCAGTGCGGAAACAGCTGCAGTACCGTTAGAGCAGTGTACGGCAATAGCAGCGGCAACAACCTGACACCTGGGAGCGCTGTAGCTGTATTGCAGTCACTCCCATCACCACACCCCTGCTCGTATCCTTCCTTCCCGGCTCCTCCTCTTCCCCCCCCCAAACACATTCAACACGTTGGGACTTCTTCTTTCCCCTTTCCTTCCCCCCCCTTTCCTGCAGGACGCTTGACAACGTGGAGAGCATCAGCAGTGACGTGTCTCTGTTGGCTCGCGACAGCGGTGTGCAGCGCAACCTCAAGACGCTGGTGCAGGCGCTGTCGCGGCTGCTGGATGATTGATGAGCGGGGGGGGGGGTCAAAAGACCATACCGAACCATAGGGGGGAGTAATGCGGGATGCGTAATCCGGATTAGGATGGAGAGTTGACTAAAGGGAAAGGGAGGAGGAGGGTTAGCAAAGGGAAGCAGAGGAAGCCTGTCGGGATTAAGGGAGGGGCTCCGAGGCGAGGGGGTGTGAGGGAGACCAGGAGGCCTCCGTACACCGGGAGTTGATGCTGAGTGTTGTTGTGGCCAGTGGCACGTGCAAGAGAGTTGTTGGGCAGGAGTGAGGAGGGTTAGCAGGATGGGAAGGGGCAACACACACCGCGTAAGGGAGGGAGTATACGTGGTGCGAAAGGGACCATGTTTCCCGCATATGCTTTGTGAGGATGGCCCCTCGGTGTACGGCAGATCCAATGTTTCAATCGCTCCATGACCGCAGGTTGTCGTTCATGTCTCTTGTCATTATGACGTGCTAGGCAGCTGGTGTGGTTTTGCGTGGCCCTTCTGCTGCTGCTTCGTAGGTTGCTGCGCACATGCAGGGTTGCAAGTCAAACCATTCAGCGCACATTTGTTGCGGGAGTACGTCGGTAGACATCTCCCGTATGTCGTGCGTCCGTACATATAGCAGTTACTTAGCTGACTGTTAGGCAGGTGGCTGTGCGGATATGGCGTTGGCGGGAGATCAAAGAATTTATGTGGAGGTGTTTATGCGTGGGTAAGCGTTTGTGCTGTTGGGAGAAGACGGAGACGCCGGCTGGGATTAGGCAAACAGACTAAGGAATGACAAAGAGAGTTATTTTTAGCGAAAGCGAATGACGAACCCACGCCTATGTGCCCTGTCCAGCCTTGCGCGGCTGTCGTAAGGAGGAAACCATGCTTTGGTTTTTAGCTTAGTGACTGAATGCCTTCCGTGTAGGACTTGCTGTCACGTGTCATGCAAAGAGTAATGCGCAGAAGACATGCGGCCGGTGGCATGGAGCAAGTACCTAGAGCCAGGACAAACATGCGGTCAGCGAAAGGGAATGGGTAGTACTAGCCGCTCCCCTAGCAGTCTCGCTTTTCATACTTCTAGAAGCGAACAGAAGGATCAAGTACAGCCGTCGGGCTCCTCCTCATCTCACCCCACCTCCTACTGCCTCCCCGCCCACCTCCCGCTACCATCTTGCGTGCCTTGCCTTGCCCCTCACGCACCCTGCTGCCACTGCCCAAGGGCAACGCGTGCGGGAACGAAGTGCGCCGTACCATTACCGCACACACACCAGCGGCAACCCTCCCTTTCCACAGGGGATAACCCTGCCTCCTACTCTCCGCAAACTGAAATGCTTCCCTACCCTGGTCCCTGGGGTCCTGCCTCTACGCTATGCTGTGCATGCGCAATATATGTTGTCGATAATACCGTCGCAAAACACACGTTACTAGACAAACACCAAACGACCCTTGGGTCAGCAAGCGTCCTTTCACAATGAAGTCACGCAGCGGCTTCCATCCACACAGCGTTCTGCGAAAATGCCGTTACACCTGCCCAGCGCTGGCGGGGGTGCCCTTTAAAACCCTAGAAAGGTGACCCCCCTCAAATCCGATAATCCCTTCCTCCCACAGCCAACACCACCACCTGCATCCCCCCACCACCGCCACCTCCACTGCGCTACACATCCAACCCCCGCGAAAAGGGACCTCACAGCGACGATCGCCACAATTTTCTCCTCCTCATTCCCCTCATCATCCCTAGCCCTCCAAGCTCTCCCGTCTCCCCGACGGGCTGCATGTCCCCGGTGCGCTGCAGTGCCCCGTGGTGCGGTGCCACACCTCCCATTCTGGTGCCGCAACCCCGTGGTACACAGCACCCACTAAACAGTAACCATGGCTCCTTACATACCGGTAACCCCCTACAAGTTCAGTTGTAAACCACGAGCAAGAAGCTGGGCGCAGAAGGCGTGGTAGTTGCTGCTGCTGCGCTGCTGGTGCTGCCTGCTCCGCTACCCAAAGTAGAAGCTGAGTGCGCGGATGGAGGGGTTGAATCCCGAGAGCACCGAGAAGGGCAGCACCAGCAGCATGAGGCCGATGGGCCACAGGAACACCTGAGAGCGGGGGTGGGAGGGGAGGCGTGTGGAGGGTGCGGGAGGGGGAACATGCGGAGAGAGGCGTGTGGGGGTGTGGGAGCGGGGCCGCAAGGTGTGGGAGAAGGGGCGAAAAGTGGACGGGTCGACGCAGAGTGAGGGGTGTCGTCCATGATGCGTGTGGCTGCATTGATTTGCTGCTCACCTCCCATGCTCAGGAATACCCTCTTATCAGCTCCTTTACTTATAAGCCATCCAACTGCTTCCACATGCACCCGACCAACCACTACCAACCCTGCCGACCAGCCCCAGTCGTACCTCCGTCCGCTCCAAGTACGGCAGCGCGCTGTACCCCAGGAAGTTCATGTAATGGTAGACGCCGAATGCAATCATGTAGAGCGCGTTGGAGAGCGCGGAGGACAGGAAACTGCGCCACAACAGCGCCGGACTGAGCAGGAACTGCAGCACTGCGGGGCGCAGGGTGGGGCGGGGAGAGGGGCCAGGGGGGAGGGGCGGGAAGAAAAAGTGGAGGGTATCAAGAAGCGTGATTGAAGACGAGGGCAGGGCAGCCGCCGGGCTAAGAAGGAAATGCAGCAGTATACAGTATAGGGAAGCTTATGGAACAGGCAGCACTAGAGTCTTGCAAAGCCGAGGTTCGCAAGACAGGAAGCGGATACACGGCTCCATAAGCTGGAGAGGAAGCTGGAGTCCAGCAGGCTCCATACATGCACGGATCGGCACACAAGGCATGGCATGCAGACGAGGACCTGGGTGACCGACAAGAAGCCCACAACACACTGCGGACAGCGCTTACCGTACAATAACAAGAACAGCGGAAAGTACGAGTTGCAGTGGACGTCGAAGGCGTACAACCTGCAGGCACGGCAGTACGGCACGAACGAGCGAAAAAGAGAGCGGTTAAGCGGTTAGTACGGCACGGAAGGCAGGGGGAGTGATGAGTAAGCAGGATGATATCCTTTATATTGGGTCCATTGGGACCGCGGAGGAAGCGGCTGCTACGTAGGCATGCGCGCCCCGTCTTACCAGTCCGGTGCCAGAGATCCGTGAATTCGCTTCTACACCCAACAGCCCCCACCCAGCCCTAACCAACCCACAGCCCCCACGAGGCCGCTGGCAACTCCATGCCCTCTCTACCTTCTTCTTTGGGGCCCATGGCCACTCATCCCTTGGGCCCCTGCAGGCCCAACGTAGCCCTACATGTTTTGTCAATCGTTTACCCTCCTCTTATTCCCATTCCATTATTTCAGCCCTGTGCGGAATACCCGTTTCCTCTACCCCCGGGCCCAGCCCCCGCCCCCACGCCACCCACCACTCCACGTGCTGCTCCACTTGGTGGTGGTGCAGGTTGCGTTTCCGCAGGAAGCGGTTCGTTATTACCCTGCAGCAGCGCAGGCGCGCAGGCATGCAGCATGCAAGGGCGGGTGACTCACAACTGACATGCAGTGTGGCATTGAAGAGGAGGGAGGTGAGGTGGGCTTGCTGACTGTGTACAACATACATGCGTGCGCCCATGCAACCCAAGTCTCTTGCCGCATGCAACGCAAAAGTGCCTCACCCAGCTAGAGGTTGGGGTGGCGGAAAGCGGTACCAAGTGGAGCAGAGGAGTCCCCAATTGCTTTGAACTGGGGATGACCCCTATACGCCATGCAGCTAGCCCCTTACCCCCCTACCCCACCCGTCCCTCCAGGAACCCCCCCCCGTGTTGTCGTACCAGCAAGTGGTTGCGATGGCGACTCCTAGCAACAAGAAATCCACCAAGACGACCGAGAGCACCGTTAGTACGGCATGCCACGCCGAGTCACCAAACCTGCGTCCGAGGAAAGCCGGCAGCGTCGGGGCGGGCTATATGGAAGAACGGTAGGAACTTAGGATGCCTTCCGACCAGAGTCCATGTCGGCTGGGTTCGGCAGGAGCCCGGATCAACCCCGATCAAGTAAGTTTGCTGATTCACTCCCGCGGCGTAGGGGGGGTTCAAGCAGGGACAGGTTGATCCGGCTTGATCCGGCGTATGGTAAACACATAGCGTCACCACAGAACAAGAATCACCACATATGACCGGATGATACAAGAATTGTGTGAGGAGTTGAAGGGGAGCCCTTGGGGACTTACACAACACAGTACGCCAGGCTCGCTATTGCCAGCAGCACGCAGCAGACCACGATGAAGGCCGGGTCGTCCCGAGCCCACTGGTTTTTCGTTTGTTTATGGTACGCTGTGTGTCGGTACCTGCACCGTAGACGGCATGATCGCTGGTTAGGACATGGCGCGGAGTCGTGCGTATCGAATGGAGACGTGCGGACTTACGCTGTCTTGGGAGAGATACATAGCTGAAGCATAAGCCAAAACGTGTATCTGCAATAGTGCAATAGCTGTTATAATTGGCCCAGCACGAAGTGAGTTAGGAGTGCTTGCGCGAACCCACTCCAGGTCCCATTGCTTCGGTTTCAGGAAGCGCCGAAGGTATGCAGCTACGTAGCTCCTTGGCTGAGACCGTCTGCCATTGCTAGGGTGATAGGACGTTGGAAGCTGCATTCTCTAAAGTTCGTCCCGCGATCGCGTGCGTCGCGTTCAACAAGCAGCGCTAGCTAAAAAGCATTTCACTTGTCTGTCAACCAGAATCAGCAATCTAGCATAGGAATAGGGACATGCGGCCTCAGTTTGCAACTTCGCATAAATCGTTTTGAAATAAGAAGGCTAGAAAACTTCAGGAAGTTAAAAAGTACCAGCTACAGTTCTTCTTAAATGCTCGCTTTGTTCAGTTGAATGCAAGCACAAGTTGGACAGCAAGGGATCAAGTACGGAAATACCTAAGCTGGCATCGGAGCACGCAGAGGATAGCAAGGCAACAACACATACGCTGAGCTTTAACAACGCTTGCCCTATGCTGCATTTGGTCTTATGATGAGTCATTATGCATATGCACTGGCGTGGCACTTACGCGGGACGGGTGCGCATGGATACCAAGCAAACAGGTCGCTTGCTCACAGCTGGGCCCCGCTACAAACCTCCGTCCTACCTGCAAAACACGGTATTAGCGACTGTAGCGGACTACATTGGTGCCGCAGCTGTACGACAACCAGAAGAACAACGGCCATGCCATGTGAAACCCGGCAGCAGGATCCGTACAACTCGCGTGCTGGGCTGACATGGTCAAACGCACATACATGCCAGTCCTCTGTTTCCTTCCACGGGTGTCCCTACACCAGCCACTCCTGTGATTTGCATTGCCAGCCCCGTCAACCATAACAATAACCTTGCTTACTACGTGTATGTGGTAAGTAACATCCTGCGCAGTGTTCCGATGACGCATCCACAGCGCTTCCGTGCACTACCTCTATACTCCTCTATACAATGCCATGTGATGACTGATATGCGCGTCTGCGGGGGTGACCACTGGTGGCAGTAGCAGCGGCTGCCGGCAAGGCCTTGAATGCTGGGTGTTCTGTGATAGAGCCCCCATGAGGAGTCATCCCACCTTGAAGATACCCTACTGTCATTGCTGTTCTAGCAGCTGCTGCTGCCGTTGTTGTTGCTGCTGCCGCCATCGACGGCCAGACTACCTAAACTGCTATAGCTGCCACTGCTTTAGCTGAGGCCACCGCCGAAGTATATCCCCGCAGACTTGATGGGGCTGCTGCTGCGCCGAAACCACACCTCCCGTTGCGACATAAAAGCTTCATCCCTGAATGAAAGCCCCGCACCACCACCACCAATGCTGCCACTACCCCTGTCACCTCCATCACTGCCACCTACGTCAGCACCATGAGCACTGCTACAGCCGTCACCGCCACAGCCACCCGCCTCGCTGTCAGTACCGACAAGCGCTGCAGCAGTCCCGCCCTCGCTATGAGGAGGTGGAGGACGCCACGTGTGGGCAACTCCGGCTGCGGTCTCCTGTTCTCCCTGCCCCTGCCCCTGCCCCTGCTGCCCCCACCGCTGCTGCTGCTGCACTCGTTCCTGTGCCCCCGCCGCCCTGGCCTCTCCTGCTTCTCCCACCACTCCATGCACCCGTTGCAGCTGCTGTCGGTGCTGCTGCTGCCGCACCTGCCCTGCCTCCCCCCTGGCTCCCACCAGCCCTTCCTCCTGCTGCTCCCGCTGCGACATACTACCGGTATTTCCCTCCAGGTGGCAAGATTGGTCTTGGGAGTAATCGTGCTGCGAGCGATCGGGCTGCATGGGGCCAAACAGCAGTTTCGACCAAACAGTTGTGATGGTAGCTCCATCTGGCGCAGCTACCGCATCTGCTGCAGCGGCAGAGGCAGTCGCAGTAGCTGAGGCTCCCGCCCCCTGAACGGGTGGTAACTGCGGCGACAGCAGCGATGGTGACGGCTTCATGTCCGCGTTGCTGACCTCAGCCCCGCCGTTGCTGGTGACTGGCTGATCGCTTGCGGGCTCAGCTGTGGGCTCCCGACGGGAAGAGGGCCGCGCGGGGGTCAAACAAGATGATGACGGCGATGACGATGGCTCGAGCATTAGACGCGTTGATGAGGGGTTGATGATGCTACCCAGGACAACGTTGCTGGTAGTTATAGAGCTGCTGGCGACAGCAGCAGCATCAGCAACTGGCTGGGTATCGCTAACTTCAAGCAGGAATGGACCTGCGCTGGCTCCTGATGTTGATGCTGGGGGGCAGGCCAACGGCGGCTCCGCAGGTGACGGCTGGGCCGTCGCAACAGTGAAGGTTGCTGCTGCTGCAGCTGCAGGTGCATCAAGCTCTGCCTCCGCCGCTGCAGCGGCGGCGGCAGCAGCCGCGGCTGCCGCCTTCGCGGCCTGTACCGCAGCAGCTGCAGCGGCGGAGGCGGGGACGGCCCCAGTCGCCGCCGCTGTGACGGATGCAGCAGCCGCTGCCGCCGCTGCTGCCGCCGCGGCCGCGGCGGCGGCACAGACGGCCGTCAGGGATGCGGATGAGTGAGGTGCGGGCGGCGACGTGACGAATGTGGAAAGAGGAGCTGGCGGCGGCGGTGGAGGTGACAGAGGCGGTGTCAGCAGAGCGGGCGGAGCCAACTCATCAGACCTGGCATGCTGTTGTTGTGCCTTGACACGGGACACGGGAGCTGCAGTTGTCGGACCCCGAGGGGATGAACAGCAGCTGGGCGCAGCAGCGGAGGTATCAGTTGCAGGAGCGGGGGTAGCTGCGGCAGCAGCAGCAGCAGACAACACAGCATTGTCATCCGTACGGCCGCTGCCTTGAGGGCTGCTTCTTGTCCGTCCGCCGTCGCCCAGGCTGTCCCTGCCCTCCCAAACGGACGTTGCGCCCACGAACGACACCCCACGGCCCCCGAAAGGCTCCGCTGCTGTCACAGCAGCGACCTGACTAGGATGCTCGAAACGTCCCGCAGCAGCGCCCTTTGCGGCAGCGCCACCCCTTCCACGTTTTCCAGCCGCATGCAAACCAGGGAAGCGTCCAGAGCCTTCGCCACTGCTGGGCTGCGGCGTTGGGGCTGCTTGAGGGTTACCCGTTGCTGCCATTGCCCCACCTCCCTTGCCGCCGCCGCCTCTGCCGCCCTCGCCGCCGTCACGACTCCCATCAGCGGTGGCAGCACCACCGCCCAGGCTCCCCGCCGCCACTATGTCTGCGTACAAGTCGAAGTCGTCTCCACTCGATAGCGCTGCTGGCCTAGGCCGGTTGGAATAGTCAGCCGCGGCGTTGGTGCTGTCAACAGCGGCGGCGGCGGCAGCACCACCGGTGGCGGCACATGCGGCGGCGTATGTTGAACCCGTGGCATCCGACGGTACGGTGATAGTGGCGGCGGCAGCGGCGGCAGCTGCCGCCATTGGTCGGGCCTCGGCCCCAGCTGATGCCGGCATCACAATGTCTGGGTTGTAGTAATCCATGTCGTCACCCGATGCCAACGCGGACCCGGATTGCGACCAGTCCTCGGTTGCTGTGGCGGCGCCGCCGCTGCCGCTGACACCGCTGCCGCTGCTGTAACACATGTTGGCGTACGAAGCCGTCCAGTCGTCGCCAGAAACGGGGCCCATCGTCTGCTGCGCCTCCTCCTCTGCCCGTAAGTAGTTGCCGCCGCTGCTACTGCAACTGCTGTGGCTCCTATTAGCCTCTTCCGCCCAGCCGCCCCAGTCATCTGCGCGACTCATAGCTATCGCTGCATTTGTATCGGCGCCAGCGGCAGCAGCGGCGGCGCCGGTGGTGGTGGCGACGGCAGGAGAGCCACCGCTAGCAACCTCAGGCCAGTCATCGCTCCAAGTGCTGGTGTCCCGAACTGCGTCGTACAACCCTAAACGAGATGGACTTCCCGTACCGCTGTTGCCGCTGCTGTTGCCGCTGTTGCTGCTGCTGCTGCTGTTGCCACCGCAGGTCCCCACGTTGCTCGTGCTGTAGCCCATCCAGTCGTCAGCTCCAGCGGCTGGGGCAGGCTGTTGTTGTTGTTGTTGTTGCTGCTGCTGCTGCTGCTGCGGCGGCGGCGGCGGCGGCGGCGGCGTCACGGATGCCAAGCTGGCCCAAGGGAACTGCGGAGGGGAGCCGTCAGTGCTTCTGTTGCCACTGCCGCTGGGGCTTCCCCTGCTGCTGCTGCTGCCGCGCCTTCCCGCCCTGCTGGTACCGGTACTGCTGGCAGCAGTAGCTCTGGTTGTCCTGGGGGACGTGGCAGCAGCGGCCGTGTGAGCGCTGTGGGGGGATCTGCTGCCTTTCGACCCGCCTCGGGCCCCGCTGCTGGCCGCCTTTGCAGCGGAAGCAGCAGCAGCTGCTGCACGCCTCATTCGCCATGTCTCCTATAAGCGCGGAACGAAGCATGAATTACCAATGGGGGGTGGGTGAGTTTTGATCTCCGGGACCAACCGCCAACCAAACAAGGGTACGACATGATCCTACCTGATGTTGCCGCGGCTGCTGCTGCTGCTGCCCTTGCCAATGCTGCTGGTGTTGCTCGTCCAGGCTCCTGTCGTACTCGGCACGTGAGCTCGCATCCGCCAGGGTGTCGTACGCTCGTACCAGCTGTACGAAGTCCTCCTGACTGCTGTCGCCCTGCGCGCGCGTGGATTACCCCATGCAGCATAACATGAAGGGGGCATGAAGAGGGTTGTGGTGAGCGGCATGCGCGTCTTCCGGGTCTCGCCTGCACAGAGGGGACGCTGTAGCAGCACTGCTACTCTCGTACATCGTCATGACGCTCAGCGATTCAAGTGGGGGCGCACCCGTATGCATGCATGTCCCCGGGACGTCTGGGAGGCAGGTAACGCGCAAGCCGTCTGTCTCTTCCCCCCTGCCACGCCAGCTTCCTGACTACGATGCCCCAGGAAATTAACAAGTAAGGATGAACCGCAGTACTCCAAATCGACAATCTCCCCCTTCCGACAGGGAAACTCCCGCCCTCACACAAAGCAGCGCGCCGGCCCTTGCGCGACTCTGGATGCATGAGCGACTGCGCCACACAGCTACATATTCGAATCCCACGCCAGCACTCACGTCCTGCGACACATCCGGGTGCTTCTCCTTTGCAAGCCGTCGGAAAGCAGCCCGTATCTCCTCCGAGCTCGCCGTCTGCCCCACACCCAATACGTCATAGTGCGTTCCTGGGGGATGGGTTCCGGAGTCGGGCGCCTACCTTGTCAGCTGAGCCACTACCGGTATGCGACCCGTGGGTCAACTTCAATGAGTGGATTGTGCGTACCGAAGTCTGCCTGCCTAGACTCACTGTAAGCGGACACTGCAGCGACAGCAGCAGTGCTGCCCCTGCCGACACGAGGCAGCACCGCCGCCGTGCGTTTGGGGGCCCCTGCTGGCGGCTGCGGGGC